AGCTGCACGTGTAGGAAATGACAGCTGATTTAAATCCCTTGCCACCATGCTATTTTAGCCATGAACAACCAAGGAGAGGACGTGATAAATTATGTTGAGCAATTTTACTATATTAAAATATACAATTGAGTTTACACATTCTCCATCAAATATGTTAGCAGTTAAATGTTTTAGAAGCCAACCAACTGTGTACCACCTAGGCCACCACCAATAAAAAACGGAGTTGGTAGGCCGAAGAGGCTGAGGAAACGGGAAGCTGGTGAAAACAGAGAAAAGGTTAAGGAAAGAATGGCACTATGAGGCTGAAAACGCAGTAGCAACCGATTACATGTGGGACTTGTCAAGAAGTTGGCCACAATGCACGTTATTTCCCACAAAATATCGACACACAAATTGTGGAAATTTTGGATGATCAGGTATTCACACTTCTGCTCATTTTTAGATTTGCTCAACAACTTTCAGATATAATTTTTAACATTGGTACCTATTATTTCAATTATTTTTAACTATATTTCAGAGCATGAATGATTGTATACTTGTCATTACTAATATTGCTAATAACTGCTTTTGTTTAGGCCCCAGTGCCACCACAAAAAGGGCAAACACAAGACACTTGCAAGTTCTATCTAACCAAGGCGTAGTGTAAATTTCATTTATTCTAGCTTGTTCACATCTTTAACGATTAATCGTGACTTATTTTCTTGTGTTTTTATTTTTATCTATGGTTGCAATCAAACAGTGAGGGGCCAAAAAAAGAGGTCATTTCAATGGAGTACAATCGTACTGTTGCTATGGATATTCTCACACAAAATTCACAATCAAGCCCTACGGTGAATGGTCGGTTGCATATAGTTGCACAATTCTCATGCAAGAATGTATCTACACCCATCTTTTCCACCTCACTAAGAATGAAATACAACGAAACCAAATTACACTCGAACTACATAACTTAAACAAATTTAAATCATATTTCAGTTTTTACATGATATTGCTCGCAAGAATTGAGCCTGCGTCCCAAATTTTCATTTGTCCATGATGTTCTAGTGACACTCTGTCATCCACACAAACACTCAGTTATGCCGGTTGTTATTAAGGAAGTTAACATTTTGGAAGATTTGTTGATTCACTTTTCACAAACTTTGAACTCAGATAATATAGCACTAGCATCAATAAAATTAAAAAATTTCTACAAAATACTCATCTGACCCACACTATCGGGGTTCGGTCTTGTTGTTCATTATTATAGCCAACCAATTAACAAACACCTAACTTTGTTGGTATGGAAAAGTTTTTAAGATAACCATAGGAAACTCAAAACAAAATTCAAAAATTTTTACAAAGAAAATTACTGTGGTCTCCATGGGCGGCATGTTTGTTACATTTTTCGAAGATTTTCTAAACCCTATCCAAATTAAAGAAAGGAAAAGAGAGCTACTTATGCGGTGAAGAAGTCCCCCACCGGTGGCTCCTTAGGTGGTAGTGGCGATTTCACAGACGGCGTTGAGAGGAGAGGTGCGGCAGTCTTTTAGAGCAAGTTGGAAATAGTTAGGAGAAAAGAGAGGGTGTTTGTTCCTGGGTCTATGGTCACCAAGTTAATCATATTACACTTTGGTCTAATGTTGACCAAAGTCATCATTTTTGTTTTAAATTAAAAAATTTTAGAAAAAAAATGTACATGTCGCTGACGTGGCATCGGCGTTGCAATGAAATGTCAGTTGCGTCAGCGTCACGTCAGCTTCAGCGAGACAGTGTGTCGATTCCGATACCGGATGACTTTTTTAGCAAAATTTTTTAACTTATGGAACCATTTTCAAACAGGGTCCAATTGAAGTCTTAAAATGACTACAAAATTGTTTACCCTTTTATTATTCATCTTCAATAAAATATATTTGTTTCAACAATATTATACTCCCTCCGTCCCGGTGCAAGGTTGCCGTTTACTTTTTTGCACGTAGATTTTTGAATATTAGTATTATAATGGGTTGTAGTAAAAAAGACGAAAATACCCCTATTAATATTGTGTAATATAAAAGTAATGATATTTGTGTAATATAGTGTAAGTTTGAATGATATTTATTATGTTAGGTAGATAGTACAATTACTAAATTAGGAAATAGTAACCTTATTTTGGGACGGACGAAAGTAAAAAAATGGCAACCTTTCAATGGGATGGAGGGAGTATATATTTTTTCATAAAGTATATTCTTATAGTAAAAAACATCACACAACTTATTTATATAAATTCAAAATTTTATAATTTTAAAAATATACCAAAACATCAAAATTCAACTATAAGGGTTTGTTTGGTACATAGAAATGAAATCGGATAAATGAAAGTGATTTTATTTCTCTGTTTGATTGTGGCAGAAAATTAAGGGGGTGTATTCAATTCGGATTTTAATGGATTGTTTTGGATTTTAAAAAGTCTATGGATTTATGTGGATTTAGAAAATCCACATAGTCTACATTGAGTTTGATAGATTTTAGTAATTGATTTAGATAGATTTCTACGGATTTGATTGAATTCTTTATGGATTTTTTATATGAATTTTGTAGGATTGTAAATTTTTTTTTTTAAATATATATTAATTATATAAATTTATATCAAACAACAAATTTTATAAATATAATAAATAATTATTAATAAGATAATATTTAATATTAATAAATAATATTGAAGTATTAATAAATAACATATACATATTTACTTTTTTTATGTAAAACCGTTATATTAAAATAAATAAATAAATAATTTATGATTAAAAAATATATATATAAATTAACCGGTTCAACAAAAAATATATATTTAAATATCTATTTCACCGCTATCGTTATGATAATACAGTGTATTCGATAATTGAAAAGAAAAGACAACAGTAATACATATTTATTGTGATAATAATATTTTTAAAATTATATTTGTAATATAAAAATATATATTTAAAAAAATTCATAATAATTTGTTAATATATTTTAGTTTTAAATTATTATTTTTATTAAAAATTATAATAATAGTAATAAATATTATCGTATTATTGATCACATATACAACAACAATAATAATAATAATAATAATAATTTTAAGAATCCATCAAAATCTGTGATGGTCAAGAGAGATACTTTTCTATACAAAATTTTCACAAAAATCCATTAAAATCTATAGACTTTCAAAGTCTATGGATCGTTGAATATCTCAATGTTTTAAAAGACTTTTAAAAGTCTATGTTGAATACCTCAAAATTTTAAAAGACTTTTAAAAATCTTGATTGAATACCTCTAGATTTTAAAAGACTTTTAAAAGTCTTGATTGAATACACCGAGATTTTGAACGTCCAACGGAATCCTACAAAATCTATATTGAATATACCCCTAAAATTTGAGAAATAAATCATTTCTCATTCTCTAATTTTATTTGTATGTAGAAATATAGAGAATGATCTATTGATACAATATATTTATTTTATTTTTTATATCATTTTATTATTTAACTTTTATATTTTTAAAAATATTATATTTCAATTTTATAAAATATCATATTTAATTTATTATTCAAATATATATATATATTTTTACTATTTCTTAAAGAATTACACTAAAATTTGATCATCGTATCTAATTTATTATCTAAACAAAATAATCAAAAAAATATTTTTTAATAAATTTTCACTAGTTAAAATTTATTTCTCCTATGATTAATCATTTATTCTTAATCGATTCATTAAAACAGATATCTTTTTTAAAAAATTTTCAAGTGAATTGTCATTCTCTATTCAATTTATTTTCTCTGTGATTCTATTATCACTTTTATTTCTTCGCAATTTCATTATTAGTATCAAACTCCATGTAAATGAATATGTACATACATGTACATATACAAATAATTAGTTATGATTGTAATTATTAATTATCAATAAAGATTACATCTATAATTAGATATATGAAAAAATATATGTATATTTTTTATGTTTCATTTTTGTTTTGTATTTATAATTTTAAACTTTTAAGGTGATAAAAGTAAATTAACATTCTCATGTTTAATTAGGAACACAATGTTTGAGGTAATGCTATTTAAGTAGTTAATAATAGTGATTTATTATAGTAATATTATTTTTTTATATATAATTAATAATATTGATGGTTTTAAAATAAATTTAATATTATATATGATTAAAAAATTAGAATATATATTTAAATATTTTTAAAAAATTATATCACAATAAAAAATATAATGGAATATAGATATCAATTTAAAGAGAATAAAACCTTATATAATACAAGTAAATACATAAAAAATATTTTAATTTATATATAATTAACATAAATTAATTTTATAAAATATGCGAAGATTTAAATATAGATAAACATATTTATTATTTTCTAAAAAATAAATCAAAATAAAAGATTTTGTGTGAATCCTACCTATAAAGTGTTAAAAATTTATTAAATTAATTTATATTTATTAAGTTATTTAATATCGATAAATTTACTAAAACTAAAATTTATCAAATAAAATGCCATAAAAAAAAAATAGAAAAACTGTCCATTGAAATTAGACGGGAGGAAGTATATTGTAAAAAACGAAAAAAAAAAAAAGTAAAAAACTTCTTTATATTTATTTGAATTAACAAATAGCGAGCAATGAAATAGTTCCAGAAGCTGGTCTCCCAGTACAGGGACCTGTTCCTGTACAATGATCCCGAAAGTCTACGGCCAAGATCTTCCGATCGTTTGGCGCGCAAACGTCACCAGATGACGCCAGCTCTACTGCATCATAATTCATTCGATTTTGGAATTAATTAATTAATCTGATATAATAGTATTACTATCCAATAAGTTATGGAGACACATATTTTAAATGAATATTAATAAAAAATATAATATATATATATTTATAAAATATAAATAATAATTCAAAATAAAATATTATATTTTGTATTTATTGATAAAATAAAAAATAAAAAATAAAAAATAAAACCATCAAAACCCTCTGTCCCCATTGTTCATTAATTACTCTCTTTCCATCTAAAGAGCAGCAGCAGCAGCAACCACGAAACCCTCGTTTCTATTCCCCTAACTAGATCCGAAAATCCACAGAAATTATCCAAAATGGGAGGCGGAAATCGCCATGGAAGGAAGACGCGGATGGCTGCGGAGCTTCTGAAAGGAAAAGAGCTCGCAATCCAGCTCCTCAATCACCTGAAGAACTCGGCTCGAGACGACGACCTCGTCGTCTCCGCGGAGGAACTCGCGCACCAGATCTTGACATCCTTTGGAAATTCTCTCTCCCAGCTCAGTTCTCGCGCCGTGTCGGTCGAGTCGTCGTCAGCTCAGATCCCCGCCGTTGACTCCGGCGTCAGGAAGAAGACTCCGGCGCCGTTAGGGTTGAGAAATCGGAGGGGCTGTTACAAGCGAAGGTCAGATTTGAAATTAATTTTTATGAGATATATAGTAATTAATTAATTAATCAGTATCATACTTTAATAGAAATTTGCTGAATCTGTTTTGATTCACACACTTCCTTCAATGCTTATGAGAATCGACCAAACTTTTCAGTGTCAAATTTACTGTACTTAATTTATCCTTTTTTGGAAAAACCATCTTCTCGTGGAAAATGATCAAAAGTGATGGATCTTTACATACATAAGTATATCAGAGATTCAGAACCTAAAGTATTATCATGTTTTTTTTTTTTTTTTTTTTTTTTTCTGATTAATACATAGAGAGGGAGAGAGAGGAGAGAGAGATGATTAAATTGCAACAAACAGTCGTAGTTGCTGTTCAAGTTCAACTTGAGCAGCTACTGCCTACTTGCTGCTTTTTGATTCTTCATAAATTTTGGCATATGGCTGATAGGAACCTATAGATATATATATATTATATATGGTATACATATGAAAAAGATTTTTGTTCTGTTTACACAATATATTTTTACTCATTTGGTACTATTCATTTTTTTTTTCTCACAAAATATTAAATCAAATACTACCCCCTTCCGTCCCAGATATCATGTCCACGTTGTCGTTTCTGTTCGTCCCACATACCATGTCACTTTCCTTTTTTTGGAAAATGATTACACACTTTAATCTCATTTTAAATTTTTTTAATTTTAAGTAAACTAATTAGTTATCTTAATCTTAATTTATAATTATTTATATTATAGGATAATTATTAATTATCAATTAATTACACCTCTTCCTAAAATACGGTGTCTACAGTGTACCAGACACGGTATCTGGGATGGAGAGAGTAAATTTTTACTTTTTCCAAACTTCCAAATTTCCAAAAATCTCCCATGAACAAACTCTTTAATTATTTCTTAAAATGACCCAAGTTGGTACTTTTTTTGAGTTGTGGCTTAGAAACAAATTAAAAGTTATTATTGTTATCTTCCAAGCACCACTGCCTAGCTATCTTAATCAACATACATATATATATATAGATTAATTTCTTATATTTATTTAACAAGCATTTTGTGGGGTTTAATTAATTTGATGGTGGGGTTATATAATTAATTATGATTATTTTTAATTAAAAATAATCGATCAGGCATGCACTACATCATTTATTGAATTTTGATATATAATTATTAATTTTATATCCAGAAGGACTTCAGATTCATGGACAGTGGAGTCTTCCACTGCAGAAGATGAGTTTGCCTGGAGAAAATATGGACAAAAGCTTATCTTGAATTCCCATTATCCCAGGTAATTATTTAATTTTTTAATTAATTATTTATTAATTCCCATATTATTTTTAATTATGATAATTTCTCTTTATATATATATATATATATATGTATATGTATGTTCTAAGTTGTGCATCACTTCATTATCATCACTATTTCTATTGGTCACTATATAGTTGTTCTAATTGGTTTCTGATCACTAATTAAAGTGTATATATGGTTGTAAGAATTTGTGTAGATCGATATTTTTTTTTTTGTCTGTCTAACTGCACTGATTATGTTTATTAAGTATAATGATGATAGCACAAATAATATGTATATATATCCACAATGCATAAATCAACAACCTAAGATATATTTATAGGATATAAATAGATACAACAAATATCACCACAAGGGTTGGGGCAAAATAAAAATAAGGGCCTCTAAATGTATATAAATAATATTTTATTTCAAGTAAAATAAAATATAATTTTTTTTTAACATTTTTCAATGCAAAAATAATATTAAAAAAAAATCCAAAATTTTTAGATAAGAGAAATTGAACCTATGATCTTAGTACAAAGACTACCATACACCACCAAAGCACATTCGTTTACATTGTAGTATATCAAATAAGTTTTATATATAACAAATTAAATATATATATATATATAACATAAATATATAACCAACTCTCTACTTATATTTGTCTTGCGCGATCACTCCTCTTCCCCGGGTCCAGGGTTGGTCCCGACTACAATTGAGCTCATCATACAAGATCTACAATATAAAATAAAAATGATTGTGTACTTTATCTTCATCCATTGTTTTTTATATTATATACTACCTCCGTCGGCTCTAAGAATTTTTAAATATTAATTATTATATGAAAACGTAGTACAAATCAAGGGAAAAAGACAAATATTTTTATCAGTGTCTTATAATACTATTATAATGATATTTGTACAAAAAATTATACAAATATAAAGATATTTTTAATGTTAAGTATAACGACGCAAAAGCTAAATGAGACACTTAGAATCGGACAGAGGGAGTTCTATATAACATATCTATGTAGAAACATGTGTTGTTTACCTTTATTACATATACTGACTGAATCAAATATGCGCCTGTTACCACATATTACACTTGATCTTACTTACAAGATCTTAGGGTGTGTTTGTTTGGGGGTTTGGATTTTGAGTTAGGATTTGAATAGTAAAAATTTTAAACTTGAATAATTGTATGATGTGATATAAATAGATATTGATGTGATGTTTTGAATGTAAAATTAATTTTTAGTATAATATAAAAAATAAAAAATAAAAAATAGGTGTTGTGATTTGATATTTTTTAGAAAAAAAATTGAATGAATAATAGTGTATTTAAAATCCAATCCCCCAAACAAACACACCCTAACACAATCCACAAAATAGATCATTAATTGTATAATCTATTTTCATTAGTTATCTGTTTTATTTTCATATGCTATCATGTAACATGTTGCACGTAACAGGTGCTATTACAGATGCACGTACAAGAATGGAGGGTGCAAAGCCACAAAGCAAGTTCAAATGATCAAAGAGAAGCCTAATACACTTTACCAAATTACATACATCAATCATCACTCTTGCTCCTCATCATCATCATCATCAAATCCAATTAGGGCTTTTTACAAAAACCCCAATTTCAGTTTGGATGATGATGATGATGTTCTTGTGCACCCCAACAAAATTAATAATCTCATCATCACTTTCGAGGCCAAAAATGGCGGCGACAGCCGTATCATCACCTCCGGAAACCATCATCCGGCGGTGAAATCAGAAGAACAAACCGATGCACGATCACTTGCTGGTTTACAGTCTTGTGGGTCAACAAATAATTTTCCGTATAGTGAAGATATTAGCGATCCGTTTGGCAACGAGGAGATCGATAGCTTCTTTTGCTTTGGCGACGACGAGATTGATGATCACTTCATGTATTAAATTGGTTATATATTATACTAAGTGTTCCATTGTTACCTTGCTGTAATAAGCTATATATGAGTTGTATAAGTGTGTGTGTTCTAACATAAATAACTGAAATTCAAAAATAAACAGTGTATTCTAAGATATAATAATGTCGATTTTTGATTTATTACTGAAATTACATACCCTAATGATTCGTGCAGGGATTGAGATTTGCTAATACAGTAGACAAGTAAGTGTTACTGCTAATATTTTATCTTATATTTTTCCTTAAAATGTTTGTTGTTTATCTAAATATAATTTGAACCAAGAAAGAGTTCTAGCTTTTATAGATATAGCAAACTATTCAGTGTAATATTCATTTACAGCCCTATATATATTATATACTTCATTCGTCCCATAATAAGGTATTCATTTACATTTTACGTCATTGTACTTAATATTAAAAATATCTTTATTTGTATAATTTTTTATACAAATGTTATATTAATATTATAAGACACTAACAGAAATATTTTTGCAATTTTTCCTTGATTTGTAATACGTTTTGATATAATAATTAATATCCAAAGATCAACACGCTAAAAGTAAATGGATACTTAGGGACGGAGGGAGTATATGTTTTAAATTTAACAATAAATAAGGATTTGTTTGGTTGTGTTTTGTTGTTTTTGAAATAATAAAAATTTTAAACAATAGTAATTGTTTGAAGTAATTTGTGATATAAATAGATGTTTAAATTGATTCTTTAAAAAAGTATACATATAATAATAAATTAAGTAAAAATTTTAAGTACATCTCAACTTTATTTAACTCGTTTAAAATTCAAAATATATTACACACAATCAAATAATATAAATGTGCGCATATATATGACTTGAATACTTTAAAACTGAAATAATAAATCATTATATTATTCAAAGATATATATTTCCAACCTTAAACATATCACATCCAACAGATATATATCTAGGAAAAATTAAAGATTTGATTTAATATTTTTTAAGAAAAAAGTATATATATTAATAATTTATATAAATCCAAATTCAAATAATTTATGCAAAAATTTAAATATATATATTTTAAAAATATCAAATCAAATCTTAATTTTTATTATTTTAAAATTTTGTTAAAACTCCGAAACACCCTTATCTAAACCGAATGCCTAGGGAAAACACCACTCTGCAAATATAATTTACCTCCTTGAACATATAACATAGTTCTTCTGTTTGCAAAAATTATAGATATTAAAAACTAATAGTCTTTTAATTTTTAAGTAGGATAGGTTAAAACTAAAGTGAAAAGTTTTATAAAAATTTATTAAATAATTGATAAAAAAAAAAAAAAAGTGATGGGATGTATGATTAGAAAAAACAGTGGAAAATTAATTATTATTGTTAAGGAATAATTAAATTATAAATAAATAAAATTAGTTACTATAAATAAATTGTGCATAAGTTTAATCGATAATTAAAAAACTACTAACATGATTTTTGCGGATGAAGTGAGTACTACCAAATATACTATAAGTGTGCTCTTATGTCCAACTCAAACACGGTAAAACTCTAAAAAACAAAGCCCTTATACAACAATTTCACTTCTTAATTAATTACAAGTTACAACAAAGTTTAAATTAACACTCATTAGTATTTTTGTCCAACTCCAATAAATTAAAACTCGATAAATCAAAGCCCTTATACACGAAAGTTTCACTTCTTACAACAATGTTTTAGGTAAATCTCGTACAAATATTTGTACAACTCCATCACATTAAAACTCGATAAATCAAAACCCTTAAACAAAAGTTTCACTTCTTACAACAATGTTCAAGGTAAATCTTGTACATACATTTGTCCAACTCCATCACGTTAAAACTCAAAAAAAAAAAAAAAAAAAAAAAAACCCTTGTCCCAATATTTCACTTATTACAACAATGTTTAAGGTAAAACAATATATCCCAACTTCATCACTCCATCAAGTAACTTTGTATCTTAATTTTATTTTTTTTAGCTTATTACAACAACAATGAAACATTTTCCATGCAAGCAGCACACAATAATCTTTTCATCATCAGAACACAATCTGATCATCATCAACATTATAACAGAATAAACTATCAAACTGATTGCAGTCGACGTCGTCCATCCCATAATACTGCAAGCTAGTAGACTCACACGACGACGCCAGACCATAACCAACTCCGGCTCGATCATTCTCATTCTCCGGCAAGATTACTGCCCTCGATTGATCTTGATCATCATGATTCTTCGATTTTTCTGAAACTGATTCAGATGTGATTTTTTCTGTAGAATTAATGATTTCGATATCATCCCTAATTGTGGGCCGGAAACTGATGAGATTTTCGGGCTCCGGGACATCGGAAGGGCACAAAATGAGATTGGAATTATTGTAAGCCCTAAAATTGGAGCAAGAATGGCGAGTGATGTATGTAGTTTGGTATAATAATGTGGGATTCTTCTTGATCATTTGAACCTGCTTTGTAGCTTTGCACCCTTCATTCTTGTGGGTACACCTGTAATAGCACCTGGTACAACACCCACACCAAGAAGTTTGTTTGAAGGATTTAAAAAGTTTGTAAAATTCACACAAAAAATTTTCTTCAAAAAAAAATATCAAATCAAACACCTATTTTCTATTTTTCAATATTATTCAGAAAATTAATGTTAAGTTGAAAATATCACATTAATACATATTTATATCACATCATACTACTATTCCAATTAATTTTTTTACTATTCAAATCTCAACTCAAAATCCAAACCTCCAACAAACACACCCTAATTGTTTCACAAAAAAATTATTATAAGAGAATTTGTTATTTAAATTGAGGATGATGTTTTATTATATGCAATTATATATATAATTTCTAAATTCTTTTAAACATTCATTTTTATCTCCAAACACATTTCTTTTTCTATTCGAATTTTTACATGTAATTAGTTTCATATTAAAAAAAAGAAATGAAAACTTGACCATCATTTACTGATAGTTGTTTTTTTTTTGTTTTCAAAAGAAGAAAATAAAACGCACTAAAAAAAATATATTGAAAATATTACATTCAACAACTATTTCACATACATAATAATAATAATAATAATAATAATAATAATAATAATAATAATAATAATAATAATAAGATATTATTATTATTCTTTTAAAAGTAGGTTTTTGTTTCCTTTTATTTGATTTCCTTTTTCCATTTTGGCCTTTTGTTTGGTCTGTAATTCATCATTTTTGTTTACTGTTGTTCTTTTTGTCAATACTGTAAATTGCAACAGTACAACTAAATGTTAAATAGAGCTTTGGTTAGGAGCTGCTAATTTATTTCATCCTATTAATAATTCATTTATTTCATAGTAATTTAACATAATTGACAAAAAAAAATTACAATAAACAAAAATGCAATTGAGCATTCAATAATATGAAAATAATAAGTAACGGTGATGGTGATGGCGATGATGATGATGACCATGATCATGATAAATTAGGTATCAAACTTATTAATAAGAAAATGGACCGATAAAATAAAATGAATTTTACCCTTTTAAGACTACATTAAAATAAAAATTAATATTACCTAAATCTCCAATGATTTGGGCTCTATTTACATATATATTTTGGAAGTTTTGAAAAAATTTGAAAATAATAAAAAATTATATATTTGGCATGATATATTGTGCTAGAAAAAAATATATATATTATATTTTTTGAAAAAACAATTTTTATTTTTTATTTTTTATGACTAGTATGAAAACTTTACAAAATATTTATGCAAACAAAATGTTATTTATTTATTTTCTAAAACCAGCCACCATTTGGAACACATAAAGCTTTATTAATGAAATTTTTTATTATATAGTATTAGACACAAGACAAAAGTGTACACATCAAGAAAAGTAATCACTTACACCTTTTTATTTGGACAATCTTTTGATATAAATTATGGCAAGTGTTGATAAGCTAAAGAGGAATGGGCAAAGAAAGAAGTTTTGTTCCATCATCATCATAATAATAATAATAATAATAATAATAATAATAATAATAATAATAATAATAATATTATTATTATTATTATTATTATTATTATTTAATTCCTTTTCTATACAATCTTACAATTTTTCTTCAAGAAAATTATATCCTTCCACATAATTTTCATATAAAAATATTGGTTGTGTTTTCAAGTATTTTAATCTAATATATATTTTTTAATTATAATAATTATTTAATGTAATATAAATCAATATTGTGTTATATAATTTTAAATATAAAAAAAAATTCCTATATAATATACTCTTTCCGTTTCAATTAAAAATACATTTTTTATTATTTTTATCCTACTCAAAATTATTCATTTCGTATAGTAAAACTAATTACAACATTAATACTAAAATATGTTTAATTTTTACATAAATGACAAGATTACACACACATATACATAAAATATAAAGGAAAAAGTATTAAAACTATCTTCCACACTTTCACTAAGAAATAATTTATTTATTTTTTTCAATATACTACAAAAATTCAAATGTATATTTTCATCCGGAACCGAAAGAGTAAAATTAAGGAATTGATATAGGATGTAATATTTTGATAAAAATAAAATAAAATAAAATAAATAGTGAAAATGAGAAATTGAAAACACACCAAACAAACCCATTATATTGAACCTCAAAATATCAAAATCCAAAATAAAAAACACATAAAACAAACATGAAAAGAACACACCCAACAAAAGGGAAAAAATTGAAATAACACACCATCTAAGTTTATAAATTTTAGTTATATTAAAAATAATAAAGTTTTGAATGAAAAATACTATTAAAGGTGATTTTTCAGAGTATTTTTTTGTTTTAATAAATAGTTCAAAAATAAAGATGAAAGAATACAATAATTAATAAAAATACCAATTAATTACATATTGAAAGGATGAATGAAAATGACCTACATACACACACATTAGAAATATTATAAAAAAGATTAGTATATTTGTAACGAAATTACGTCTCTAAAGCCCACTTAGCTAACTAAAGTAATTTTATTATTAATTACGTCTCTATCTCTGATGTTATTAGTAATCGAAAAAGTGGATTTAAGGACGAAAAAAACTCGTTACAAAAATGATATTTTCTTATATTGTATTTTTACGATTGGGGATAAAGGGCGCGTGTGTGTATATATATATAAATATATATATATATATCATATACTACATCAAAAATAAATAAATAAATATGAAATGAATTTTCTCAATTAATAGAGAATTATATGAATTAAGTAAATTGTTACCTGGGATAATCAGAATCGATGATGGCCTTTTGTCCATATTTTCTCCATGCAAAACCATCTTCTATAGTTGAAGATTCTACTGTCCATGACTCTGAACTCTTTCTGGAATTCATTCATTATATGTATATTCATCAATAAGAACAAATTCATTCAACACATCTATATAGACATATGTATTTCTAAGAATTTTTAATTGAAATGATAGTAACAGCCAAAAGAAGAAGAATAAGAAATTTTCGAGTTTCAGCCATGGACAAATATCAAAAGTTGTGATTGGAGATAAGATAAGATCAGATTTGTATAAACAATTTTAATTTTTTGGCTTTAAAAACTGTGTACTTTGTACGAATCTCCCAAAATATATTTTCAGTATTTGCTCACAATATATATATGTTAAATAATGATTATTATTTAAAAAAAAAAAAAAAACTGACCTCCTCTTGTAACAGCCTCTCCGATTCTTCAAGCGTTCTTCCGGCGCCGGACTGTTTGTTTTCCGGCGACAGTCAACGGCGGGGATCTGAGTCTGAGTGGAGTCGTCGGAGCAAAAACTGAGGTCGGAGAGAGTATTTCGGAAGGATCTGAAGATCTGGAGCGAAAGGTCGACGGCAGTTGCGGCGTCTAATTGAGGTGCAGCCTGAAGTAGGGTTTGGAGCTCCACCGCCATTTCCTTCCCCTTCAAAAGCTCCTCCACAACCAGTCTCTTCTTCCTCGCATCATTACGGAGATTTGGATGATTGAGATGAAGATTTTCGCCGTCCATAATCGCGTCGGAGTGCAATTTGGGGATCTAATCAAATTAGGGAATTGAGGATCGGAGAGAAACGAGGGTTTGTAGTTCCGCTGAAAATTTTCTGTTTGTTTGTTTGGGGACGTCAATCCATTTTAATTAATTTAATTGAAGTTTGATCCATTGAAAATGTAATAGTGGTGGGAATAAATAAATAAATAAATGATTAAAATTAATTCAAATAATAATAGGCCTCCAAAATTTATTTCATTTTTTTTTTTTTAATTCGAAATTTAGGAATGACGTTTTGCAGATGACGTCGCTTGATGACGTCATCGAAGGGAACATCGCAGGGCTCAAGGGAATATGAAGAAATCTCAGCCGTTGGCTATTGTAATGGACGATCGAGATCATCCAACCACCCAGTAATTGCGGTGATTTTTCCTTCGTGTTTTTTTTTTTTTTTTTCTTTTTTTTTGGGAATTTAAAAGCGTATGGATAACATGCCGAGAGGTCAGTGTTTACTGATGATATCTTTAATGGTTGTAATTAAATAATTGATAAAATAAGGAGTGCTGGTCAATTAACTATTAGCATAATTAATTATTGATAGTCTTCAGTTATTTCGCAAAAATTGACTCGATACCACAATTTCATACAAAATAATTGGATTTGGGTCAAAGATTTCAATTCAATTATATATACGGGTTGACACGAACCCGACGATACGATAGTAAACGGGTCGAATTAAGGTTGAGACTCTCAACTCGAACCCAACACGACAACCCGATTATTAGATATTAATATTGATTAATATATTTATTATATATTTAAAATAATCATAATTTATTAATTTTCTTATAAATTAATTTAAACTAAGTTCAATTTTAAATAATTCAACATAATTTACGCTCAAACCAATAAAAACTAACATAACAAAAAATTATTTAATTTGAATCAAAAAAATTCGACTTAATTATGTATACGGGTCAACACGAGTCAACTCGAACCCGACACGATAATAGACGTGTCAACACGAATCCGACACGAATCGACCAATTGCCGGTTCTAGTTATTTCTACTCAAATTTTATACTTTATATGTTTATTTTAATTGTTTAATTTTATGTAAATATGAAAATTTAACCAAGAATATAATAACAATAATTAAGAAATTTATTAGTAAAAATAATTATAGATTAAGGTTAAGATAACTAAAAAATTTAATTAAAATTTAAAGAAAATTATAAATAATAAAATTAAAAATGCTCAAGTGTATATTTTTACAAAAATAAAAAGAATAAATTATATAGACGAACGAAAATTAAAAAAAAAAAATTAGACACTTTTATATGGAACAGAAAAAATAAAATCTTTGAATTTATATGATATAAATAAGTGTTAATTTTATATTTTAAATATAAATTTAATATTAATATAATAAGATAATAGAAACTTAAATATTTGGTTTATTTCTTTAAAAAATAAATAAATAAAAAAATATGATGAATAGAGATCCATAACATTGACATTAGTGTTATGCATGAAGGTGGTGGTTGTAATTGCGGTTGGTTGGCAGATCTGTAGGTGAACTAGCTAGGGATAAGATGTCTGTCTTGGCCTTTGCTAGACTTGCCCGAACGGTTCGAAATCATCGGTTTTGGTTTGTCGAAAAGTCGAAAGAAAATCAAATCTTCCGAACACAATTTCGATTACGGTTTTAAAATCGCTAGTTTACATCAATTTTTTTTTTTTCTGATTTTCTTAATTTTAGTTATTACGATTAACTTTGATTTCGATTTTCTAATTCATATTTTTTTATTATTGTAAAAATTATATAAATAATATATAAAATTTGTAAAATAATTATTTATTAGTCTATTAGTAATTATTTATTAGTCTATTAGTTAAGAATTAAGATTAGAATTAATTAATGTAGATAATCCTTTCGTCCCAATCCAATCCAAATGAACCATTTATAAATTTCTCTAATAGATTAAAAAATAACAATATTTTATTGGTTAGCAGAAGTGGGTAAGATTTTTTTTTAAAACAATCTTTGTATTTTATGTATAAATTAATTGTAGATGTAATATTTTTTTTAATTTATGTAAAAATTAAAGAGTTTTGTAGTATCAGTGTTTGATTGGTTTTACTATAATAGACGCAAGTTCGTATGGAAAAACAAAAATGCAAAAAAAACTCAGGAATGTATAAGGGTTGGGGCAAATTTAAAGAGGTTTATAGTTTTAAAAATCTTTAGTGGTAGTTCTACAAATTTTGAAATGTATAAGGGTTGGGGCAAAAAGAACTCAGGAATAAAGTTCTTATTTTTTGCAATTCACAATATGCGAGCATTGAATCTCTTAGAATTTTAACCTACGAAGTCATTAAATTAACTATAATGCGAAACATAAAATGAAATTTGTGAAACTATACAAGAAAGTTATCAATTCATGAGTTGCAAGTGCACAAAAACTTTTAAGTAGGGGTGGTAGAAAAATGATACTACAAAGGACATAATTTTGTGTGACTCATCCTCATCGCATTGAATCTTCTTTCGTCTTAAACAAATGTCAACTAGAATGTGAAATTCCATCATTCATGACTAAAGAAGTCAGATCTTAAATTTATAAGTCACAAAGTATAGAAAATTTTTCAGTATTGAGCTTGAGATGCATTATGTTGACAAGAAACTCATCTTAATCATATGATGGAAATAAGATCATAGATTTGTACAGTTTCGCTAGTTAACACTTGTTTAACAATGTATGACTAGATCTACTGTGATTTGAAGTTTCATAAGAATAAGTGCAATTTTGAATTGTAGAATAGAATTTTTTCTCCTTTGGCAAAATGCTTATTACAAACCATTTTGTCATGGTAGAATCAAGCACGCTCTCTTTAGATCATGATATTTTCATACATGAGAAAACAAAATTCATCCAAGTTCATCAAATAATCTTTTCGCTTTTTTTGAGTTGGAAACAAGTTAAAATTCAAAAATTGAATGGTCTAGTAGACCTTATTTCCAACTCGAGAGGCAAGTGGTATGGTTTTCCATAAACTAGTCTGAATGATGACATATCTATTGGCATTTTAAATGAAGTGCAATAGGACCAAAGCACATCATGAAGTTTCAAACACCGATTTTTGGTTCTTGTTGACAGTAGTTTGTTAAATGTGTTTTAATTTGCGATTGTTTACTTCAATATGGCCACTGGACTACGGGATGGTAGGGGGTAGCAAGATTGTAGTGAATGTTTTACTTCTCGAGAAGGATAACAAATTGCTTGTAGTGAAAATTTGGACCCCACTTTATAAGGAAATATTGTATTATATATACATTCTTCTATTTGATATTTCATAAAAATGCAATTGTAGCCGACTATAATAAGTTGCAATCATTTTTATAAAGAGTTTTTTATTTTCTATTTTTTTCCGTTTAAGAGTTTTGAAGGGGTAATGTATCAGTTATACTTATGGTTATGCCATAAACAACAATAAAATTTATAATTTCTTCACAAGGTTGGTATTGAGTTTGAGCAAGGAAATATGTATGCTATTTGAAAAAGTTTTTCGATAGATTTATATATTTTTTATATATTTGAAACCGAATGGGCGAAAACCAAGTTCATCTAATTTCACTTGTGCCTAGAAAAGTGGTCGATCTAAACAACAAATAGTTATTTCGGCCAAATGGTGATTCGTTGAGGTATTCATACGTGATACTTATTTTAAAAGTTTGTTGTTTGTTAACTCTTTGCTATGAGTGTTAATTACATTTTTTGTTTTTTGTTTTTTTTTTTTATTGTGATTGTTTCATATTTTCAAAAATAGAGAATAAATAATAAAAACGAGAATTTTGTTAGAGTGTATGGATAGATGTAATGAAATTATGTTCAAAATATATGTGTAACAAGATGATATCTCTATTTGACAAAATTGATGTATATAGTATAAAAATGTGATGTCATATATTTAATATTGTGTATTTTATTGTATATATTTTAAAATTTTATTTTTTCAATATTTAAATATGGTGTATATAAAATTAAAAATATTGAACTAAGTTTCCCTAATAAATAAAAGATTTGCTATCTTTTGCATCAAAGGTAATTAAAAAGTCATATCTAAATATCACTTTTAATCTTCAACGAAATGAAAAATAATGATAGATTGAACATTTAATATAAAACTGTTATTTTATGCTTTATAAGATACTGGCAATCAAATTGATATATAATGTGACATAAAATATTTAAAAATTTGATTTAAAAAAAAAAAATTAGTGAAGTTCGAAGTTCTTTTATCGTAATATTCATTGTCAATATTTTGAAATATGTTATATTCTTCTTCAATTCGATCCATAGGTTGCATAATTGTAATTTTTTAAAAGAAAAAAAAAAATTCTATGAATTGAGTGATTTTAATATATAATAATAATTTTTTTTTTTTATGTGTGTAAGATGATTTTCACAATAAATGAAAAATAATTTATATAATTACATATATTTGTAATGATTAATTAAAATCCAAAATTAATAAAATCAATGCTATAATTAATATTAATGAGAAAATGATATTTTCACTAATAAAAATAATTTCATGTGGACCGAGCGTGTGTATATATATATATATATAATTTTTTACCGACTTATATTCAAAACCTGACTTAGTCAATTTTTTTAAAAAAAATATATATGAAAATTTCAGGTAGATAACCAGCGAGGGTAAAATAGTAAATGTGCATAACAATCTTTATTCTATTTCTGGCAAAAACTAAAATACGAGTCTATTTTTTCATCAGCTTTCTCTTCCTGAAAACGCAAAGGCAAATATTCCCACCTGCATTAATCGATCTAGGGTTTCGTGATTCCGTCATTGAATATGGCTACCCCAGCAGCTTCTGGATCGAGTCTCTTGAAGTTTCTCAAGCGGCCACAGCCCATTGACATACAGGCCGCCGCCCTCTGGGGCGTCGCCGCTGGATCGGCCGCCCTCTATCTCGTTCAGGTGTTGAACTATTTCTCTCCGATCTGTTCGCCGTTCCCGCCGTTGTGTTTGATTAGCAGTATTATTTAGGTTTTGGTCTTCTCTGTTTTCGTATTTCTACATTTTTAAAATTATTTATATATGAATGGAACTCGTGCCAGAGGGGAATTCTGTATGTAATGTGTTGTATGTGAACATCGATTAATCTGATTAAGGTTAAACGTGCGAACATCCCTTGCCCAACGTTAATTTGAATTGTTTGCTGTGCATTAACGCATCGCTCGGAAGGTGGATGGCGTTCTATATGGTGTGGGATATGTAATGAATTGGCCATTTATGCTTTTGCAACCGACCAAAAAATAAATTTAATTAAAATGCATAAGATGAGCAAATGTATTTAGTTTTCTTTCTTGATTTCTGGTGTTCCTTATGTCAGATCTGTGAATTCTGTTTTCAATATATCATCAGTTCATTACAGATTATAATATATGTTTATTTTCCTCTTTCAATCCATTGGTTTGATGTGTGTAAATGTGTTTATAATGATTTCAATATTGCCAACTGACTGTCTTTCATATTCCTAGCAAAACACCATCTAGTTTTTTCATACTTAATTGCCTACTGGATCGAGAGAATCCCCACAAAGATCAATGAGATAGGAGTTTTGTTTGTGTGTTTGTTATCCTGTTTTGATAAAAGAAAAAATTTATGCCTTTGCTTTGAATCATAGTGGAATTAAGTTTTTTTCGGATTTATAGACGTAGAGATTGTTTACAGGGTTTTGTTGATTTTGCTACCCCCATGTGGCAGAACAAACACAAAAGTTCAAAATGCTTAGTTTAGTGCACTAATTTGTTGTCTTGTCGTAATATTGACAAGCAGTAATGAACTTTTCATTGATCATTGTTTGCATTTGAACTGAGCTTTCTTTGTTTTTCATATCCACAGCCTTTCGATTGGCTGAAGAAGACATTATTTGAGAAGCCTGACCCTGAAGAGAAGTGAACAAAGACTGAATGAATCTTGACGGTAATTTCTTGCTTATGGCTGTCGCGGGTTCTGATCTAGCTGCATTCATGAATTAATAAAGTCATTTAGCTGTCGTTTTAGGATTTAATGTTGCATTGCATTGTTTATTGGGATTAATTGGAAGGGAATTGGCTGCTCTCCTGTGCATTCTCTTTTTCATACATTTCCTGTTCTATAATTTTGGTCTAGTTGCTTTCTTGGTAATTTCTTGCTGAATTTCAAGAAATTTTTGCTGTTGTTCTGAGTCTTGTTACAGGAGCAAAATAATTTGACTTTGATGCTGATCGCCTACTATAATGTGGTGAAAACCTGTGTTGTTGTGTAACCTTTTGGTTGTAGAGTTTGCTAAACTATTGAAATGATACTCGGCCACACTCTTCGAGGCACTGCCATTCAAATTTAATATCCTGCAAATTAAATTATCAGTTCAGTTTGATTTTGAATGTGAAGAATGGTTTTATATGAATTAATTTATCATTTGTATTTAAGATTTAGAAAGGTTGGAATGTTAGTAGGAATGTTAGATATGATATTTTATAAAAATAAAAAATTCTAAAATTAAATATTAAAAATAGATATAAGAATCACAAATATTGTGGATATAATTTGCTATTGGTAGATTTATTTAAACTCTATACATATGTAAAAACATATAGTTGTAGTAGAGCTGACAAAAACTGATCCGACACGACAAATATGACCCGACATGAAATAATTGAGTTTGGGTCAAATATTTCAACCCGATTATGTATACGGATTGACACGAACTCGATACGATAGTAAACGGGTCGGGTTAGAGTTGAGGCTCTTAACTCGAATCCAATACGACAATCCGATTATAATATATTAATATTGATTAATATATTCATTATATATGTAAAATAATTATAATTTAATAATTTCTTCGTAAATTAATTTAAACTAAGTTTAATTTTAAATAATCCGACTTAATTTATGTTCAAACCAATAAAAATTAACATAACATGACAACATAACAAAAAATTATTTAATTTAAATCAAGAAATTCGACTTAATTATGTATACGGGTCAACACGAGTCAACTTAATGGGTCAATTCGAACCCGACACAATAATAAACGGATTGGGTTATAGTTGAATAATTTAACCCGTTTGAAGTATTCAACCTGACATAAATCCGATACGAATCGACCCATTAAGAGCTCTATGTTGTAGTACGAGCCATATTCATTTTTTCTTTAAATGAAATTAAGAAATGTTGCCAACAAATTCATCCATCATTAACTGTAAAATAAAATAAAATATTCGATTTTTCTTTAATAAAAAATGGAATCGTAGATTGAAGTAAAGTGATGCTTGGTGAAACCATATACTAGATCTAGCAATTTAGGACCGGCCCAACAAATTAGACCGGGCCGTACAAATTATAGTTATGTGGGATAGGCACGGTTTGTTTTGTTAAAACTGGGCCAATACTTATTAAAAATGAACTTTTATAGATTAATTTAATAAATGAAATTCAACTTCAAACTCACAATCAAGTTGTCTACAAACAAATATGATAATATTATCCAAACAAATATAATATCATCCCAACTCTAAGTATTTTTCTACGATTTTTATATTTTATTTTTTTAATTTTATTATAAAAAATAAAAATTATCCGTGTATTGGTCATGTGGCTGACGGACACATGGATAATTTTTAATTTATTTATTTTTAATTTTTTAATTTTCAATTTTCAATTTTACTCTTTATATTTTTTATTCTATTTTTAATATTTTTTATATATTTTTTGTATTTTAAAAAAAATAAAAAAAAAATTATCCACTTGACGGACACGTGTTTACCACGTGATTCTGACATGGCTGACATGTGTCACCGATATGCCACGCAAGTGCCACATACGCATTGAAAATTAAATGTGTAAAAAAAATCACTTATAAAACTATTTTAAGAGAACCAACAATTACGATACTAAAATAATAAAAAAAATTAATTACGGGACTAAAAAAATATTTTATCTACCCAGTAATAAATTCTTATTCTTCAAACAATTCACTTTCTATAAAATTTTACTTTCTATTATTATTTTTCAATAATTTATTTTTTTAAGTTTTATTTATTTCACTTTCCTTATTGCCGCTTATTTTTAAAATTAAAGATTTGTAATACATTAAAAATAAAAAAATACATTGTTTCTTTAAACCAATTTTTTCAAATTTATTATTTAAATTATTCATTTTTTGAAAAAAATACATTTTTTCTCTATCACAAAACATCTGATTAAATATTATTTTAAAATCAAATTCAAATTATTTTGGTCAAATTCAACCAAAAGCATTTAAAGAAGCAATGAATGATGAGTTAAGGAAGCAATAAAGGTGTACAAAATGAAAGAATTAAGGAAAAAAGTGGGCATGAAATAGGGAAAATAAAATGAAAGCAGGTGTGTTTGTTCTGTGTGTTTTGATTTGAATTTTTTTTTTAATTATGTAAATAATATAAAAATAATGAGTGTGTAGTAAATTAATTTTTTTTTTAAATATTAAAAACTTTTTGAAAAAGAAACAAACTCTACATATAAAAATAATTTTATATTTAATACAATTAATTAATATATATTTATATTATACCATACTTTAACACTTTAATATTTATTTATTCAATATTCAAACTCGAAACAAATTCTTAAGCTTCTATATAAAGTGCTTACCAATTTTAAAGTTCTACTCCGTCACTCCACTCAAAAGTATATATATATATTTTGTAACTTTCTCGTTGAGCCTAATTTGCACGGTATTAGGCTCGGCCGAGGTTTATCCAATCCACACTTTCGGATAGCGGCTGCAGATTATCGCATCATAAAAATATATATATATATATATTTATTTTGATTTGTATTACAATTTTTATATTACTATTATTTTATAGTATGGGAGACCTGGAGGTGGATTTTACTTTTTTTAAAAAAATACTATTTTTTCAACAAATAATCATACTTTAATATCATATAATTATTTTTACATTAAAAAATAAAAAAAAAATTATATTGTACTGTTTTTAATTACTCATTATAGTTAAAATACTATTAATTTTAAAATCCACACACTAAATATATGTTCTCTTGCAGCATGGAGAAAGTATTTTTCAAAAGATCTAAAAATTAAATCATGAATGTATTTAGTTAACATTTTAAATGTCAATCTTTATTACGTTACTAACATTAATAAATTATCTTTTTTTTTATTTATTTTAATTATTAATTAAAATTTTAAAATACCAACTATCTTTTTACTTTTTAATAAAATATTTATTTTTTTAAAATTTTTGTGTAAGGAGAAATATTATACTCACTCTCGCTTACTTTGTTCTTTTTTTTTTTTTTTTTTTTTTTTAAATTTTCGTCTATTTCACTTATTGTCATTGTTTTTTTTTTAAAAAAAATATACAATTTAATCTTATTTTAAAATTTTAAATTTATTATTTTTTAAACTTTAATTATACAAATTAGCTATCTTAATCTTTACTCCCTCTGTCTCAGTACAATAGTTTTATTTATCATTTTTGTCCGTCTCAAAACAATAGTCTCATTTCCATAAATAATCATATCATCATAAAACTATTCATACTTTTTCATTATTATTACACAATTGCCACTATTTTTTACAATAATATACTCACTAGGGCAAAAAAATCATTTAGCCTTACTTTTTACCAAAATTATTTTTATTAAATAAGTATTATTTTCACTAATATATTTTTAATTATTTTCCGTGTGTTTATGGTAAAGTAAAAAATCACCATACATGAGAAGGATGAAGTATATATTGAAATTATATTAGTAAAAATTATTTGGGTGAACAAAGTAAAAATAAATTATACTACCTCCATCCGGCTCTAAGGGTCTCATTTACGTTATGCGTATTGATATTTAAATATTAATTATTATGTCAAAACATAATACAAATTAATAAAAAATTACAAAAATACTTCTATTAGCGTATTATAATACATAAGGATATTTTTAATATTAAGTGTGAAAAAGTAAATGTGACCCTAACCGAAGAAGTATAAAGTTAGTCGGGCCAAAGCCCCGAACCAAGCCTACTCCGAATTATCTCGGACCAACGAGTTAGAAGCCGGTCTGACTAGGCCGGACCGGCAGCTGTTAACGACACGAGTCACACGACGCCTGAATTATCTTGATTCGGAAATCAATTTGTATCCGTCGGATTGGATTGCCCCCATGCGGGGCCCATCGTGACCGTCAAATAAATCACGCGCTACACCCCAACAATCTTAGTCTCTCGCCTCGATGGTATATATTTCAAGGAGGCAGCCTCGGCACCGGGAACTAGGGTTTCAGGTTTAGGCTTCTGTGGGAGCACCGGCAGATGCTGAATTCGATTTTTCTCGTTCTCAGCTTTTGATTTCAAAGCTTGCATTACGGTATGTAATTTTGAGGGCACTTATTTATCGTTTGGTCAACAATCTGATTGGTTTTCGAGCTAAATTGGCTCACCCATTCGCAGTTTTTCGTTCTTTCGATGATTTTCAAGTTTTTTTGCGACTGAAACGGAGATTTCGATGTGGGTGGGGCTAATGTCGGGCTTTCGACCCCCTCTAAGTTTCTCTAACAAATATATGGAATATCTGTAGATGAAATCAATTGATGATAAATTCATGTTCGATGTTTGGATGTATTAGCGGTTTGATGTGTAGTTCGATGGTCAAAGAGACATCTTGCACGTATATGATGCGGCAGACTATGCGTAGTATTGTTAATTGTTTATTTATTTTTAATTCGATCTGGATAAAATTGTTTTAAGTTGTTTGTGATTTCTGTGTATGATTGAGTAGGAATAATGGAGAAGGAGCTTGTTGATCTTTTTGAGTCTGTGGAGAGGGCTGCAGCTGCAGCTCTGAATTCACCCGAGGATGAGGATAGGTGCCTTGATGCATTTGAGTGTCTCAAGAAGTTTCCGGTCACTTATAAAATCTTGCGATCCACACAGGTATTGAAACTCTTTCTTTTGTCTACGTTTATGTGTTTGTGTTCAATGGAGTTCCCATATTCTGAAGCTGGTTGCCTCTTTCACATAGTAATTGAATGCTGTAATGATCTTACTTATTGTTAACCATTAGGGTAGATGAACTTCGAAACAATTCTAGGGTGTTTTCATCTAAACCAATATTTGAATTTCTAGATTTCAATTTTAAGATGTGTCTAAAACAAAGTGATGAAATCCTTTCCGGGATAGATATGTTAAGTTGAATGAGACTGGGAATTGTAGAACAGGACTGTTTTGTATAGAGCAAATGTTCTATATGCAAGAAGATTGATTCATGATTTCGATTTAGCCTGGTTCTCTATTTTCAAGAGTTATTAGCTTATTGCCCATCTTAATATGGTAAGCCTTAGTACAAGGACTTGTAATAAATTGAGCATCTGATTATCCTGCCCTTAAGAAAGCTTGTGTGTGGTAGGGCAACAGTTTAGAGATTTGTATAGAACATCTGGTGTGTGCTGAAAATTGATTGTTGTTACTATATTGTTGATGTCAATGTGAGTGCTGTGTATGACACAAGCTTATGAAGTTTGGGAGTTGTACAGCAACGTGGCATGTGTGCTAAAAATTAATGACTTCCAATTATTGTTGTCTAAGGGAGTTATGTAAATGGAAAGAAACAAAAATAACTTATGCTTGAATAGGCCGACAGTTTAGGTTATGGCAAAGCAATGTGTCGCATGTGCTAAAAATTGATCAATTTTCTTTTATTGTTGGCAAATTGAGTGCTGTAAATGGCCACACGAATGAATGAATTAGGTCACTGTGTAGGTAGGTCAATGGAAACGTGTCACGTGTACTAAGAACTGATTGATTTTCATTTATTGTTGTAATAAAAGTGCTGTAAACGAAACAAGCTTATGAATGGTGAGAGGTGGTAAGGTAATGTGTCACATGTGCTAAAAGTTTATCGACTTTCCTTTATTGTTGGAAAAGTGGGTTCTGGAACTTGCTTAAGCTTATGAGTGAATACATTGACTGTTTAGGGGCTTTCTGGGCAATGTGTCACGTGCACTAAAAATTGGTTTACATTCATTTATTGTCGTCAAATGAGTTATGTAAATTGGTTTACCTTCATTTAAAGATGACAGTTGTGTTGCAAGAGGTCATCGGATATCTTTTTACCCAGATTTTGAGAATCTTTTAAAGCCCAAAACTTCTGGTTACAAATGTGAAACCAAATGTGGTTGCTCTCTCAAGCACTTGGAAACTTCTTTGTGCTATCTCTGCAATATCATTTGGTACTAGGGTTTGAACTGAAAATTTACTTTCCTTTTCTGGCCGGATTGAAACAGTTGACTATGTGAGTACATGGTGTAAGGGGAGTTTAATCAAACACGTTGATTAATACTCCCATCTAAATCTTACTCACAATATGATGAACTTGAAGATCAAAAATTAGCTTTACATTGCTCAAACATATTTACCTGAAGCATTTTCGAACACTTACGATTATTTACTACTTTGGATTAGTTGGGATTATTTACTCCCCATGTATTAGTTAATGCACAAGGATTAGATAATCCCATCCAATTCTTTGTAGTAACCACACCCCAAGGATGTGATTTTTAGGGTGTGGTTGCTGGATGGGATTATTTAATCCCACTGTATTAATTTACACAATGATTAAAGATATGCTTTGGAAGTGTTTTGGAGTTTTCGTGTGATATAGATAGTTGTTGGATGTGATGTTTTAAATAGATAATAGAATGTTGACGTAATATTTTAGATGAAAAATAACTTTTGATGTGATATTTTTTTAAGAAAGAAAAATTTTAATGAATAGTACAATTTTGAAATCAAAAGTAAACAGAGCCCAATAATCAGATCCAGTCCTCATAGTAAGCACGCCCTTAGGGTATGCACATATCTGAAGTTATTATGTTAGATAGCTCAATTTGATTTGAGAAACTAGCAAATAAAATGTTTCTCAAACTTGAAGCTGCTCGTTGATATAGTCTTTAAATCTTTTTTTGTTTCTTATAATTATATAGAAACTAATGAAATGTAGAACTCTAGATAATTGATTTCTCTAGCTGCGCATATTTATACCTATTTCATTTCATAAGCGAGGTTTCTTTTTCTTGTTATTTTAATATCATATAGGCAATCGGAGCTCTCCCCCTCTCTCCATCCCTCTATCTATATCTCCCTGTCTACATCTCTATCTCTTTTTCTCTCTCTCTCTCTTGTTCTGTTTCATACATTTTTTCCATTATTGCTCTTTTTGATGTATTGCTTATAAAGTTGAAATGCTAATGGATGGTAAGTTATTTGGGTGGCGAGTGGAGGCACGAGCATATTAGTCCTTACCTCAGGCCCTATCTAGCGTGGGTCATTGATGTAGCACTTTAGTATTTTTCGTTGCTAGATTGCACCATCTCTTCTATAATGAATTTGTAGTTTAGTTTCTCTTTCCCTGAATACCATTTTTCAGGTTGGAAAACGCATCCGCCAGTTAACCAAACACAGAAGTGACAAAATAAAGACACTGGCCTCCAGTGTGTTTAAGATGTGGAAGGATATTGTAATTGAGGAAACATCAAAAAACTCCAACAGTACTGCAGATGATGCTGATTCAGTGAAACCCAAGTCTGCCAGTAAGGAGACGAGCGAGGCCAGGAGCATTAAAAGAACAAACTCTATTAAGCCTGAACAGGATTCTTCAAAGAAACCTAAGATTGATGGAACCAATCATTCTACTACACCAAATTCGAACAAATCCATGAAGCTGGGAACCTCCTTGAGCGTCAAAACTGAGAAAGCTGAAGCAGAGAAGCCAAGGCCCATGTCGCAAAAACCAGAGAAAGTTGAATCAGAGAGGCCAAGATCCATGGCACAAAAACCAGAGAAAGTTGAAGCTGAGAAGCCAAGACCCATGGCGCAAAAACCAGCCCCGGCCTCAAATCCCGGAGGCCCGCCAAAACTGACTTCCCTTGTTTACTGCAAAGATCCATTGCGCGACAAAGTCCGTGAAATTCTTGCTGAATCCTTGTGCAAAGTCTCTACTGAGGTTGAAGATGCCGACGACCATGTGAAACGCCAGGTGAATGGATCTGATCCTTACCGGGTGGCTGTTCTCGTGGAGACTGCCATGTTCGATAAGTGGGGCAAGTCCAACGGTACCCATAAATTCAAATACCGGTCTATAATGTTCAACATTAAGGATGCCAACAACCCGGACTTCCGGCGAAGAGTTCTAGTGGGGGAGATCGAGGCGCGCCACATTCCTGAGCTTACGCCAGAACAGATGGCGAGCAACGCCAGGCAAGCTCAGAACGAGAAGCTGAAGCAGAAGGCATTGTTCAACAGCGAGCGCGCGGCAGCACCAAAGGCGAGCACGAACGAGTTCACCTGCGGGAGGTGCAAGAAGAAGGAATGCACGTACTACCAGATGCAGACTAGGAGCGCAGATGAGCCGATGACAACGTATGTCACGTGTGTCAACTGTGGCAACCATTGGAAGTTCTGTTAGAAGGAGACTACTGGGTCGGGTCGGGTAAGTCTCACTGTACTGTGGAGCTGCTGCTGCTGCTGCTGTTGCTGTTACATTATTTTTAGTGGTACTATTACTTTTAGGTTGCCATAATCACAGCACTGTTGATCTTCTTCAGATTCTGATCTTACCTCACATTTGTTGTAGAATTGAAGTCTCTCTCTCTCTCTCTCTCTCTCTCTCTCTCTCTCTCTCGCTCAGATTCTGTGACTGTTTTTTGCGTTGTGCATTCTTGTCATAGCCCTCAATTTTATATAGTTAATTGTGGCTGCCTGCCTCCATTAACATTTATGTACTTTGCCTGTCCAAAGTATCAAGATCTTGGATAGGGGTAAGTTCAAGTGGCTTATGTATTTTTAGGCTTCCTGTTCATGGGTTTGTTTGCTTCAAAAATGTTGACAGAATTTTATTAGTTTTTTTTTTTTTTCCTAAAAAAATATGTTCAATTAAATATTTATTATTTATTTTTAATATTATATTTAAAATTAATTTTATTTTTAAAATATTGCGTCAGAATTTATTTGTCTCCATCATGTAATTATTTAAATTTATTTTTTTTGTATTTGTAAACTTCAAACTTCCAACCAGCTATCCCTAGTGTTTTTTTCGATTGAATTTGAAAGTCAAGCTTTGTTCTTTTTATTTTTATTTTTTTTACATATTTTTTAAAATAAATTAATACATTATATATATTTATTATCTTTAAAATATTTATATAATTTCTTATACATAAAATTTTTTCATTTTCAATTATTTCACAAAACAAATACACCGTTCTTCATTAAAATAGAGTTCATGAGGTATACTTGTCAAGATTTTATGATTACCATCCTTTCGAATTGGGTAATCCATTAATCCAACTACTTTGAGGATTGTAAATAGATCTTTTCTTGTTTTTTTCTCCATTAGAGATTAGGAATAGATGAACTCTCAGTAGAATCCATTTTAGCGACCGAATTCATCACCACTTTAGTGATTTTAGCGGCTTGACTAGTAATTCAATATTGTTTCAATATTGTTAGCAATATATAGATGGATAAGTAATTCAACCATTCACATTCGGATCATGAATCCAATGAATTCGAAAAATTGAACAAGGAGCTCTATGAGGTCAAAATTTCATATACAATATTTTGTGAGAAAAAATTATATATATATATATATTTGAGAACATATACTTAAATAAATAAATAGATATGATGTAGCTTTTTTCGTTTTTAGAAAAATTTATTATTGATCAACCACCAAAGAATTTTGAAAAGTGCATGTAAATATAGAGCATAAATTTCTTTTTGTGAAAATGTGTGGCTGTTCGTATAATAAGAAATTGGGTTTATGATGTATTTTGTAGGCAAAAATATGTATTCCTTCCATCGAGCATAATTACGTGAAAGTGTATGCTGGACAGATTATATGAAAATTTGTATATTCGAATCTCTCAAATCTTTGATGAAATCGGTTAGAATTCTGTTTTCTTTGAGACAAACTTTTAGGTGAGTCGATAGACATTATTCAAATAAAATTTGAATAAAACCATGACAATATTAAATCGAAACGAAATTAGAATTAAACTAATTAAACAAATCAAGGCTACCATAATGAATTGAGTTAGGTAAAAACAAATGAAATCACAAAGAACCGGCTTTGGACAGCTGCGGATCTCCGACGGCAGCTCCCTCCTGTCATCTTCTCCAACAACTCCTCCACAGGCGAACCGCAGCGGCATCCTTCGGAAAATCATTTGAACTTCAGTCCTCGAACAGCCGAATTCTCAATCGATTAACCTCCGATCTTTTTCCCGATCTTGTCTATTCTTTTTCGAACTTTCACCGGAAATATGAACAACATATTTCGGGCCAACCATGGTGTCGGAATGACTTATGGTAACCACGCCTCAAAATAGAGATCAGCTCCTCACTCTAAGTCTCGACGCCCATAGAATTCAACGAGGGACCACATTTAGCTGGTATGCCACCTTAAGACCTGGTTTAATACAGACTTGGGCGGAGCTAGTGCAAGCCTTCCACGTAAGGTTCTACAACCCGTCATTGGAGGTCACAATTTCTGACCTTACTAACCTCCAACAGAAAGGAGACGAAACCGTGGAGCAGTTTTTGAAACGCTGCAAGCAGACCAAGGGACATAGTGGAAGATGTGAAGAAAAATCACACTTATAAGTCATACATAAACTCCAATAGTATGAGGTTTTTTGGAAAAAGTAAAACACAAATCCGTGCGAGCTTAGTCAAAAGTAGACAATATTATACTAGTGTTGAGTTGTCCCAATCCTAACAGTGGTATTAGAACCCGGTTAGATGGTGAAGCGGATTGAGTGGCATTGGGCACTAGTGGTGGTGGTGTACTCTCCCTCGTGACCTGCGGAAGTGTCTTGTGTCGAAAGTTTCTTGGCGGTGTTTGATCGGTCCCGACAGTTATAGTTGGTCAGACAGCGGGTCCCTTTGTATTATGCGGTACAAGGTGGCAAGAAGGCCCATAAGTTGGTCCCTGGTTTGAGGTGTCATATTGAAATATATGAAGAAAAATCCACACTTTATAAGCTCCATATAAACTCCACTAGTACGAGGCATTTTGAAAAAATTCAAAAACAAATTTATAAAAACTTAGTCCAAAACGTACGATATCATATTTATTATTGAGTTGGTCCAGTCCTAACACCTACTTCCTATCTTAAGGAGAAATTCACACTTCAATAATAGCCATAAGGGCCGCGCAACTTTTTTATGACACCAAAAGTGTGTGAGGACAAAGCCTATGCAAGATCTAGCCTTGTGGGCGGCAAACCAAAGGGAGGCTCAAATTCGAATGTCTTGGACAAACATTTCAGCCTCCGAGGAACCCTCCGGTTCGGGATAGATTCACATTTTTCGACACTGTCATCGAAGTTAGCTTCGAAAAGAACGGCGAGGTATAGAAAGTCACATTTGTCAATTTGATTGTTATCGGATTGTGTCCATCTTTTTATTTTAGTTTGTAACTTATACAATTTAATTTCATTTTAATTTTTTAATTTATAATTTTTTTTAATATTAATTAGACTAATTTGTTATCTTAATATTAATATAGAATTATTTATATTATACGATAATTATTTTTAAATATATTTTAAATTATTTATTAATTATATCTCTCCTGAATTCTCGTGTTTATAATAAAGAGGACACGGTAGTCGGGACGGATGGAATATTATTTTTTCATGGCTTTCTTTTTTAGCTTTTGTAGGTATGTTTTTTTTTTTTAATAAGTTTTAAAAAAATTTAGTTTTTGTAGGTATGTTTTTTTTTTAATAAGTTTTAAAAAAATTTAGTTTTTGTAGGTATGTTTTTTTTTTAATAAGTTTTAAAAAAATTTAGTTTTTGTAGGATATATTTCTTAAATGAGTTCTAAAAAATTTTGATTTAGATTTGATATTGAAATAATGTATGATAAAATATAATGTGAGAAAAAAATTATTTTTTTCAAAATAGTATAATTCAGATAGTACTCCCTCCGTCCTATGTAATTTGGGCATGTTAATGTAGACACGATAATATGTGTACCAGTAAAAATAATTATTATATAGTAAAAATAATTATAGATTAAGATTAACATAACTAAATAATTAAAAAATTATAAAATATAAAGTTTAAAATGTAATTAAAATTTATAATTATATTTTTTTAAAAAAAAATAAATTATATAGGATGAACAAAAATAAAAAATAAAGAGAAATTACGTCGAAGAAAGCAAGAAACTAGGAATTTGAAGTTTTTAACCGTAGTCACTTCCTTTATAGTTCTTTTATCTATTCTATTTTCAGCGGTGAATTTAGTAGGTGGGAGCAGTCTAACTCTTAAAGTTCAGCCTACTTTTGATTTAAATTTTACTGCTTTATTTAATTTTTACTAATTTCTTCGTATTCCTGCATTGCTAGTGCCTGGCTTTTCATTTAATTTTTACTGCTTTTTCAATTAATTTCTTCGTATTACTGCATTGCTTAGTACGCAACAACAGTGCGTACTAGGGTGTGTTTGTTTGGGGATTTCAATTTTGAGTTGGAATTTGAATAGCAAAAATTTTGAATTTGAATAATTGTACGATGTGATATAAATAGGTGTTGATGTGATGTTTTGAATGTAAAATTGATTTTTAATATAATATAAAAAATAAAAAATAGGTGTTTGATTTGATATTTTTGAAAAATTTTTTTTGAATGAATCAAAATCCTACAAACGAACCCACCCTAAATATTTCTCAACTATTCCTCAATTTTTTATACAATTATTCCAATTTTAACGGTGAGTGAATTTGTGACCATAAGATCATAACTTCAAAAACTTCTACGTCTTCTGAGCTACTTGACCACATAATTCATAATTTACCTAGTATGACTTATCTTATTAACCTAATTCGTAGAATATTAAATTCGATCAAAGATTTATCATTTATTTAATAAATGTTGTGAATTCCCAAACGACACAGTTCTGAATTCCTAGTTGAAGGAAGCTAAAAATCCATTGGATTTTTTATGAACTCAAATGCTAAACCATCCAAAAAAATGTTTCAAGCAATAACAGTACAAACCAACCAATCAATCTCAGCCTTGCTAATTCCATTCCAAGCAGGCAAGTAGTAAGTATTGTTTGAGGAATTATGTGGAATTTTCTATTATTTCCATAATATTTTTTTTTTAAAAATATCAAATTAAATATTTATTTTTTTATTTTTTATATTATACTAAAAATTAATTTTACATTCAAAACATCACATCAATTTTTATTTATATCACATTATATAATTATTCAAATTCAAAATTTTTACAAACACACCCTATTTTAATTAATTGACACACAAAATAGCTAGATAATATTTATGTTCCTTCCTTTAACAATGAATAAGAATAATATAATTGTACATGTCACCTGGTGGCGTAGGAATTAAACTTAGAAATGAATTTAAAGTTTCGACGCCTCAAGTCACCTGCCATACATGGTTCACCTTAGGGCTAAATACTACTTTAGATTATAATTATGGGACGGAAGGAGTATCAATTAACCATCAGAAGTAGGGGTGGAAGTAGAAATAGGAGTAGAAGTAGGAGATTGTTTGAGGGCCTGGAAGACCCTGGAGCTCCTGTAAAAAATCTGGGCTCTCCTGTTGTAATCAGTGGGGTGTCTCCCCACATCGTCACCCATTATAGCTTCCTTCTCCAGGAACTCCAGGACCTCCGCTATTCCTCCCAGCTCAACTTCATTCTCCTTCTCCAGTATCTCCTTCTCCAACTCCAACTCCAACTCCATCCCCACTGATTTTCTCTTCTCATCCTCTTTGCCACACCCTAATCTCCTCCCCGCCGCCACCTTGTACTTGTAATTGTAATTGTAGGATACCGCAGGATGAGGAAACCAGATTCTGCTTCTAGAAGAAAAAGATGATGATGATGATGATGATGATGGGAATCGAGGGAAGACAGATTGAGAAGGAGAAGATGAAGAAACTGCAATCGAAACAGTGTTCATTGTTTTATGATCTGCTGTTTAATCAGTTGTGTGTGCTGTTAAGGACGACCAAAATAGGCGATCAAGCCTATCTGCTATCTGTTGTGTGTATATAATATATATACATATATCTGTATCTATGTTTATGTCAATGGTCTCCGGAGATGAATGTGTCAGTCACGTGCCTGGACGGTGAATGAAAGGAAATGGTCTGCGGCCACGTGGCGGAGAGGAAGACCACGTGTCTAGGGGCACGTGGAATGACAAGCATAGCTCCACCTCAAAAATATATTTCTTCCTAACTAATTTATCTCATTTAGTTTAGACACTAAATTTTAAAATTGTACAATTAGTGATTAAATAAAAAGATATTTGTGAAAATATTTATAATTTAATAAAATAATTTTAAATTAAAATTAAAATAATTAAATAATTTAATTAAAATAAAAAATTATGAATTGGGAATTAAAAAAAAAAAAAAAAAGACAAATTACTCTAAGCCAGGAAGCCAGTTTAGCTTAGGTAGGTCGATTTCGTGTTCCATGAGATAATGATAATCATGATGATAATGAGTTTGTTTTATGTTGTGTTTAAGATGAATTTGTATTTTATTCTCTAATAAATATTATAGAAAATTATATTAATAATATAAAAATTAATATTTTATATTAAATTATTAATTTTTTTAAAATAAATAATATATATTTTATATTATATTAATATGAATATTTTATATTTTAAAAAATATTTATAAAAAAATTATATCATAAAATATATATATATATATATTTGGCCAACAAACCGAATACGTTTGCGTGTTTTGTTGAATGGAATTAGGAATTCATACCCTATAAGCGACACACCAACGTCGCTTCCAATCTCAAAATTACTCACGGCATCCGACTCTACTTTCTTCGTCCCCAAGAAAAAAATAAAATAAAATAAATCTATATATAAAATAATTATTTTAAAATAATATTTTAAATTTTATACTATAAAATTTGAAAGATATACACAATGATTATTAAAAATATATATTAATATATTATTTTTTTTATAAATTTTTTGTAATTATTTTTCTAAAATATTAAAAAACAATTATTCCTCCGTCCTACTTTTCATATCCACCTTTATATTTTCGTTAGTCCCATTTATTTTGTTATTTTCGTTTTTGTAAAATAATTATATACTTTAATTTTATTTTTGAAAATTTAATTTATAATTTTTTAAATTTTAATTATACTAATTAATTATCTTAATTTTAATCTATAATTATTTTTATTAAATGTTAATTATATTCACTAATATATTTTTAATTATTTAGTAATTATATTCCTTATAAATTCTCGTGTCTACAGTAACATAGACAAAATATCCGGGATGGAGGGAGTATTTTTTATATTATGGATTGTAAAAATTATTTTTTCTAAATTATAAATATATATATATATCAAATAAGTTTAATAAAAGAAGTAAAAACAATAATAAATATGACATACAATATGATTATATTGAAAACATAGTTGTCAACCACTACAAAAAAATAATATATTTGTAACGGAATTCCGTTCATAAATTTCACATAGCTAACGTAATTCCATTCCTATTTTCGTCTCTAATGTCATTAGTAACGGAAAAAATAGATTTAGAGACAAAAAAGTTTTGTTACAAAAATGAATTTTTCTTGTAGTGAACCTAGCTTAGAATATGACTTGTATTGAGAAAGAAATCGTGAACATGACTATGTTGAAAACAACATCATGAACACGGGCATGAACACAACCATGTTAAAAAGTGCAGGGTAATCAACACTGTCGGACCTAGTTTGCAGGATATTAAATTCGAAGAGAATTATCATATACGCACTTTCGGATAGCAGGTGCGAACTCCTAGGTCAGGTCAGTATATTTATTAGTTTAAATCATCCATTTAATTTATGTATTATTTTTTTATAGTAAACAATTTGTCTATTTATAATTTTATTATTATTATTTTAATTAATTAATTAATTAATTAATAATAATAATAATCAAATAATAGTCAATACTATATTTTTATTTACGTTATATTTTCTTTACCAACTTTTAACACACATTTTATTTTTTATTTACCCTGCTTGTATATTAGAAATAATATCATTACTTCTTAATTTTTATGCTCAAACAAAATAGTATAGAGCGAAATATTATAAATTAATTTATATATTTATATATAGTGCATGTTAATAAATAATATATTCGCCTCAATTCAATATATCTATTTTACTATTTTTGTTTGTCCCAATTAAAAATATATATTTTATATTATAATATAGTAATCATATACAAGTACCAAAATATTGTTAAATTTTACTTTTTCGTTCCGGCTAAATTGCCCACTTTAGCCGGGTACAAAGTTTTAGGTATTACGCAAGTAGCAAGTAATTAAACATGTATTAATAAAAATAATTATAGTATAATAAAATAATAATTATAAATTAATATTAAGATGGCTAAATATTTTAATTAAAATAAAAAAAATTATAAATTATGAATTTTAAAATGTAATTAAAGTGTATAATTATATTTCCGAAAAAAAAATAAACAATTTATGTGAGACGGATGGATATGAAAATGGTTGTTAAATTAAGTGGGACATAAGGAGTATAAAATATATTCAAGGTTTTTGTGCCCGTATTTTTTTTCTGACACGATTCTCAATATATATATATATATATTTTATTCTTTCACCAAAGTCAACATTCAACATAAAATATATTCACTCCGTCTCACTTACCATGTCTATCTTTTCATTTTCGTCTGTCTCACTTATCTTGTCATTTTTTTCTAAAAAATAATTATATACTTTAATCTCATTTAAAATTTATTAATTTATAATTTTTTAAAATTCTAATTAGATTAATCAATTATCTTAATATTAATCTATAATTATTTTTATTATACGATAATTATTTTTATTAATATATTCTTAATTATTTACTAATTATATCTTTTCTAAATTTTTGTGCCTACAGGAAAGCGAACATGATAGCAAGGACGGGGGAGTAATATTTATATTATCGACACAATTTTCTATATATTTCATAAAAAACTAAATTCAAGAAAAATCACTAAACAAACAAACCATAAGTTTTTTGTATTTATAAAAGTATAAGTGTCAAAACTATTTTACACACTTTTACTGACCAATAAAATATTATTATTTTTAATCTACTAAAAAAAATAAATATATAAATTCAATTGAAACACGAGTATATATTAAAAAATATTTATAATTGTTAATATGCTAAAATATACTTATTACTAAAATATAATAATAACTATAAAATTTTTAAGTATTAAATATTTATAAATAAATGACTACTGTTTTGTTTAAACAGAAATTTTTGAAGATTTTTGGAATTTTATAAGTTTGAAAAGAGTAAAAAAAAATTAGTATTTGGTTTAATATTTTGTAAGAGAAAAATTATATTTGATGTTATTTTTTTGAAAAATAAAATATCAAATAAATAAAAGTGTGTTGTGTAAACAAAATCTACACTTACCACACTAATTAACTTTTAATATTTGATGGTATTGTCGGGTGGAATGTAAATTTACTGATTGAATATTAATTTTATTAAATTATAATCATATAATCATGATTGATAAATTTATTTAAAGAGTTCATAAAAAATATTTTGTTATTTTTGTTATACGTAGTCAAACGGAATAAACACATATTATAGCAAAAAAATATTTTAATTTATTTCTTTAATTATAATTAAATGAAGAATCTTTCATACAATTTATCTATAATATTAATGTTCCATATTGATTGACTTTTGCAGAGAAACTTTTGGCTTTTATTTAAAAAAAAAAATATTTTGTACATGTTTGAAATAATATTCAATAATAAAAAAAATAAATAAATAAAATTGAAAAATAATTTTTTCATAAGCACTTGAAAGTAACTCTTTAAATAAACAACAACAACAATAATAATAATAATAATAATAATAATATAGTATAATATAGTTGTTGAGTAAGGAAAACCAATACGTAGAATTTTTTTGGAGAATGGACTTATAAATTAGAATATGGGTTTGGGTGTATAGGCCCAATGGTCAATGCGCTATTAAGAAATTGGCTTTTCCGGAAGAACATGTGATTAGGTGATCGGTGGATATAGAAGTCGGACAAAGAGAGGTCGGACGAAGGGAGACAACAAACATCTAGGTCGGTTGGCATGAAGGTCGGACAAAGGAAAGTCGGGCGAAGAAAGATGAGGCGGCCGATGCGGAGGTCGGACAAAGGGAAGTCGGACGAAGAAAGATGAGGCGGCCAATGCGGAGGTCAAGACAAATGGAAGACGGGCAAAGGGAGAAGAAGCAGTGGATGTACAAGTCGGATGAAAAGCAGTTCCAAGGCGGTTGGAAGAAGTTACAACTGACAAACGGATATGAAGGCACGATCTGATAACTACATTTGGGCGGTTGACATGGGTTTTTAAATATGTCTTTTCATAACCTAAAAGAAGAATCTTCAATCGACATCAAATTCAGTGAATTTCTTTTGGGGATCATTATTTTAATTTTACAGTCTGTAGTATTTCTTTTCAATTTTTTCTTTTATATCGTACTAGGTTTAGAGATTCTTAATCTCAGACATTTATTTAATCAAATTCGAAGATAATTTCTATTTTCGGATTTTACTTTTTATTGTTGAAAATTTGCATCAACAATTTGGCGACCACGGATGGATGGAGATAGAGAAGCTAGGGGTTAATTTGGCTAAGGCACGACCTATCGACCTTTGAGGGTTCGGGCTAATGGGTAGTCGGCCAAAAAATGCGTTTGAAAAGTATAGACGAAGCCACAGCTCCAGGAACCAAAATGGTCCCGAACCAGCTATGTCCGCCTTCTTGGTATCGGTCAGATGGGTGCTCACTCGGGATAAAGCCTCAAAAAGGTTGGCTAAAAATAAGGTTCCTAATGAGAAAAATTGGCCACTGGCCAGATAAATGGCCTGGTCAACCTGGGAGGACAGAACAAGCTTGGAAGGAGAAATTATTATATATGTGTGAAGAAAGAAGAAACTTAACTAAATATTCGACTTTAAGGTTATATGGAAAAGTATAAAGAAGAAAAGTGTACCTGCATAGCCAAAAAGAAGGAAAGCTGCGTTTTCCAACTCGGAAACAAGGGTGCTTTCCTCACCCAAAAACTTAGTAACAAAGCTGGTCCAGCTCATTTCCTTCTCGGCCAGTTTGGCAAGTGCCCAACCAGCATGGTCGGGCGAAGGTTCCCTACCCTCAAAGAAGACCAGAATGGGATCGTCGCCCACTATGGGTAAATGGGTGATGATGGCCACGTCCATAAGGGTCGGGCCAATGGGTCCAGAAGGGAGAAAAAAAACTCCCATCTGTGAATGCCAGAAGGCTGCCATGGCCAACAGGGCCTTATAATGAAGGTGGAGAGGCTGAGTTGAGAGGAGAATAGCCTTGTCAATACCTTGCCTCCTCCACTGCTCTTCGAAATGGGGGAGAAGTCTTGCGTACCATTTGCGATAGGCATCTTTAGGGTCAGTAAAGTGAGTCCTGACGCTATCAAGGAGTCTTTCTGGCTTGAAAGCAACATCGTTTATGGCCATCGGAGAAACTTGGGAAATGACGGATTTCATGCGATCGACATCTTCGGCAGTAGTACAATAGGGGCGAATGGTAGGGGTAAGGCCCCTCGAGGCCACAAAAGGCACCGATGGATTAGTCCTGTCGAAAGGAAGAGCAAGGACATATTGGTTGGCCATTTGCGAAGGATATACAGAAAACGAAAGAGAAGAGATCTGGGAGGATATTCGCTTGAGAGAAAGGGAAGGATTTCAGGATTCTGAGTGCGTGAATATGGAATGGAAGGGTGAGAGAAGGGTTTTACGTAAACCCCACGATGTGACATAAAACAGTGTAATGATAGCACTGTGTTACAAACCCCTAAACATCACATCTCACACAGTCCGAGAATTGACGCTTAGGAGTCAGGGAGGCAAGTTGTTGAGTAAGGAAAACCAATGTGTAGGGTGTTTTTGAGAATAGACTTATGAATTAGACTATGGGTTTGGGTATAGGCCCAATGGTCAAGGCGCTATTAAGAAATGGGCTTTTTCGGTAGAACTTGTGACTAGGTGATCGGTGGATATAGAAGTCGAACAAGGAGAGGTCGGACGAAGTAAGACAACAGACATCTAGGTCGGTTGGCATGGAGGTCGGACAAAGGGAAGTCGGGCGAAGAAAGATGAGACGGCCGATGCGGAGGTCCGACAAAGGGAAGTCAGACGAAGAAAGATGAGGCGGCCGATACGGAGATCGGACAAATGGAAGACGGGCAAAGGGAGAAGAAGCAGTAGACGTGCAGGTCGGATGAAATGCAGTTCCAATGCGGTTGGAAGAAGTTTCAAATGACAATCAGATATGAAGGCACGATCTGATAACTACATTTGGGCGGTTGACATAAGTTTTTAAATAGGTCTTTTCATAACCTAAAAGAAGGATATTCAATCGACATCAAATTTAGTGAATTTCTTTTGAGGATCATTCTTTTACTTTTACAATATGTAGTATTTCATTTTAATTTTTTCTTTTGTATCGTACGAGGTCTAGGGATTCTTAATCTCAAACATTTATTTAATCAGATTCGAAGATAATTTCTATTTTCGAATTTTACTTTTTATTGTTGAAAATCTGCATCAACAATACTATAATAATCTTTCCCTCTATAATAATCTTTCCCTCATGGTTGCTTTTCTTTTCTTGTTTCTTCATAAAAATAACTAATTTTTTTTTTTATTTTTAGTTAATTTATTATTTTAAATATATTTAATAAATATAAATTAATTAAATTAAATTTTAAATTCTTTTCCTAGCTCAAAATATCTTTATTTTTATTTATCTACTTAATAAATAAACATGTATATTTATATTTAAAACTCCTAATTTTTATAAAATTAGTTTTAAGTTAATTATAAATAAATATAAATATTTATATTTATTTATATTAAATAAAATTTTACTCCCTCCGTCCAGGAAATATAGGACTATTACCGTAGATATCAGAATTTAGGTAAAGTATAATTAGTAAGTAATTAAAAAGTATATTAGTAAAAATAATTATTATTTAGTAAAAATAATTATAGATTAAGATTAAAATAAGTAAATAGTTTAATTAAAATTAAGAAAATTATAAAATTTAAAATTTTAAATGATAAGTTATACGGGACGGACGAAAATAGAAAATAAGGACAAATTATGTGGGACTGAGAGAGTATTATTTATGTGATATACATATTTTATATTTTATTGAGATATAATGTTAAAAATATTTAAAATATCAACAATACTACTCGTATAAATACAATAAAATAAAAATAATTTTTTAAATATAATTAATAAAAATTAAAATAAATTATAAAGATTCCAAAAAATATACAATTATATTAACATCATATATTTTTAATAAATTTTAACTATTTAAAACACTTTCAATTTTATTACATTCAAATAATTTTTTTTTAAAGTATTCTCGGAATTATTACAATACATTGTATTTCACGTATTGTATATGATCGGCTGCTCTAGCCTTATCCACTTTGCACGGCGTGCCGTCGTGTGTTCGAGCCTTCACAGCGGCTGCATTTTCCGGCGACTTTACAAACCCGTCGACCAATGCTCAGTGATCGAGTACTTGGCTGGGCGACGAATACCCCATCAAAGAATGTAGCCGATGGTTCAACGACAAAGGCCACACCTGTTCGATCCCGTTGGTCGATTTTCGCAGCTCGCCGATATCTGATGACGATCCAACCGATTCCGCCGGAGTCATTGATCCAAAACGACGCCCCTCTTCTATGTTCCGACTACAGTTTCCCGGCGAAGGGGCCAATGAAGCCGCCATTGTCGGAACTGCAAAACTTCCTCGAACCACCGAGAACTTCAGGACATTCTTACAGGCATTGCACATAAGTCGATGGCTTCTTCTGTTAAAGATCAGAAAATCATCGGGAAAATGCAGAAGTTCTGAGCAATTGTAGCATGCGATAAACGGCGCTGCACCCGCCACAGGTCGAACGTATCTCTTCGTCTTCACCGGCCGTTTCTCTGGAGATTTAGATCTTTTTATGTCGTTGCAGGTTCGATGCGATTTACTTCGATCATTAACATGGTGATGCGAGCAAGAGCATCCGGAACAATTAGAATCCCTCGATGCAGCCATTCTTGAGTACTGTTTTATTGAATATGCTTCCTGCTCGACTGTGTATGGATTATAGCTCAAGCGATTGAACTTTCTATCTACGAATCGATCTAAAAAGCTTCTGTTTTCTATAACCTCGGGAAACTGCATCCTGTCGATCTGATCTTTCAGTTCGTAAACTGTTCTCAACAGGTCTGCTCTGTTCATCTCCGAGTATGAAGCTTTTCTTGACGGACGATCGCCCAGACAAGGTGGAGGTAAAATGAGACGATCACTTGATGCGCCGATTGAGTATAAAGCAGTTTCAGCGTACTTGTCTCGGTCCCGGAACATTTCTTGGATTCCATTGTAAGAAGATTCAGTACTTGTGTATGTGTAATAACTATCATCCGTCGCATTCTTAGTTGTCGATCCATTTTCTGTGTTGACGCCGAGGTAATTTGATCCAGTTGTAATCGGAGAGTCTTCCCCGTCTAGATTCATAATCTTCTCCATTACATCTTCGCCTGCTTCAAGATTCTGCTCTTCTAGTTGCGATGCATCGTCGCCAGAAATAGATACAGAAGATAAATCCTGATCGGCAGATTTTACACTTCCCACAGAATCTGGTTTCTTGTCGAATAACAACGAAATCTGTCCCTTTTCAACATGATCTTGTGGAACCACATCATCCGAAGGCAGATTGGCTTCTGGATCTTCATGTTCTTGTAAATCCGGAACATCCATGGCCGCCTCATGAGTACACTCAGCCGAGCCAAGGATTCCATTCGGCTCACCATTATCATCACTGTGACATTCTTCGGACACAAGGTCTCTGAGATTGCCCTGTTTCGAAGGTTCCTTACCTTCAACAATGGAACCTTCAATCGGACGGGCAATATCAATCGAACCACCACCGGAATCTTCTTTATCCGGCGAAGAATCTAAGGAAGGCTGCGGTCCGGTGGAAACATGCTCGGAGCTCTGAACTTCCTTCTCTTCAAAAGCACCAGCATCCTCCTGGCTTTTTTCAATCTGATTGCTCCTAGATTTCCAGTTTTTGCCTAAAACATAGCAGCAAATCACGAAGATGGAGAGCAATTCTGCGAAGAAGACGAAGCTGAAAGAGGCTACAGTACCTTGAAGAATATTGCCGCATCCTCCGCAACTGTAGAGGGAAGCGTCAGGCAGCTCTTCTAGAACGTTCCAACATCGAGGGCATCTAACCCGTCGAACTTTTCCAGCCATTTTTGAACGGTTATTTCGTTCCAATCTACGAAGGGATGAGATCGATTGAAATCAATAATTTCAGTATTCCTCAGAAGATCAACCATTCACATGAAACCGAATCAGCGACGGAAAATTGGAAGCAGCGCAGTGAAGAACAAGCAAAACTCAACAAAGTTCATATTAAATTACGCTTAAAATTGAAATCATACAGAGTGCAATAGAAACCCTAGAAAATGGGGACGAACCGAACTCAAATCAGTTAAGCTGTATTTCTTCGCGCAATTCAAACAAACTAACATTACTGAACAAGAGACGAAATGCGATCCATCATTCATTCCACCGTATATAAATATTCCACCTAAATTCCGAAAGAGACGACCATACCTTATTCCATTAACAATCGGAACTAACTCTTCAGAATGATGTCTTCAATCCAGACCAGCAGATGAAGGAAGTAGGAAGCGTGAGATGACGTAGAAGAAACAGAGCCTACACAGAGTCAAGGAAGGGAAGGATATTATTGTTTTGGATATGGAGAATCTCTCTTCTTCTCGTTCTTCGTTTCTATTGGTGCAGGCAGAGCCACTGCTGCCATTGACAAGCTTCCTTCTCGCTATCACTGAAAACCCCACACGGAGGGAGAAGTCATCATCTCTATCAGTCATCATCTCTGCCAATTGCCATGGACATGACTCGGTCATCCAATAAAGAAAACTAGCCGACGCTTGAATTTAAACGCTTTTATTTTATTATAATAGTATATAAATTACAATTTTCTTTTTTTATTTAGCTTAAAAATAGTGTTAAATATTGTGCTCATATATATATATATATATATTTTCACTGTTCGCCTTTAAAGTCATATTTACCTTTTATATTATTATAGTAATATTAAAAAAAAATTATATTTGTATAATTATTTATATAATTGAAGTATTTTTGTAATCTTTTTCTTAATTTGTACCCCTTCTGTCCCATATAATTTGTCCCTATTTTATATTTTCGTCCGTCCTACGTAACTTGTCTTTTCTATTTTTGGAAATATAATTATGCACTTTAATAGCATTTTAAATTTTAAATTTTATAATTTTCTTAATTTTAATTAAACTATTTATTTATCTTAATTTTAATCTATAATTATTTTTACTAATACATTTATTAATTACTTACTAATTATACTTTACCTAAATTCTCGTGTCTACGTTAATACACTCATATTACATGGAACGGAGGGAGTATTACGTTTCGATATAATAATTAATATTCAAATATCAATACGCAAAAAAACAAATGAGACATTTTGATAATAATAATAATAATAATAATAATAATATAATAATAATATAATACTTGTATCGTAACAAAGTAATTATTTTTTTCATTTTAATCTGTACCATAACAAAATATCTATTTTTTTCCTAACATTACAAATACATTTATATTTTATATATAATTTATCCTTATAAATATAATAACTACGTAAATGAATGTCGATGGTGTGTAGTTAAGCGGTTTAATCTTCGCTTGACCAAGTTCTTTTTCATTTTTTTATATCGACCCAGAAGGATCCTATGGTAGATATTCGTTATTAAGGGGTTTGCTTGGGATCATAATCTTCACAAAGATATCTAACATTGCTTTTGTAAAATAATAATAATACAAATAAATTAAATTAAAAACTACTTCTAATCTGAAGTTTTTATTGATTAATATTTAAAAATTACAAATTACAAATAAGAATTTTCTTCAATTTTATTATAATTGAGTTTCAATAAATTATTTGAATATTTTGATTTGAAATTGAATATTTAATTTTTATTTAAATAATATTTTGATACGATATTTTGTCGAAAAAAATATGATATTTTTATCTACGATTGAACATTATTAATTTGTATTTAAATTACAAACTGAACACCCTTCTTATTTTTCACTTATTTATTTATTTTTTTTATCCTTATTATTGTTAGAAAAACTTCTATCTTATGTAGGATCTTAGTAATAAGCACTTAAACAGCTAAAGCTATTAGAGTGTGTTTGTTTGGGGCTTTGGATTTTGAATTGAGATTTGAATAGTAAAAATTTTAAATTTGAATAGTTGTATGATGTGATATAAATAGGTGTTCATATAATGTTTTGAATGTAAAATTGATTTTTAGTATAATATAAAAAATAAAAAATAGGTGTTTGATTTGATATTTTTTGAAGAAAATTTTTGAATGAATAGTAGAATTTTGACAAAATCCTACAAACGAACACACCCTAAAAGTAAATTAAATTCCTAATTTTGGCCTGATAGCATACAAATATTGGCTCTTACTATTTCTTTTTAATTGATTTACAATAGTCACGGAGCATGCATTACTCTTTGAATACTCAAAGTGATTCCCCCAAAATTTTCCAACTGAAAATGAATTTTTGCATGGCTCCTACTCAGATTTTTCGAAGGGGCTCTAAGCCTCTTCTGAATATGATGCGCTCAAAGATCAAACAATGTGAGTCCTGGCAGCACTTCACAAAGCCCGTTGTCGGATTAAAAATAGGCTCTAGCAGTAGCACCGCTACACGGTTTCAAGCCTTAACGGTTCATTTGATGGATTTTATCTAAAATCTACTGGAATTTGGATAAAAACAAATTGAAAATTTAAATTAACATAAAGTATGCTAGAATTGACAAAAAGCAATATAAATTAAGACATAATTCGATAAAATTCCTAAAATCTAGAGACAAGCTACTAGAAAAATAAAAAGATAAATTTGATTTTAGATAAGATGTGTGTTGTGTGAGTCTTACTAAATATGACCCTAAAAAGGAAAATAGAACCAATTCTTAAATTCTAGAAAGTGGATGGTACTTCTGGACCCATGTCCAACAATCTTTTTATTCGTACCTGCAAGAATTCTAACACTTGTGATCGATTTTGAGGCCACATGTGACAAAGGAAAACTTCTTCATCTGCAAGAGATAATCGACTTCCCATCATTGGTTGTCTGCAGCATCACCGGAGTGCCAAAGGCAAACTTTCAGACATACATTCGGCCAACTTACAACCTAACCTTAACTGATTTTCGCAAAGAACTTACCGGAATATAGCAAGCTCAGGTTCTTATATATTCATAATGTCCAAATGTTTGTTTTAACTTTTATCTAGGTCGACCGTGGTCTTACATTAAACAAAGCTATTTCCCTACACGACAAATGGCTTCAGATGATGGGAATAAAAAACACTAACTTTGTTGTCGTAACCTAGTCTGATTGGGATTGCCGAACGCTACTTGAAACTGAATGCCGATTCAAAAATATTTACAAGCCTCCTTATTTCAATAGGTATGCTTTTGTCCTCCCAAGTCAAAGTAATCAATCTTCTAATGTTCGTCATCAAACCTATCCTTTACATAAAACTATGCATATTTTTTAGCACCAATTTTGTCCGTGTAAAAAATGGATCCATTTGAGGATTCCATTCCATAGTGTTTTTGGTCGGAAAGCATGTAAGTTGAATGAGTCTGTCGAGAAGGCCAGCCTAAGACGGGAAGGTCACTTAATGATAATTCACAAGGGCTACAAACTTTCAATCACCAACATGTTATCCTACAACCCAAGCGATATTAGGCCATTAATTGTGGGGTTAAAAGTAATAAAACAATGGTTAGGAAACATGTGCTGTGGCAAGGAAGATTCTTCTTCGAATGCGGAAATTGGACTCCGGCGAGAATTGCTAAATGCCAATTCAGAAAATCAAATATTTCAGGGCTTAATTGTGATTTTTCTTCTTGGTTGTAGATCTGTGTTGTGTTGTTCTGTTCATTTTTTTAATTGACTGATGATCGATCGAGAATCTTCTTCTCCATTCAGTATATACATATGCTAATTCTGGTTTGCTAATTTTTAGGTATTTTATGCTTGCTCTCTTTATATGTATATATGGACATAATTGTGGGTACAATACCTATATGTTTATTTATCTATGGAGTGTGTGTTAAGAGTATTTGTCTCTCTTTATATTATACGTACTATTGGATATTCTCTCATGTTGTTCATCGCCTTCATCAATAACAACATTAATTAATATATATGATTTGTTTCTTTCTAAACATGAACTTGATCGACACATGTGGCACCCATCTGACACGTCAATGTACACATATTAGAGTAAATATATGCACGTAGTTGATAGAGTTACTCAGAGCACCGCCAGTGGCTAATGTAAAAATCTCCCTCGAAAGCCCACGTGTCCAATTATACTTTATTTCTCGATGGATGGTTTGTCAATTTGAGTACAGTGACCCATTTGTTTTTTTAGAGGTAAAATATTTTATTACTAATTTTATTTATTTAAAGAATATTTTCCTAGGATTTTTTTTCATAGATACGGCCATTCTCCCCCAAATTGATATATCATCTCCTCGCCTCGTTGATTCTCTTTGTTGTGGGCATCCCCGACGACATCATCCAAACAGCACATCGCCCGGTGGGAGTTTCTTCGGCGAAGGTTTTTGAAAATTTTCATCTCGGAGAAGGTAAGAAACTCCTTCTCGCTTTCTCTCCTTCTTTCACCCCACCCGACGACTTAGTAACGCATGAGCTTTGCTGCCAGAGGGACGGCGTGAGAGAAATTATTGTGGGAAAACTTGACGCCGGGGAAAAAAGAACAGTGAAGTGGAATGAAATTTGTACGGTGTGCACAGATAATTTAATTAAAGATGAGAGAGAAGATGAATTTTTTGTCACACAACACCATTGTGCCTCACCTCCACCAGGCACAAGTTATGTTGCGCCAATATATTCACCTCGAAGTTTATTTCACTGTGCGGCCTAATTCTCGATGGTCATGAGCGAGGCCTTCTGAATAGAATAAATGGGTCTCCAAATATGAGCAGCTGGCGATGATGCTCTCATGTACTATGAAATCACATGCATATATATATATATATACTAGTGCTCCGTTGGCAGTGTATAATTGTTTTTTACCATAATATATATTAATATTTTAAAATTTAATTATTAAGGTTCTATATATACTAATTAATTTTAATAATAAATATTATTACGATTAAAGTATCGATTACTATATTTTTTTATTATTATTTAAATCAATTTACTTATGAATAATGAAACTTAATTTGTTTAAGAAATAAAATGCATAAATTTATTAAAAATTCTAAATTGACGCAAAGATCACAAAAATAATATTCTTATTAAGGAATATCATAGTAACAATTTTATTGAAAAAGTATAATTAAAATATAAGCAAAATAGGGATGGTGAGTTGTTAAGTGGCTACCGAGTAATTAATAAAAATTATAAGTACTTGTTTATAAAGCAAAGATAATTTTACTGCAATATCTGAGATGCCTATGTTAATTACAACAAATACGTAACAATAATTAATGAAAACATATCTAAGTATATCTGGAAAGTTTTGGAGGTTTTGAAAATTTGGAAAAAGTAAAAAAAATTAGTATTTAATTTGATATTTTTTTTAAAAAAAGTATATTTAATATGATGTTATTAAAAAAATGAACAATGTCAAATGAGTGAAAATGAATTGTGTAAATATACCTTAATAAGTAACAACAAAAGGTTGTAAAGACAAAAGTTCAAACAAATATACAAATGCAAAAGGCAATGCAAAAAATATAAGGATATTAAAGTCATTTCAACTGTCAAAAAAGTTAGATAGGTATATATTACTTTAACCAAATTTTTTCAAATTTTATTGTTTGGACTCCATTTCTCGAAAAAAAACATATATATTTTTTTCACAAATCATTACATCAAACATTTGTTTTGATACCAAACTCGAACCAATCTTTCCCAAACTCAAATAAGTATTAAAATATATGAACAGCATGCATAGATACAAAAATATGCTTACTATTTCATTGTTGTGCTGCAATGCTGAGATGCACAATTGGATCAAATCCCCTTATGGATCATATCTACAGACTCAACTGCTTGGCTTTTCCTTATCAGCAATGGCTACAATTTTCTTCTCAAGTGCAACCTTGTCGGCACCAACGAGCTTGTCGACCTCTTTCCCATCCCTCATGAAAAAGAAGGTTGGCGTCGCGCTGATGCCCCATGAGGTACTGAATTCCTGCACCAGATAGACATAAATCCACAAGTTCAATTTGGACATTGAAGATCATCGATTGCATGTAGACAGTCATGTCATTTCCAGTTCCGGGTTTATGTGAACTTACAGCCAACGCATCCACATCAACCATTAGAAACAGAATTGCGGGGTGCTTGTCAGCAAGTTCGCGGTAGGTTGTTGCAATGTGCCTACAAGGACCACACCAATGTGCACTGAAATTCACCACCATCTGGTTGGAAATTTCGACCATTTTGTGAGGATAAACGAATCTCTGTAATGGAAATGGATTAAGCTTAACAAAACTGATAACTTACGACTTTGCCTTCATTGTTTGATTCCGATGTTTCTTGGTTCCACTTTTCCATTGAATTTACAAGGTGAACATTTCCACCTGCAAGTTCTTCGTCACTGTCACTGTCCTCTTTTTGATTGGTTGGATCCCCCAGCCTACAAACTCTCCTTATCTACCAGGAGACATGAATGAAAACACAAATTTTTTATGCATTCCAATGTTTTGTTTAGCTCAATTGTTAATAGGGAATGCAGAGATCACATAAACAAGCATTGTCATGTAGATCACAGTCTAAAAACTGAGTAGATTTATTGTAGAAGCTATTAACACAAAGATTGGAAGAAATTGGCAATTTTGTTTCAATTAACACTTTCAATCATAAGTCACATATTTGTAGGAATGGGAAACCAGTTAACTGTTTCTGTATTCGATAACAACAAATCATCGGCTAACACAGCAGAAAAAAGTTCAGAGAAATATGTGGGCAAAAGTGCATGCTAGAAATTGGTTTTAAAGAACTATGATACATTTGAAAACAAGACTGATTTCTCGAAGAGAATTAGAACACTATTGCAGTAAATGGGAAACCAGTTAACTGTTTCTGTATTTGATAACAACAAATCATCGGCTAACAAAGCAGAACAAAGTTCAGAGAAACGAAAGAAATATGTGGGCAAAAGTGCATGCTAAAAAATTGGTTTTAAAGAACTATGATGCATTTGAAAACAAGACTAATTTCTCGAAGAGAATGAGAATTAAAAAACTATTGCAGTAATTTAACGAATCACAAAGAGATGTGAAGATTATAATCAACTAACATCAATTCCCCTGCTCCAGCTCCAGCAGAGTCCCATCGACTATTCACAGCTGAACCCTGGCCAAAGGACTAAACCCGTGAGCTGTGACCAATTGTTACAAGAAACCATTCATACACCAGCTAGAAACACAATGCACCAAAAGATATTCTTAATTGCAGCAATGAAGCAGACAAGCAAGTCGTTAAGCTAAAAGTATTTTCAATTGAAAATTAGCCAAGCTTTATATCAATCTCAAAATTCAACCAGTGACTTGCTTAACCACAATTTTGGGGATAATGATAAAAACCTAATTTCCACTTTAACAACATAAACATCTCCTAAAAATTGATTTAAATGTGTTCTCGAGTGCAATGAATGAAAATCCTCTCAAATATTTTCCTTAAATGTCCAATATTGATCCAGGAAAGCATTTTCACCTGATCAACCATTAAAATTTTATGAGAATAACGTTGTCCACTTACCAATAACCGTGTGCATAACTCAAAATAACCAAGACTACCACAAATCGCCGTCTCGATTCGCCTTAAACCAACGAATCAACAATTCCCATTTAGAAATCATAGCAGAGCTATTAAATGCATCAATACATGCATGCCGAAAGACAGGAAAACCAAAATCCAGCCCTTCCTAGAATCCATCTGAAATTCATCCACATTAACATTATAATCGCAGGAGTACTATGCTCCGATTGCGGTAATCGTTGATCAATCGAAAATTTTTACCGTACGATCGTGTGAGCACGAAGCTTCTGGCCAACCGTCATGGAAAGGAAAGGGAGCTAACGATCGATGAGAGAGTAAATTCTGATATGATTATTTATAGTATATTGGTTTATTTTCTTTTTTTTATACACACAAATTAAAAATAATGCTCTATTATTCATATAATTTTTATTTAAAATATATTGTTAATTTAAAATTTTATTATTTAAAAAATTAAAGAAATAAAAATTTAAAGTATGTATTGTCCCATGTTTATAATTTTAGATATTTTTAAGTGAAATATAAAAAAAAAATAGTATTAAGATTATCATCATTATAAAAAAAAGTATGCATTCTAAGGATAATTATATAGGAAATAAGAGATCGGAAAATTTTCAGAATTTTTTTCTAAACCAAGTATTTATCAAAATTATTTTCTTAAGTTATCGTTTGAACAATTAAACCATGCACAATGGTCTAAAAGCAAAAATACCTCTTAAGTAAAAATCAAAATTAATTTAGTATATGCTTTCAACCATTTAATTTTAAATTTAATCATTTTAATTGAATAAAACAGTTAACTCCGTGTATGTATTTAGTATTTGTCCTGCTCGCATAAGTTATATGGTATCACAAAACAATTTTTCAAATTCAAAATAGATTATTGTCTTTCTCTCATTGTTTATGTGCAGAAGTTCTTGAAGAATTCTCTCTCTAATTCTCTCAACTACATAGTCTCTTTGCCCGGCTAAATAAACTAACTGTAGTGTGTAACAACTTTTAGGGCGGTTTAAATTCAATTTTGTATTTCCAAATAAAAACAGTTTATGAGTTGATATTATGTCAATTAACTCATGATTTGTTGGGTTTGGGTTCCTTCTGTATGTAAGAGGCCCAACAATTCAAAGTTAGCCCAAGAAGAATTAAAAGCCCATTTTTGTTAATTGTTGCCCTAGCCGTCTTAGTTGGGAGGGGTCAATTGGGTGTAGAGATTGAGAGAGACAATTGTTATCCACGCACGCGAGAGAATCTGCAAGTAAGAGATAATTTCAACTCGGTTCCGATCAACGGTCTCGTCATCTTCGGATGTTCTTTTTTGGTATCGTTGATTTTTCCTTATTTGTTTGGATTCGATTTTGAATCTTATTGGTTGGGATTGGAATGGGTTGTTTGTAGTTGGGAAATCTCTTGTGATTGGGATTCGATTCTTGTATTTGGGTGTGGAGGTTGATAGCCCTTTTGATTGTGGTTATCTTTTGATTGTACGAACCTTTTGAGATAGTGGATTTTTACCTTGGGTCGGGTGATAGACCTCGTGGTTTTTATCCTTCACTTTGAAGGAGTTTTCCACGTTAAAAGTTTCGGTGTTTCGTATTGTTATTTTCGTTTTTATTGGTGGTTGTCATTCATCTTCTTTTGGTAGAAAAAATAATTGATTGAAGGCAAAGGTTTTGGTGGAACAGTTTGAACACACTGCTTGGGCGTGACCACGCACGCTTAAGGAGTACGTCGAATCTAATTTTGGTTTGCATTTTGGCCTTCTTACGGTATTCTTCCAACATATTTGATCATCAGATAAAATTTGTTCTGACTTTCAGCAAAGTCTTTGTCTAAACATAGATTGATGCAGGTCATTCGACTGACTCTCGGATAACATCATCCAAAATTATAAATATGTCAACATTCTCAACAGAGCAAGTAAAAAAAAAAATTGTTTATTTGTCATACATCGATAATATAACTAATTTACTTATTTTACAATTGGCGAAATTGAATATTTATCGATGATCAAATTCACTATTTAAGTTGTTAATTTTATTATTGATTAGAAGCTTTTTATTATTAAAGTTACTGTTCATCATAGATTTTTTAACCTTGTAATTTATTTATTTTTAATTTTTAATTTTTAATTTTTAATTTTATTAATTAAACTCCTTATATATATATTTATATATTGAACATTTGGAGAATTTTTTTTTTTTTTTAGCGGACGATTCTACATTCGCTTTATTATTTTTGTTTTCATTGTTAAAATAAAATTATACTATTTAATTTTTTAGTATATGAGGAACAATGTCATTAATTAATCTATTCAACAAAAATAAATAGATATATAAATATAAATAATGGTAATAGCTAGTAATATATTACCCCATTTGTCATGTAAAAATAAAAAATGTTTAACAAATTTTAGGCATGAATTTTAACAAAAATAAAATAGTTATTGTTTTGCCTTTTTATAAAATATATATATTTATGTTTTTGCTTAAAGAAAATAAAAATATTTTTCTTATTACAATTCAAAGAAAAAGAGTTAATATAGATTTGAATAATACTCCCTACTCCTCCCACATACCATGTACACGTTGTTGTTTCTGTTCGTCCCACATACCATGTCACTTTCCTTTTTTTTTTAGAAATGACTACACATCATTTTAAATTTTAATTTTTTTTTAAAATTTTAATTAAATTAATTAGTTATTTTAATCTTAATTTATAATTATTTATATTATAAAATAATTATTTTCACTAATATATTTTTAATTATTTATAAAAAAATTATTATATTATTACTTTAACATATTTAATTTTATCTTATTTTTTTGTTTAATTATTATAATAAAAACAATAATTAAGTATGCAAAAAACGACAACAAACTTATCCTTAATCCTCCTTCATTGCATCCTCGGTAGCATTGTAATACTACTTAATTAAAATTCGATCGTTGGTACCTTCAATTTATTCGCATTTACTGATAAATTTTAAACAAGAAACTGCTTTGGCAGTTCTCACTCTTCTGACTTTTCCACCAATGAACAACACTTATTACGCAAATTTTATAAAAATAAAAATAAAAACAGTAAAATATATTAAATAATTTTTTAATAAAATAATTAATTAATTAATTATTGATTTTATAATTTTTTAAAATAAATTATTATTTTTATTTAAAATCAAATATCAGTTTCCAAAGTGTTTTTTATAAATTTTATAAATTATAATAGGGTTTTTGTGTATATTTTTTTTAGCGTTATATAATATACCTAAATTCCATAGTACATTCTACAATTAATCGGCGCTTTTTACTTTCCCAGTTTCTGCTAATTCAGTTTTAGGGTTTTAATTTCTTCTTGTTTTTTCATGGAGGAATCGTCAAATCCAGACGCTACTCACGGCGGATTCCTCCAGTTGCCTTCCGTACGGTTCATACAGTCCCCTATTTCATCCCTACTCGAATACTCCGGCGTCCTCCGCCGCGACCCCCCGCCGGAGTCCTCCTCCGGCAGCCCTCTCGTGGCCCAGAGTTCTTCGACTACTGAAGCCGCCGCGAACGGCGCTCCGGAGTCGGGAAGTAGAGATTCCGGCGACGGTAATAACGAAGGGGACGTATCGATTCGGATTGTCGGGGAGAGTGGCGCCGGCGACGGTGGGGACAATGTGAATGATGATTATTACTACAGGGGATCGTCGAGGTTTTTGCAGCAGGCTGCGAGGTGGGTTGAGCAGATTCTTCCATTTTCAGTCCTTTTTTTGGTGGTGTTCATCCGACAGCACCTTCAAGGTAATCAATCTAATCTAATATACTCTCTACGCAGTTATTCTCCAAGTTTTAAGAAATTTTGAATCTGATTGTTACATCTATAAGTATGTTGATGATGATGAGTTGGCTCTATTGCTTAGAACAATAGGTATTGCTTTAAGTAATACTCTCTCTTTCCTCTATTTGTATGCTCATTTGACATAGACACGAGTTTTGATTAATACTCCCTCGACGAATACTCTGTCAGTCCGGTTGTAAGGTTTTATTTATATAATATTTTACAAAAAATATTATTATAATAGTATTATAAGAATACTAAAGCATTTTTTTGTCATTAATTTATACTACATTTTCATATAATAATTAATATTCAAATATCAACTAGCAAAAAGTAAATGATAGATTGTGATATAAAGTGAGTAATATTTTAGAAAATAAATTACTTGAGTTAAAGAGTTAGAGAGTTTTTAATAAAAGGGACCTTTAGAGTTTGTAGTAAATTAAAAAATAATAATATTTTATTAGTTAGTGAAAATATAAAAATGTGTAATAATTTTTTATATTTGTGCTATTTCCTTTGTGTATAAAGTAATTGTATGGGTTATAATTAAGTAAAAGTTAAAAAGTATTTTGGTTTTAGTATATGATTATTTTTTTTAAAAAAAAAATGAAAGGAATATTTTGAAATAAAACATACGATAATGGTAAAAAAGATATTTGAATTAGAATAGAAGGAGTATAATATAGAAAAGTATAAATTAAAGACTATAAGAAATATTTATTATATATGAAAAATGCATATTTTTGTGGACAAACTTAAAAAAAAAATGTATAAATTTAGTGGACGGGAGACTATATAGTGTTTTGTTGTGAAACCGAAGTTGAAGTATGGAAGAGTACTGCATATTAAGCCCTAAAGACATTTTTCGACCTCGCCGGTGAGGTTTCCGGCGAGGGGGGTTTAGCTAAAAACATACTAGTAAAAATATATGGCTTAACTCTTTGTCATTCAGACATAGGTTCGTCAAACTGGATCACCAAATTATCGTTTTTTGTGTGGTTGTTTCTTTCTTGATTTCCTTAATTTCGCAACATATTTAGTTTTATGGCTATATTTGGATATAATGTTCATGTAAGTAAGCTCATATCTGGACTTGTTTCTTTACTGTTTCTATAAATTGTTTCTAGGATTCCTCGTGATCGGTTATGCAATGGCTGTCTTGGTGAAGTCCGACGATGTTCTTCAGAACCAAACTGCCCTAAAGGTTGAGCCGACATTCGTTTTGCAGATGACATTAGTTAATACGGCGAAGAAGAAAACTCATAAGATTCTTGCAGGGCGAGAGGAAGCTAATTGTCCTGCTCGGTTGTTCAATGCTTTTCATGATTCATATATTCGGAATCTACTGGTGGCTTCGCAATGACGACGTTCTGTATTCACTGCTCATGATTCCTCCAACGGCGATCCCTCATTTTTGGCGCGCAGTTTTCATCATCCTTTTAAATGGTATGGATCTCCTCCATTTTTTTAACGGTCATTTTTGTGAAGTGAATTTCATTAGCTGACAGTTCTGTATTTACTTAGTATCCGGTTGCTGTCAGATATAATGGTGCGACAAGCCGGGATGATCTTCAAGTTGGTTCTTTTAATGTTCTACAAGAATGGCCGAGCCCAAGATTTCCGGAGACGGGTAATGTAGCAGTGTGTGGATGTACTATTAGCTGTAAACGAGCCGAACTTGTCATGTTTGAGCTCGGCTCGTAAAGAACTCGAGCTTGGCTCGTGTTCGTTCGTTAAGAGATACGAGCTTAAATTTTTATTTGGGCTCGGCTCGTTTAGCAATTTTTTTGTTCGTGTTTTGCTCAACTCGTTAAAAGAAATTTTCGCTTTGTTTACCCACACACTTTCACTCGTTGCATACTATTCATTTTTTAAAAAACATTACTATCAAATACATTTTTTCTCTCATAAAACATCAAATTAAATACTAACTTTTTACTTTTTTTTTTTTTTTTTCCAAACTTTCAAAATTCCCAAAACCTCCAAAAACTCTTAGCTAAACAAACCATTTATTTTATTTATTTATTTTTTTTAAATTTAAATTTAGTTAATAATAATTATAATTGTTATTAATAAATTTAAATAAAAAATAGAATGAAATATAATATTTATAAAGATATATATACTTATTAAAATAAAATTATTAATTTAATTTTTCTAATAAATACTATCGAACGTCCGCGAACAAGCTCGAACTCGTTCGTGAACACAACGAGCTAAAATTTATGTCGTATTCGACTCGTTTAGCTTAACGAACGAGTTCTCAACGAGCTTAAACGAATTGAACTGAGCCGAACTCGCGGCCTATTTGTTTGTTTTACAGCTCTATTTACTAATAATCAGCTCATGTAATTTGCTTCGAGTTAACAGTTATGTTTTGGCAATTTAGGGGCAAATGCTGACTCTCGTCGAGTATATTTTACTGCTGCACCGCACCGTGTTGCCTACGCCGTTATGGTACAGATTCTTCTTGAACCAAAATTACGGGAGCTTTTTTTCATCGGTGACTGCCGGATTATATTTAACTTTCAAATTGGCATCGATCGTCGAAAAGGTATTTCCTACATGAGGTTATTTGTATATAAAAAAAACTCGTGTCTGAATGATCTACTCCACCGATTCGCGATCAGGTCAAGTCATTAGTTGCTGCCGTGAAGGCGCTGTCCCGGAAAGAAGTTCCATACGGGGCTTACGCCACACAAGAACAGGTGCTCGTATTTTTTTTTCAAATTTGAGAATCTGAACAATCGAATCACTCATGCAGCGCGCTAACCGGACATTTTTGATCGATTTAATTCAGGTAAACAATGCTGCCGGAGATTTTTGCGCTATTTGCCAGGAGAAGATGCACGCCCCGATTTTGTTGAGCTGCAATCATATGTTCTGCGAAGACTGCATTTCTGAATGGTTCGGTTCGCCTTAATTTTTTTTATTTTTCACCTTTGCACAAGCTAAGTTATTGATTCGATCAGATCAATGATGCCAACTTTTTTTTTTTTTTTTCAGGTTCGATCGAGAAAGGACCTGCCCCTTATGCCGGGCGCTGGTGAGGCCAGCTGATCTGCAATCATTTGGGGACGGATCGACCAGTCTTTTCTTCCAAGTGTTCTAGTCTAGTCGTCTTCTTGCGACAAATTAGTCATTCGTAACGGGATCTTCAATTCCCCTGTCTGCTCGGCACCCAAATCAAACAGTCGGAAGCCAGCTTCGCGATCAGAGGACGGATTTGTGAGATAGAGGTCTCCATGGCTGAAAATGGAGGATAGACATTGAGCATCAGGATGAAGACAGGGGAATGTTGGGACAATGTTTTTGACATGAAGGGATTCATTGAAATAAACTAACTTGCATGGATGGATATGCAAATACTTTGGCCTTATATCATATCATGTATAAAAGCATCATTGGTTGTCTACCTCTCGATTCTTTTAAATTTGTTTTTGTCGGAGAATATGATTCGAATAAATGTTTGTCTTGCTCATATAGCATGGCTAAAAGATTTTCATTTTGGATTCATGTTTGTGGCTGTCATAAAATTTAAAAGATATCGGCAATGTTATTACAAGTATGACTAAGAGCAACAGCAAAGGATTCCATGGCTTTCTCTCAACCTGTAGAAGCCCTTTTTTTTTTTTTTCTCAAAAATTAATTACAGACTCTTATTTCCATAGGCATAGGTGATGCAGTCCCGTGTAGAAGAATGGCTTCTCAAGCTTTTTTCGGCTTCAAATCCTCTGTTCCATTTTTTTTTTTTTTTTTGTTACCTCTGTTTCTTTCGTTTTCAATTAAAATAATTTCTATCAAGATTTATCAATTAAATTGTGCCAAAAAAATCATGGGAGAGATTTAGATCTCTTTAATCATCTATCCAAAATTAAAGATGTGATTCGGAGTTGCTTTGAACTCACTCCGCTGCAAAAAAGAACTTTCTCTATGATTAAAAGATAGTCGTGAGAACTTCCATAGGTCCACCAGAAGAAGTAGTCGTAAAGCAACAAAAAATTCATCTATACAATCATCCCAACTTGTTGCAGCTGCGCATCAATCCATGGCCAGGTTAGTTATTCAATGCTAAAATAAATTGGAAACTATATATTTGAATCGGTTAAAAAAATATAGCAATATTGAATTTGTCCGTCAATTGTTCGATAAAATGCTGCCAATAAATTTGTCCACTAATGACTATAAATATGATTTCACCTTACATCAAAACTTTTTAAAAGATCTCAAGAACTTGATCTTTTTTTTGTTCAAACGTCTATAAGATAATCAATCATAATTTCTTTCTTATTTATACTTTTTAGTCTATTTTATTTAATTTTATTTATCTGTTTTGAATAATAAAAACAATGTGTATATTTCTTAAAATATTTGTTTGATTGATGCCATGATAAATCATGTGCATGGATGGATGATATCAAAGGATAGTATTGATATTAGAAAGGAAAGACAACATGCAATAACAAGAACCTTTTATAGTTATGGGTTTCAAATACTTATAAGTTATTGCACCATATTTTGTCTGAGAGATTTCATATGTTCTTCGTAAGGATATATTTAGTACTTGTTGCACTTGCTGAAGTTGAAGAAGAATCTTTTTTACTCACATGTCTAAGAGATTTCATATGTTCTGCCTAAGGATATATTTAGTACTAAGAAGAATTTTTCTTACTCACATTGGATTATATCATCTTATTTAATTGTCAGTTACTTTTTATGTCATGTTGTTGGATTATGAATATGTATGTATGATCAATCTAATATCGTGCGGTGCAACTGTTCATTAATCATACATTTTGTTTATTCGAAATTTCTCTTTTCAACATTGCATATATGATTTGATGCCACCAATTCATTCTTTCTCAACTCGATACAAACACCTTATTCTTAAATTTGAATGTCATAGTTTTGTCTAATTGTATTACTTATATTATATTGGTTTCTTAATTAAATACTAACTTAGGAAGGGATTGCATGAACACTAAGAATGTAGAGCTATAAATTAAGATATTAAGATTCACTTCCACTAATTGCAATGTTATAGTGAAATTAGCTACTGAACATTATCACCCTACTATAGATTCCTCAACTCACATTTAAACACTTAGTGGATGAACACATATAGGGATCAAGCCAACACAGAAGGAAACTAAGATAAAAAAATTAAAATAAGAGCTAAACGCAAATGAACCGGGAGGAATAATCCATGGGATTTGTATTCTCTTGCACCTCTTTCATAAACCATATAAAATGCTATAGTTAAAATTGAATGTAATAATTTAGACTCTATGATTAAGATATATTTTATTATTCTTAACAAACAATAATTTACTTTCAAATCCAAAAGTTATTGATATTATGTTGATTGACACTTTAGATTGTCATTTACAGTTTTCAAAAGAAGAATCTGCATATTTTAATTTTACAATCAAAATGAAGATAAAATTAAATTTGTCATTTAGAGGATCTAGAGCTTTCAATATTCGGGTGATTTGCCTCGTGAATTAGTTTGAACCTGAACATGTATAAAACAAAAAATCAATATAATTTGTTTTTATTTTGCTGACAAAGAAAAATCAAGATAAAAATTGATTCATTTGATTTTGCACAAAATCTTGATATTTAACGTCAAAAAATATATAATAAAAACTAAAGTATTACAAATATAAATACTCAAATATAATGTAAACTAACTCGATGTGATTGATTATACATTCCTTGATTTTTCATAAACAATTTTATTTGTGGACTGCAAACAATATTCAAATTTTTTTAAAAATAATAAAATAAATAAATGTATATATAATATAAAAAATATATAATATATACTTGTATAGAAGTTAATACATCTTTTATGGCACTTGACATCGTGATGAAGGACTTTTTCTTTTCTCCAAAGTTTTCTCTAGTCTACTTTTAAATCTCTTTTCCCGAAATAATTTTTTTAACTTTTATTCCAATAACTTTATCTGTGCTTCTTCACTTATTGTAGATGCATTTTTTTTCCTTTGAAGTTAATTTCTTCAAAATTGAATTCTCACAAAAAAATCCATATTGTGCAACTTTTCATTAACCTTTTTTACATATTTTCTTGAGATCATCTCTTGTCATTTCATATATTTATTATGTTCCAACTGCTCTCGTAAGAAGTTCATTAAAAATATTATACAAATCTCTGTATCATATTTTCTACAGTACTTTAGAATCCAAATAGTTCATATTGACCAAATGTCATTGTATTATGAAAATCTCCAATCTTCAATTTTCTTGTCCATCACCTCAATATATATGAATGTGGAGGAATCTCAACAATATTATGTATAATAAAAACCTTCAAAGCATGAGAATATAATATTTCACAAAATTCAAATTTTCTGCAACTGCAATGTATTTTGCAATTCAAAAAGTCTAAGTGACAATATGATATTTTGTTTTTCCAAAATGTGTAACATGATAAATTGAAACAACTTCGATTATGCTAAAAATATAAAAAGTTACAATCATAAGTATTTTACAATTCGTTTGAAACCATTTAAATGTTTTTGAAGTATAGATATTTGCAGTATTTTTTAACAATTAAGTAGAAAAGGAAGAGTATTTGTATTTGTTCTAAAGTCATTTAATTCTCCGTAACGAAGATTATCAATCAAATTTTAAAAGTATTCAAAAAATTGATGCAACTATTCTTGTAATTGGCGTACCTTTTAACAACATTATTCATGCTCACATTTCTTTATGCCATAGTGATATTAATACAAAAATATTGACGACTATAAATCAAGACCTATTTTTTCCTTTTTACTACATAATCTTTTCAGTCAATTATTATTTTGAAAATTATATTTTTCAAGTATATTATTCTATTCAATTAAAAAAAATCATATTCTTCTTCAAAATCATATACACACTTGCTAAAATTATATGCAAAATCTTTAAATTTATCAAAAAATTTACCTAAATGTTTAGCAATATTTTGATAAATATGTCAAAAATACATAACTTATGGTGTCTCTGGCCATTTAAAAGCTAAGGTTTTTGTCAATTTCTGCGTCTTCGTCAATCAAAATAGTATTTGGCTTCTTACTTGACATGCTATAAAAAAATACGTCAAATAGTCATTCAAATGTTGCAGTGATTTTATCATATAAAAGCATACAAACAAAAATAGTAGTTTGTTTGTGATGATTCACACCAACAAACAATACAAGTGTGATTTTCAGAATTCTTTATATAAGTTGAATAAAAAGATATCACATCTCCAAAAACATCATAATCAGTTTTTATTCTTCTATATGTCCCAAAAATATTAGTTATTACATCATCCTCGTCAACTTGAATTGAATCGAAAAAATTTGAATCTTTTACATACATTTCTTTTAAATATTCAAGTATTCCGCCCGTATCTCCAATTTTCATATCTCCGATTCTCTTTGATCGCAAATAATTTTTATAATCTTGTGAAATAAATCTCAAATTATCGTGACCGCCTGTTTGCTTAATCATATAATCTTGAAATGCTTTTGGTGGAATACCTGCATTATCTGTTAATTCAATTTCAATAATATGAATTTAAGTTATTTTTCTGTGTAATCTAAACATATGTGTTTCATCCACTCTTGTTAAATAATGATTATGTTCTGAAATAAATTTCACAATTTCATAATTTTTATTTTTATTCAAATATGTTTTCATTTTTGCCAAATAATCAAATCTAGTTTCAGCACGTGGAATTTTCACATTAGTATCTCATTGATCATGTCTTATTTTACCCTGAGCACAACAATAAAATAATATCAATCGACAAGTTTGCCGAAAATTTTTATGCTGAGTGCTTTTTCTAACATCAAACCCATTTTTTTTAACATATGCATAATAAAACTCACCAATCAAATTTTTATTATCATATTTCATAGCTATTTGGGGAATCTCTTTATTTGGGATAGAATTACGCAGTGAACCATTACAATTAAAATTTCTGAACTTGAACGGCCGATAATATTCTGAACCATTACTACCTCTTTCTGATGTATCTGGAAGTGTGGTACAAGGCGGAGATTTTTTGATATGCCTTAAAGTTAATTTGTCACTTATTCATCTGACATTGTAATGATGCATCCTGGTAGTTATCCGAGGAGGAGCAAATCTGAGGCAAAATGGAGCAGTCTGTTCATCTGACATTATAATGAATGCATTTGAAAGTGGATTCAAGTCAAGGTGGATATTTGTTGATATGCCTTGAATCTAAAGATATGATTTGAATATTAGATATTATATCCTTATATTTAAGATATATCAACAGATGTGATATAAATATATATTGATTTGATATTTTAAATATAATATTTTTTGTATAATACTAAAAAATAAAAAATAGAAAGGGATTTTTTTTATAAATAGTAAAATTTTAGACTAAAAGATTGAGATATTTTAGATATTCAGTTTTAGATTTAATAGATTTATATCTAGATTTGATCTTATTCATAGACTAGGTTACTTAGATTTGAGTTTATCGAGTCTGTTTAGTATTGTCTATATACAGACTCCTTATTTTGATGATCAATAAGACAATTTCATTATTTTTCCCCAAAATTTCTAACATGGTATCAGAGCCTACTTTTCTCATGTCGTAGATATAGTCTACCAACCCGCGTTTCTCCGGGTACATTCAACCTAGGATGTACCCGGATGTCTCACAATTTTGAAATTTTTTTCTATAGTTTCTAGCCCCTTCTTTTTATAATTTTGATTTTGTCTTTAGTCCTGATTTTTTCTACTTTTGAAGTCATATATGTGCATCGGTCTACGATCCATCTGCTGTATTTCTTCAGTGCCATTATTTTCGACTCCATCGTGAGTGCTGTTATTTCCGACTCTATCGAGAGTCCTATTACTCCATCGTGAATGCCGTTATTTTTTACTCCAGTGTCATTATTTTCGACTCCATTGTGAGTGCGGTTATTTTCGACTCCATTGAGTCCTGTTACTTCATCGTGAGTGTCGTTATTTTTACTCCATCAAAAGTCCTATTATTTCCAACTCCATCAAGAGTCTTGTTGTTTCCGACTCCGTCGAGAGTTCCATTGTTTTGGACTCTAATTCAGTTAAGAGCATTATTTATGATATTAATCATCATCATCACCATCAAATGGATTTTCATTAGGAACTTCTGGATTCCAATCATATGCTACGGCGGCATCAACGGCAAGCAAGCAACTGTTATTTTTATTTGCATCTTTTACGTTTGTATTCAACATTTTTATCAAACTTTTCCCCCTAAAATTTCTAACATGATATCAGACCCTATTTTTCTCATGGCGTAGATATAGCCCACAAACCTGCGTTTCTCTAGGTACATTTAACCTGGATTGTACCCGAAGGTCTTGTGATTTTGAGATCATGCATTTGCAAGTCTGTCTATCTGCAAATCTGTTTCGTCTGCGATCTGTCATTTGCTGCTTGTCTGTTCTTGCGTGCGATTTGAATCATGTCTGCGATATGCTATATGTTTGTTGCCTGTGTGCGATCTGAAACCGATCTGCCTTCTGTCGATGTTTGTCTATTGTCTGCGTGCGATCTGTTTGGTGTTTCCAATCTATGTCGTTTTCGGCTCCAGTTAAGTCATGTCGTTTTCGGCTCCAATTGAGTCATGTCGTCTTCGACCATCTCGTTTTCGGCTCCGGTGGAGTCATGTCATTTTCGGGTCCGGTGGAGTCATGTCGTTTTAGGCTTCGGTGGAGTTATCTCGTTTTCGGCTCCAGTGGAATCATCTCGTTTTCTGCCATCTTGTTTTCGCCTCCGGTGGTGTTATATGGTTTTCGGCTCCAGTGGAGTCATATGGTTTTTTGCTCCGGTGGAGTCATCTCATTTTCGGCTCCGGTAGAGTCATCTCTTTTTCGGTGGCTTCGGTGAAGTCATCTCGTTTTCGGCTCTGGTGGAGAGTCATCTCGTTTTTTGCTCCGGTGGGTGGAGAGTCAACTGCTAATTTTATTTATGTTTTCTTTATGTGTTTATATTCAAATTTCTTATCAAACTCAAGTTGGTTTCTATTATACCACTTGAGTTTGAGGGGATGTTGAGATATTTTAGATATTCAATTTTAGACTTAGTAGATTTATATGTAGACTTGATCTTATTCGTAGATTAGATTACTTATATTTGAGTCTATCGAGTCTATTTTGTATTGTCTATATATATGCTCCTCCTAATTTTGATGATCAATAAGACAATTTCATTATTTTTTCCCAAAATTTCTAATACAAAACAGAAAGAATTAAACATGGTCGTATGACAATATGACAATGTATAATTGTAGACTGAACTATACAGTCATGTGACAACATGACTATGTATAATTGTACGTCCATGTCAACAATTTTCGTTAGTTTTCTAACAATGAAAATAAAATTGATTAAAATTGTTTATAATAGGACTAAAATTGATGAATTTTCTATATTTTAACCAAAATTGATAAATTTTATTATATTAAGACCCAAATTAATCTTTTTTTCTTTTTTTTTTTCTACATAATTCATTCTTAGTATAATGTTTAAGAAAAACTAAATTATATATTACCTCCATCATCCAGAAACATTGTTAAACTTTTGAATATAAATTTCATATGGGCGTAGATATATATTTTTTATCTTTTATAATAAAAATATTTAAAAAATAATATTATTATTTTTACTAAAACAAAAGTATTAGACAAAATAAACAAACAAACATAAATTTAAATGACCGAGTATAATATAGTATTAAACAAGAAAGTATTAAAAAAAAAAAAAAAAACACTGACAGAGATTTAGAAGAATGAGTATAATATTTTTAAAATATAATAATAAAAAGTTGCTTAAAATTCCAAGCGTGAACAAACCAAATACGTACACGCCCAAATGGCCTAAAAAGGAGGATATGCCGACACACTAACACTCGCATCAAGCGAAGCTCCCGGAGTTCGAAGTCCCGACATTATATCACCGCCGTAGATCATGGTACCCGCGGCCAACGCTCCCCCCGCCGCCGCACCCATTCCAAATCCCGGAACCGCCGGACGTCCCTGACCTACTGAAGATGGCATGCTTATGTAACTGCTAGGAGTCCAAGGACCATTACAATATGGACCAGATCCGCCACTCGGCGGTGGCGGTGGCGGAGGCAGATTATTAAGGTGATTCCCGCCGCCAAATTGGTGGTGCTGAGGATAGCTCGGTGTGTACGGATAAGGCCTCGCCGCCGGCCGTAACGATCCGCCAGTTAAATCAAATCCATCATTTGCCCCTGCAATAGTACCTTGAATTACAATTTCACGATCGGCAACCAATTGGGGGAAAACAATGGCGACTTCAATTTTAATTACCTAAAGGCGAAGATCCAGTTTCAGCCTCTTCGGAATCGGAAATTCGAATGGAGATATCGACAAACCCTACGGCTTTGTCGGATTTCTGCGTCCTCAGCTGAAAGCTTCCCACTCGCTCCGATCCGGTGTGTTTCTCCAGAAATTCGTTGAGAGGAACGGTGGCGGATCCGAGGAAGGTCTGGCGGAGAAACACCGGCTCTCGGCTGTAGACCTCGACATGAAGAGCGGGATGAGATTGTGACCGGGGGATTGGGTGAGCAAATGTGGTGTTCCAGAGGGGATTCCCGGTCCCCGGGGCGTCGATTTTGGTGCAGAATTTGTGGTCGGGATGGATCCAGGCGACGGCGTACCAGTGGAGGCGGTTCCAGCAGCAAGACGAAGATCGGCGGAGGCCTCTGGCCGAGATGAGGCAGATTTCGGCAGTTAGTGTCCCCATGATAGTTCAAATATGCATTCTGAAGCAGCGTAGAGAGTATAGCATAGCCGTTGAGTGAGTGCTTCACAGGTGGAAAGGGCAAAAAATTGCAGACAATATGGTAGATATCACTTTTGTTTTTTATTTATATAGCTGGTAAAATATATTTCATATGTTTACAAAAATCGCTATTTATGTGATTTATTTGCCCGTAACATTCACATAGAAACAACGTAACAATATCTTAATTACTGCCTAAACAAATTAAAGAGAAACAAGGACTGCACTCACAATAAAAATGCAACAAGTAGGATTTTTAATATAGAAATTACAATATTAGCTATCACATGGCATTGTAGCATTGTGTTCATTTCCCTCTAAAATTTTTCATCTTCGCATGAATAGAAACAACGATCATTACTCTTCCAGGCACGCTTTGATGTCGCATTCAACTCCCCAGAGTGAAAGGATTTTTCATTCTTCCGACCAAATGATCGATCAGGTTGTTTGGTGTCATCATCTTCCCGACCTAGTAAGTTGTTACAAAAATTGCACCGGTAATACAATCTTCTCGAATTGTTTACATTCCTTGATCTAATTAGAGTACATTCTCTTCCGCACACACTTAGGTCTCATTTCATCCATAGGTGGTTATGCTTCAACTATAGAAAAAAAGTAAATAAATTATCGACCATCAATTTAACGATTTCGAAAACAATAATGAACATATTGAATTCCTATTACTTTAGACACCTATTAACAATCCGAAAAATGGAAAAATGCAAACATCAAGGTCAAAACTGAACTGTTCTTTAAAGAAAACAAATCTGAATATATTTTGTGCAAATATATCTCCTAAAATTTATCCACAATTTTCACTCTAAGGTAATCAAACAATAAGGGGCATATACCTCCTGATAGAGTTGTTAAACGAATCAAGCCGTTCGTGAACTCGACTTGGTTCGGCTTGATTCGGTTTGGTTAAAGCTCGTTGCGAACATTAATGAGTCGAGTCGAACAACATAAGTAGGCTCGTTTAGTTAACGAACGAATTCGAGCTTTGTTCGTGAACATTCGTTAAGATAATATATTTATTATAAATATTAAATCTACATATAAAATTATAATCTATACATAAAAAATTTAAAAAAAACAATTTAAAATAAATAAATCAAATATTTTTAGTTTTTTTTTATAAATTTAAAAAAGTGAGGCAAACTAGCTCGAACGAACTTAATCGAGCCTACACGAATTGAACACGAACACGAGTTCAAATAATAAACATATTTAACGAGCCGAGCTCGAACATTACAAATGAGCTCAAAAATTTAACGAACGAATACAAACCTTGTTCGCGAACTTTAATGAACGAACACAAACACTTAAAATTCAGCCAGTTCGGCTCGTTAACGGTTTTATCTGCTGGAGCATTGTTCACTTCGATTTTAAACGACACTAAAAAATAATTACCAAGAGAAAAATACAAAAGAACTACTCACCGAAGATCGATCCTTTGGATGTTTCTCCGACAACGACAGCCTCTGACATCGTCCAGTTAGGGTTCCACGGTGAAGACGAGCGTTATTTTTCTATTGAAAAAAAAAATGTGTAAAAAGTATAAAGTGAAAATAAATTTAAAAGGCCAGTGTGAAAGAATTTAACAATTGTCTTGCTATGTGATATGGAAAGTGTCAATAGGCCCATTTATGTAAAAATCATGGGCCAGCGATTGCCTTTTGGATTTTGAAACCAAATAAAAATGAGGTAAACTTTGGGTTAAATTTCTAAACAGTTTCGGTCAGACGATAAAAGTATTTCTATCTGCCCAATTGGTTGACAGCAAAACATACACGCGCCCCGCGTCACTGTTCAACCTGCTGACGCTGATGCTCGACGAACTTAAATGCTGAGTTCGAATCGTAGTCAGACAGGGAATTCAAAAATTTCACAGGTGTAGAAGGGGCAGGAATCGAGCCGGGTCTGTGGTCTCGTCGTTTCAAACTTTTCTCTGGACCGTGGGCGGTAAAAGGGTTTCAATTCTATTTCTTTTTCACTAGGTCCGCTGTTGTTAGGGTTTCCGGTCTTTGTTTTTGTGGTTGTGTTGAATTCAAGTGAGATAAGTACTAGGTTTTTGTGTTGTTGTTTTCAATTGGTGAATAGTTTAGATTCCTCTGTGAAGTTAGAGGATATGGACGGGAGGAGAATAACGGCGAGTCCGAGACCCTGCTGCGGTCGGCGGGTGGTGGCGAAGAAGCGGCCCCGCGGTGGTTTAGATGGGTTTGTTAATAGCGTGAAGAAGCTCCAGAGAAGGGAGATATCCTCGAAGCGCGACCGTGCTTTCAGCATTAGCGATGCTCAGGAGCGATTTCGCAACATCCACCTGCAGGTTCGTCGTATATACATAGTTCACCATCTTTCCAATTCAAATGGTCTTTTTTTTTTTGTATAATTTTTTGGTACCGTATGAGGATTTGATTGACTGTTGTGATTGTATACGGAATTTTGTTTCGATGGTATGTTTGTAATGACTGATGGTAGATCCTGCTGCAATGTAAAACTAGGGTTTCTATTAGGCCTTGACAAATTCTTAGATTACAACGCAACTAGTACCTACATATGTATGGGATTTCGTTTACCAAATTATCATTTAGGACCCCAAGTTGAGAGAGTAAATTAGGCTGTTTGCTGTGAACGCTTGAATTTACCAAATTAATTATGCGGTTTGTCTATTAATTGGGGGTTCTTTTTGCATCTTGTATGATTTTTATAAAATTTAAATAATAAGCTGCAAGACCACCTGTGCTTAGAATTTGTTAGAGATGAGGGCTTGTTAACCAGTGGCCAATAAGTGTGAAAGATTTGTAGTGTTTCACTCTATAGAATGTCCTCTAGGTTTGATTGTGAAGTTCCATATGTTAGATTTATATTCTGCTTTTGTATATTTTTACACATAGGGCAGATATTTGGAAGTCTGATGCTTGGTTAGAAACAAACTCTGGTAAGTGCCCTTCTACCCTTCTTGCTTGATCCACCACGTTGGTGATCTGTTTGCAACACAGATACTGTTTGTGCATTTAGCCAGCAAAGTGAAGCACTTCTGAACATTTTACACTGCTAATTGTAATTTTATACAATTGTGCCAAGTGAATTTATTGATTAAGTTTAGTGTGATGTTTTGTGCTGTTTGGTTTAAGGAATTTGGGCATTCTACACTATGATAAATACATCTGAAATCCCATTGGTGCATGGTTCTGTTTTAATTTTCATGAAGATATGACGGCTTTTCTGTCCGTATAATTGTATTGCATTTCAGTCATCTATAAGGCTCCTTTTCTGAATATTTGGGATAGGGTGTGTGCTTGTGTTTGTGGATGTTTTGGATTTCAAGTTTTTTGAATGGAAAATAGGTTTTAGAATCTGAGATATTATGTTTTGAATGGAAAATAGGTTTTAGATATTATGTATTGAATGGAAAATAAGTGTTGGATGTGATGTTTAAAAGGGAAGAGGATTATTTTAGTATAGATTGTATGCTGCAACAAGATTTAAAAAAAAAAAACAAAACACACACACACACACACAAGCAAAGTTAACAAAATACACTATATCATTTGATGGTTTTGTGAATTGGTTTTTTTTTTGTTTTGTTTTTTTGGTGTACTCTGATAAGACTTTCACTCATTTTGTCTTTTCATCCTGCAATAATTGCAGTGAAGTACAAAAATTGTCTGGAAACTCTATCCAGGTCACTGCAAGTTTAATTTGATGTGTCATAATCCTCCATTTGATTATACTTCCATGGAGGTTGTGTGCTCATGTTGTTATTAAGCCTTCCCTGTTGATTCAATTAAAATTACATTTTTTACTATTATTAAGTTTTTCCAATGTTGTCAATTAGAACTTGTTATTTCTGATTCTTTTCATCAATATATTTTCTTTTCATCTGTATACTCTAATTCATTTGTGTTCTTTATATGTTTGATCCAGGAGGAATATGATACCTATGATCCCAAAGGATATGGTCCATTGTCGTTGCCATTTCTGAAGAAAAGGGCAAAAATTATAGAGATAGTTGCTGCCCATGATATTGTTTTTGCTCTTGCACAATCGGGTGTCTGTGCAGCATTTAGCAGAGGTGCTGCAACAACGCTGAAACTTGGTATCATTTCAATTTTAGGATGTTGGATGATGCCTTACATTTTGTGTCTTCTTTTGCAGAGACCAACGAGAGGATTTGTTTTCTGAATGTTTGTCCAGATGAGGTTATAAGGAGCTTGTTTTACAACAAGAATAATGATTCACTCATCACTGTTTCTGTTTATGCTTCTGACAATTTCAGCTCCCTAAAATGCAGAACCACAAGAATTGAGTATGGAATTCTATTTGCTATTACATCATGGTTTCCATTTGTAATCATACGTTTTCTAATACTCATTGCATTTCTTGACCAAATTTTAGATACATACGCCGTGGTAAACCTGATGCTGGTTTCCCATTGTTTGAGTCTGAGTCATTGAAGTGGCCAGGCTTTGTGGAATTCGATGATGTGAATGGAAAAGTTCTTACTTACTCTGCACAGGATAGGTCAGTGACTAATAAAAATTTTCGTGAATTATCCAGGCAAATACTATTTTATCCTGCAGTTTGCTGATCTCTTCTTTCTTTGTCGTTTTACAGCATATACAAAGTGTTTGACTTGAAAAACTATACAATGCTATACTCAATTTCCGATAAACATGTTCAAGAGATTAAAATCAGGTAAATTTTATGCATTTAGAGTTAGTTGAATTCTTTGATTCCACATGACTTCCATAGTCTTAGTTTATGTCGAAGCCCAGTACCTTTTGGTGTTGGAAGCTAGAAATAATTTATTTGCAATTGTTGCATGACATGTCTAGTCATTGTTTCAGCTTGTTTAAATTATTCTTATTTACACTTCCATGTCCCTTCAGATTTCTTTTATTTCGTAGTTTTTTATGGTTTTTAATAAGTTGTACTCTTTCTTAATGGGATGGTGTTCGTACCGATCTGCTAAATGTGATTGAACTGTTTTGTCTTTGGTACCCTCTGTTTGTGTTTGACCCTCGAATGAGATTTATTTTTGACTTGTTCATGTAATTTTATTATTTTTCGTCTCTTTTTGGTACTTTAGCTGCAGCTTTGTTATTCTTAATCTGATTATGATGATTCTTGATTTGTTTATGTTGTTTTTTTCTATGCAGTCCTGGAATAATGCTGTTGATATTTACCAAATCCCAGAGTGGTGTTCCTCTAAAGATTCTTAATATTGAAGATGGGACTATTCTCAAATCATTTAGCCATCTTCTCCATAGAAACAAGAAGGTGGATTTTATCGAACAATTCAATGAAAAGCTTCTGGTCAAGCAAGAGGATGAGAACCTCCAAATTGTTGATGTGAGTTGCTTCTAATTTTTGGTCAGGATGTATACTTCTCCTGCTTCTTAGATATAAGACATTTTTATGTGCACAGGTTCGCAACAATGAGATAACAGAAGTTAGCCGAACTGAATTCATGACCCCGTCCGCATTCATATTCTTGTACGAGAACCAGTTATTCTTGACTTTCAGAAACCGGACGGTCGCTGTCTGGAACTTCAGAGGCGAGCTCGTGACCTCGTTTGAGGATCATCTTTTATGGCACCCTGATTGCAACACCAACAACATATACATCACAAGCGATCAGGACCTCATAATCTCCTATTGCAAGGCAGATGCCGATGAACCACTTACTGAAGGAAATGGTGAGTGTCATGTCATGCCTTGGTGATTAAACTATTCCATACACAAAAGCTTTTCATCGTTACTTAAGAACTATAACCACAAAAAACTTCTCATATCTTGCAGCAGGATCCATCAACATCAGCAATATCTTGACAGGGAAATGCTTGGCGAAGATAAAAGCAAGCAACAGCCAACCCACAGACACAGACGAATGCAATAGCAGCAGCCCAAGTTGCAGTAAAAGAAAGCGCAGCTCCAGCAAACGCTCCCGAGCTTCAAGAATCCGAAGCACTGTTGCAGAGGCACTGGAAGACATCACTGCCCTATTCTACGATGAAGATCGCAATGAAATATATACTGGAAACAGGCAAGGCCTTGTCCATGTCTGGTCAAACTGAGAGCATCAGCCCTATTCCCTTAAAAAAGGGATCATTCGGTATGTCATTATACTTTGCATACATTCATTGAGCTTGGTCTTTTCGTAGTGTTCTTAAACTTATACAATCGGATCATGTCGCCGTGTAGATGTGTTCCATAAGTTCCGAGGGCTCTCGCGGGAGCCATTGTAGTGTAATAATAGTTCTAGGGTTGAACCAATGATGCTTGTGTAATGGATTTGTTAGGTGTGATTTGTGTGCTCTACAAAATTGCTTGTTTGCTTCATGATTTGGTGTTTTGGGGGTGGGGTGGGGTGGGGTGGGGTGGGGTTGAGGGGGTGGATATCAAACCTCCATTTTCATCCTCTTGAAGATATGTAATCTATAATGGGATGCAATATATGATATATATCTGTAGTCTTTTACTTGAAGATTTTTATGTGTAGCTTTTAAGTGAAGACACCACACCATTTTATCTCTTTTTGTTCTTTTGCTGTTGGTGGGCAAAAAAATTATGTTGTGTTCATAAACGGTCGTTTTTTTAAGAAGAATATTAAATTCAATATTTATTTTATTTTATAAAATATCATATAAATTTATTTTATTGTTACTATTTTTAATTTTTTTCTAAATTTTTCATCACTTTCAAATATCTTATCTAAATATATGATTGGCTAAATTTATTGCATGATTCAGCTTGCAATGGTAACAGGTGAGCTTGGAATTATTAGTCTACAGGGTTTCTATGGTGTAAATGGATTATGTAATAAAACTTTAAAATATCTCATCATTTATGTTGTAAAATATATGGTTTATTTGGTTTTTATTTGAATTTAAGATTCGATTAAATAGTATTTTGATGTAATATTTTGCTGTATAAAATAGTATATATTTATTGAAAATAGTATTGATTTGTATTTGAAAGACAAATACTAGTGTTATAAATTGTTAGAGCCGTTAACAATTCGAGCCGAACCAAATTTTAAATGTTCGTTAACGTTCGCGAACAAGGTTCGTGTTCGTTCGTTAAGCTTTCGAGCTCGTTTGTAGTGTTCGAGCTCGGCTCGTTAAGAATTTTTGTTGTTTGAGCTTGTGTTTGTATTCGGCTCGTTTAGGCTCGATTAAACTCGTTTGTCTTATTTTTTTAAAATTTATATATAAATTATAAAGAAAATTTAAAATTATTTTATTTATATATTTTAAATTAATATTTTATTTATTTATAAATTATAATTGTATATGTATATATAATATTTATAATAAATATATTATTTAAACGAACGTTCGCGAACAAAGCTTGGGCTCGTTCGTTAATCAAACGAGCCTGTTTATGTTGTTCGGCTCGTTAACGTTCGCAAACAAGTTTTAACCGAGCCGAGTTCGTTTAACAACTCTATAAATTGTTAGATCAATATAGTTAACAGAATTATATCTTGATATAGTTAGGGTGATTAGATTTTGTTAATTACATAGATTTTTTTTTCTTACTTATATATATATATATATGTATTGTCTATTTTATTTTTTGTAATGAAGATAACATACTTTTATTTAAATTTGATAATCGATCATATCCTGGTGTTTCGTATATCTATGCTGAATTTATCTTAATTGTGTTAAGAGTATTGCAGAATTTAATTAGAACCATTGTATGAAAGCCTATTAGGATTTGGATTAAATTCTACTTTGGGCAAAAACTGTAACTTTCCTTCACACACACCCATTCGAGCAAGCTTTTTACCCAATTTTATTGTGTGGTCGTATGTCTCATGCACCGCCGCTGTTGTCGCTATACATCACACACACAGGCCCGTTTAAATTGGCTTTTGGCAGATATTTTTGACTTTTATTTTTAAAAAATACTTTATACATGTTTGTATTCATTTATGTACAAAAGCAAGAAGCACTTTTGAAGCCCAAAAGTGCTTTTGAAATAAATAAAATTATTTTTCAATTAAAATTATTATTTCATCGTTAATAATAATATAATAATTTTAATAATATAATAATAATAATAATAAATACAATACTATACCATAATATAATATAAAAAAGTTAATTTATAAATTATATTTTATAAATATTAAAAAAATATAATTATATTATTATTTTCAATTTATAGATTATACTTAATTAAAATTCTAAAATTATAATTGAAATAGAAGTAAACAATTTTTTTAATTATACTAAAATTATTAAATATAATTTATAAAAATTTTAAAATAAATTGTAAAATACAAATAATTTAATATTACATTTTTAATTTATATATTATCTTTAAATTAAAATTTTAAAATATAAATAACTAAAATTGAAAAATATACTAACTTTTTATACTTTAATTTAAAATCTGTAAATATAAGTAATAAGTTTTAAAAATAAATTATAAAAGTTTTATAAAAAAAATTAACCGTACGTTATTTTGAGTAATTTTAACAATTTAAAAGTATTTTCAATTATATTATATCCAAACAATTTTTCTTTTATATAAAAAGCTGTTTTTATAATTATTCATCTAAATACAAAATCGAATTGCTTCTTGCTTTTGCTTTTGCTTTTGGCTTATACTTATTTTAGCCTATCATGTATTTCTTAATCTACATTGTATTTATGTATTCGGTAAATTTCTATCAATCTTCCTAATGAAAGAGCTTTTGGATTGTTCTTTAAAAAAAAAAAAAAAAAACAGCAGAATCTAAATCTGTTATGATGTTAAAATATATTATTTTTGAACAATATATAAATTTTTTGTTGGAATAATTCTAAACACAGTCAATCCTAAATTTAAACAACACAATTTCGTCCCATAATGAATAACTTAGTGGTGTAAGAATGAACTTGTGACCATGAAATTACAAGTTTAAAATAAATTAATATTTTATTTTAAATCAATTTCGAATACACGTTTTTCCCTATATTAAAGTGTTATGTCAACCATTAATAAGATTAAAATTGATAAAAGATTTTAATACATTCTGTCTGCAAAAAAATATATCAATTACTAATATTATTTTTTAATTATCAATTAAATATAAACTTAGTATCTAATCTAATATATATATATATTAAGGTTTGAAGGTATGTTGACACGTGTTGGCCTAATAATTTTTTTTTATTTTTTAATTTTATAAGTGTGACTCTCACGAATTAAAAACTAAAAATCAAATGACTTTCGTCCTTCTAATCAAAGACAAATGCTGCATTTTTTTTTTATTACTCCCTCCGTCCCAAATACTGTGTCCACGTTGTCGTTTATGTCCGTCCCACGTACCATATCACTTTCATTTTTTGGAAAATGATTACACACTTTAATCTCATTTTAAATTTTAAATTTTAATTAAACTAATTAGTTATTTTAATCTTAATTTATAATTATTTATATTATAAGATAATTATTTTCACTAATACATTCTTAATTATCTACTAATTACATTACTCCTAAAATACCGTGTCTACAGTGTAGCAGACACGGTATCCGGGACCGAAAGAGTATTATTTTATGAGTGTAGATCCTACGAATTAAAAATCAAATGATTTTCATCCTTATTTATGTGTTTTTTTTAGATATGCTTAATATTAGAAAGATAAATATATTGAGAAGATGATAAGTCAAATTTTTTATAATAACATTTAAAAATAATTTAATTATTGTATAACAACAATTAATTCTAACAATTCAATAAAATTTATATAATTACCCCTGCATAGGAGAGACTCCCTCTAGTAATTTATTTATAATAAAAATATTATCGATCTACAATTTTATTATCTCATTTTCACAAATATTAACTATTTTGTAATCATTGTTTTTATTTACTCTATCATTTTTTAAATCTAATTTTTTAATAAATTTTTTATTTTTAACTAATTTTATTATATACCTATTATATTTTTATATTAAAATATTATTATAAATTTTCCATAAAGTATTTACACCTGTTAATGAAAAGAATAAATTTATTAATAGAGTCAACCATCATATATCTAATTTTTAGTAAATAGATTATTTCAAAAACCATTACTGAGTATTTAAATTAATTACAGTATTTTAAATGGAAAGTATAATTTATAAGCATGTCAAAATTTATAGTGTTCCTATTTAACTGACTATTTAAAATAGGTATCATACTGAATTTTGAGAAAATAAAATTTAAGTATAGATTATTATAAAATAGTTATCAAAAATAATTATTTTTTATATAAAATAATTTCTTCGTCCCGGATAGGGGCGTCAATTCGTGTTATTGGGTCGTGTTTGTATCGGGTTGAGCCATGGCGATAACAAAAAAGCTGTCAATCTGAACCTGACCCGAACACGATATCTGACCTAAAACTATAGACCCGAATACAACATGAATTCTTTCAGGTCGGGTTCAGGTTGACCTGAATTAGTTTCAGGTCACCCGAAACCCGAACAAACCCGACACAAAACAGATCCAAAAACTTAAAAAAAATTAAATTGACCTAAAAAATATCATTTTTATTTTAGTTTTTATATTATTTTATATTTAAAATAATATAAATATTTAATTAAAATAATAATAATAAAAATTTCAGGTCAACCCGAAACACGAAATTCAAAACCTAACCCGATTTTTATATTTCAGGTTATCAGGTCAACTCGAAACACAACTCAGACACGACACTAATTTTTTTCGTTCGGGTTTGGATCGGCCCCCTTTTTTTCAAACCCGAAATACTCAAAACCGAACCTGAAAAATTTCAGGTCGAACAGGTTTGGTTTTTCGAATCGGATTTACTTTTGACATCTCTAGTCCCAGATATGATGTACTATTTACCGTAGACAAAAAAAGAATAATTAGTAAATAATTAAGAATTTATTAGTAAAAATAATTATAATTTAATAAAAATAATTTTAAATTAAAATTAAAATAACAAATTAGTATAATTAAAATTAAAATAACTATAAATTAAAAAATTTAAAATGAAATTAAAATGTATAATAATTTCCTAAAAAAAGTTGACAGAATAAGTGAAAATTACATAAATAAAAATATAGATACGGTAGGTGAGACGGAGAGTATATTTTTAACGAAAAAATAGAATTTATATACTAGTAAAAAGAATTAAGAAGAAAAAAACATAACCATGTCTTCTTGACGTAGCAGAATTTATTGAAAGCAATCCAGAAATAGACACAATTCAAAAATTAAATTAAAAAAAAAATAATAATTATTATTTGTGTGCAATAAATAGCAAAACGGCAGAAATCCCATACGAAATTACACATTTGATCCTTCATTTTGCATTAATTAAAATTTTGAAATGAGAAAATATAATTGAAGCCTATAAAAACTACTCGGTGCCTTCCACTATACTGTACAGTTCTTTTCCATACGGTACGTGCAGTTAAAGCTAAACGTTCTCCTTTCTTTTCCTTTCTGTCACTCTCACTCAAATTAAAAAATGGGAGCTTTTATTTGAATTGAATTCATCGTCGCTCACACCCCCCTTCTCCCTCTCTCTGAAGCTCCTCAGAGCGCAGGTGGCGTCACTCAGTGTTCGTGAGTATTCCTTTTATCTGATTTTGTTTCGAGTGTGATGGTTGTTTGATTTGAATGTGCATCGTTGTTGTGTTGGTTTTTGTGTAATGCGTCGATTTGAACATTGGCGGTAGCTTGGAGGTTGGCGTGCTTTTTTATTTTTGTTAGGTTTATTTTGTTGGATTGGTGGCTTGGGAAGCGTGGGTTAGCTTGTGTTTTTTAAGCTAGATCTGAGTTTGAGCGGTTGGTGATGGTGTTCGTCATTTCAAATTCTGTTTTTTTTTTTTTTTTTTTGTTCTGGAAGTGTGGATTTTTGGAGTTGTTTTATTTCATTTTCCGTTTCGTTTGATCATTCAATGGTATATTCGGGTGGCGAGTGCTGTGCTGGATTCACAATTTTATTCTTTCACCTTAGGTTCGTTTGATTGTTTCATGTTCATTACCGCTTGGCTGAGAATCGAATGATTGGGATGTTTATTGTGGCAGGTTTGTTTCGTTATATGGCGCAGAAGTTTGGAAAAGTTTAAAGCAGAAAGCATTCTGTTAGTCATGTTTTTCTGTGTGCTCTTGCTTTGTATATATCGCCTACAAGATTCAGGACTAACATACTTTCTTTATTTATTTTTTAATCTTGATACAGATAGTGCCTTGAGAATAAAGTGGTGATGATGGAGGCAGCAATAGATGCTAATGCTCCACTTGATTATATCGAAATCCACATTTTCCCATTGCAGAATAGGTTAAATACCCATCTTTGCATCTATTTTAACTATTTATTATGACATTGCTATGTATCTTCCTCTCTGTATTGTGTTTCTAGTATTTTTAATTAGTTTTCAATGATTAGTTGTACTTCCTTTAATCTTCTATGCTCTTTGAACATCTGGTGAATAGATTTTGATCTTAAAATAGTTGAAAATGATATAAAGAAATCTTTTGTATAATTATTTGTTACATTTCTTTCTCTGAAAGACCAGAACCTGTTTTTTGGACTAAAATGGGGAGGCAGAGTTCATGCTTTTTCTAGACTGCAAGCAAGTGTGACTCTAATTTCTTGTACTATGTTTCAATCATTCTTTGCTAATGATTATTAGGCATTTGTTCTGCCTAATTCAATCACTATTGTTTTATGTGTTGTTGTTCACTGTTACTTTCACACTTGTGAAGGTATGAGGCATGTGTTACCTATCTGCACAAGAAAGAGAAGGTGTCGTCTGGACTTCTGGAACATCTGCTACTGCATTCTCCCAAAATCAAAGATTTGCATTGTCAAGGATCCAATACCAAGTATGGACTTAATCCACCTGAGTATTCACATGATATAAAGTGGTTTACAAAATCCACATTGATAAGGTTCGGAAAATTTTCTTTATATTAAATTTGAATTTCATTAAAGCATTCCTCTTGCATTCTACTAGCTTCAAATTTATATCCACCAACAGGTTTCTGCATATAATTGGTTCTGCAAACATATTGGAAGTAACAAGTACTCTGAAAAAAGAGATATCTCAACTGGAGGATGCTCGCCGATTTCATCTTTCTTTGTATACAAAGGTTGAGTCAGTCAACTGGTTTTTTTCTTCATGTTTCTTCGTTGAACAATCAATGAATTAATTTATTAGTCAACCTTTTCAGGGTACTCAATCTAACCAGACCGAGGAATTTGGTAAGTTTGCAACCATTTTACTTTCCAACGATATCCAATGAAAAGCATATAAGAATTTTCATGCGTGCATATTTAAAGTTGATTGAAGTTTATGAATTCTTAGTTGAGTCCTATGCACTTTGCCAAGAAAAATATAGTGAAAGAAGACTTGAGAGATATCTTTTAAACAGATAACCGAGTGAGCATTCCCTTGTTTTTTTAGATGCTGGATGCACTAATAGTGGTGGGTCTGCTACAAAGGTAAAATGTTTGTCATTCTGTTTTGTTTCAATTATGTTGAGTGTTGTGCTTTTGTGATTTTTAAACGGCTCATAATCGATCTCTCTTTGCAGGCTGAAGACTCTGATGTTTCCAAGTATGTGTACTTGCTTGTCTGCCCATGTGCTTAATGCATACCCATGTAGATTCTTCTGTACTCTTACAGTTATGTATGCAGGAACAAGTTGCTGCATGCTATTGACTCAAGACTGACTGCTTTAAGAGGAGAATTGACTGCTGCTTTCGACCAAGCTGCAGGATCTAGATATTCCGTGGCGGAGATGACTGATATAGAGAAGTTTTCTCGTCACTGTGGATCTTTGGAATTGAGGTGCGCCTTCCTTATATGTTGGAACTAGGAATTATTCTCTCAACAATGGAGATTTATTTCTTTTTTATTGTGTTCCAGTGACTCCCTGCACAAGCACATAGAACTGATTCAAGGAGCTCAGACAGCTGAGAAGTCAGGGAATCATGTCACTGAATCGTTATCTTCAGAGGTTCAATTTGCGGATGTGGAGAGGCAAGGCTACACTGAGAGTGATGGATCATCTTTCTCTAGTGAGGAAGAGAAACAGCATGAAAGGAGTCGGCCTCGGATAAGATCTGCTTCTCCTCGAAGATCTGCATCTCCAATGCGGAGGGTACAAATTGGAAGATCTGGCTCCCGAAGGTCTACTGCTATAACTATTAAGAGTCTGAATTGTATTCCTGCCAGAGAAAAATCATATTTGCCTGCACGTGGAGCCGCAAGTGATAGTGAAGGAGAAGGATCTCAACCAGAACCAAAAAAATCTGATAACAACGTGAGGATTAGTGTCCAGGATGCAATAAATCTGTTTGAAAGAAAACAGAGGGATCAAAAAGTGGATGTCAGGAAGTCAGGGACATTTTCAAATGGAACTATCTGTCCAAACAAAGCTGTTCTGAGAAGATGGAGCAGTGGGATGGGTGACAATTCTGTACAACATTCGCAAGAGATTTTTCATGAGGCTCCTGTTGCTAAGATTCAAAACGATGCAGAAAACAAGGAAGTTAAAAGTGATCTGCAGGAACATGATATCTTTTCAGAAGACCTTAGCCCCGAGCCTTTTGGATTGGATGTGAAAATGAACTCACCTGTAAAAGAAGCTTGTAGTTCGGTAAGAACACAAGAGATGCTCCTTACTGCACCAACGGATGCTGGTGAGAAAGTAATTTCCTCAGCTGAATGGAATCGTCAAAAAGAAGTAGAGCTGAATGAGCTTTTTATGAAGATGATGGAAACTAAACCTGTGAAAACGCGGGCTTCTGTACCTGCAAGCAATAAAAGACACAGCTTGCCTTCTGAGCAGAGAGGTTGTTCTTATGATCACTACAAGGAGAAGAGAGAGGAGAAACTTCGGGGTGAAGCTGCTGGAAAGCGAACAGAGAAAGATAGACATTTCAAACCAATACAACAATTTTCGAATGTCAGAAAATCACAAATGGCCTTAGCAAGTGGCGTCGATTCGGAAAGAAAGCCTAGTGTTAAGAAGATGCAAAAACCACAAAAGAGCTCGGTTGAACCTGCAAATCGCAAGACTGAAAGCCCAAAATCCGGATCTGTTAAGAAAGCCACTCCGAGATCCTCTTCTGTTCCTCACATACGCAAATCATCAGCTTCATTACCATCAACAAGAGGTCCATCTCCCGCAAAAACTCCTCCCATAGTAGATGCAATGCCAGCTCGTAGAAGACCACGGTCCACAACACCAGTTTCTCGCTCCAGCCCAAAAGTGGAGACATCTCAAATTGGAACTAAGCCTGTGAAGCCAAATTGGGACAACAGCAAAAAAAGCTCGGGAAATGCAGTGGAGAAAAAGCAGCAATCTGCAAAAAAGCCTTGGCAAAGTGTCAAAGGCAAAGTTCCAGCTGCGGCCAACGATCATGCTCCTACTGCTAAACCTAAACCTAGCTTGTATATCAAGGTTACCAAAAAAAGCACCATCGTCCCTCTCGAGTCAAAGCCTTCTCTACCTAAAGGTTCTGGAACTGTCTCCGATGCTAATCCATCTGTGAATAAAGAAGAAGCATTGGTTTCTCCACAGGATGTATTGCAGAAGTCGGCAGATATGATCGAGCATGAGGAAAATTTAGAGGTATCCAACCATTCTAGTCCTGAGATTCTTCATGAAGATGATATTGCTGTAACGCCCGAGGTTATTGAAAGTGTAACTACTGTGAGAAGCCCTGCCATTGATGACAACAACACCGAGAATGTGACGGAGAATCAATTAAATCCCGATATTGAAGAAGAATCAATCTCACCTGCTGCTTGGGTGGAAATTGAGGAGAATGAAAATCAACTTGCGACTTTGGAAGACTGTTCTTGGGAAATGGTTGATCCATCAGCAGCCAACAAGGCGGCGCCAGTCGTCGCATCTAGTCCTCCTCGAGTGCATCATTCTCTGTCGCAAATGCTCCTTGAAGAGAGTAGTGAATCTGATGTCCCAGAGTGGGGGAATGCTGCAAATCAACCACAAGTGATGGACCACAAAGACTCTCCCAAAGGTTTTAAGAGGCTATTGAAATTTGGTCGGAAGAGCAAGACTGACACCAATGCAGCAGCAGCAGCAGGTGGTGGTTTGCTTATCTCGTCTGTCGTGTTTTCTGAAGGAGAGGATGAGGGCGAGTGTGCAAATAAAAGAAATGCAGAAAAACTACTCAGGAAATCAGCAACACTGCATTCGAAGAACAATGTCGCTGGTAAATTCTTGCTCCCAATCCCTTCCAAGATTATTATCATTTTGACGATGAATATGAATTTTGTTGTGGTTGGCTCGGCTGCAGGTCGTCCGAATCTTAGCAATTCCAGTTCGTCACAGGATGATCATGCAACAACAAAAGGTTAGTTGCAGTTGCCATTTTTGGAGCCGTCCCGTATGAAATGTTTGTTTGTTTGTTGTTTGTGTTTGGTGATTATTATTATTATTGTTATTCTGATGAAGTCTTGGTGGTGTGTGTAGTAGGAGGAGGAAGGTCGTTGTTCTTCTCTCTTTCGGCTTTCAAAGGCAACAAGTAAAGTAAGAAGAAAGGAGGAGGAGGAGGGAACAAATCTATAATATAGATATCATTTTGTATGGAATTTCGTTGCACTTTTTGACTTGTTAATTATATATTATATATGGTTGGTTTAGGCTACTTTGCTTTACTTTTGGTTTTGATTTTGATATTGGGAATGGGTGTCCATGTCCATGTCCTTCCTATGTAAAACATACATTGTCTTGTTTTATGGTCGGGTCGGATCGGATTGGATCTCACTCAGTTTGGATGAATACTAATTAATTTATACATGGCTGTCAAACTTCAATCAGACCTAAGGGTGGCATATTGTACTAAAAATACCGATCAATATCGATATTATATCGAATTTTACATAACGTACAGGTACGGTTAATACTGAAAATTCTGATTTAGGTAAGATATCGGTAAACTTCGATTATGTTCGAGCAGATGGGGAAGGCACCGAACGGCTTTAATGAGATTAGGGTTTTTTTAAGTTTCTTTTTGGTATATTTTTTAATTATTTATATTAATAATTAAATTATTTAATAAAAATAATATGGGTACGATATTATATCAAAATATCGAGCTTTCCAAAAATTTATACCGATATCGTACTAAAATTTTCGATATTTTCAATACGGTATGGTACGAATAAATCGGTTAAATTTTACTTGCTTGTGGATGACTTACCATATGCGAAAAAGATTTTGTAATTGTCATTTCTTGTTTTGGCATACGACACATCCTTCTATCCAGTGTGTCGAGATTTGAGACAAACACACAATAGGAAAGTTGATAGGCTGTGTTGCAGACTCATTTTGCATGGTTGCTTTATGTCTTTTTTCAGAAAATTTTGTTTGGATTTGAGAAGTTAAGTGTTGAAAAACGTTTTTGAGGTTGCATTTCTATGGTAGTGCAATTAATTTCCCAAGATTGGATAATCAAACAAGTCACAAAACCATCTTGTTTTGTATGTAAACAGTGGGTAAGATAGTCTTGTGAGCATAGAGAAAGAGTGTTTTTATTGTAGTAAGAGAAAAAGTGTGTTTTCTCTCAAGGGTGAGTTTGTTCTAAGGTTTGGATTTTAAATTGAGATTTAAATAGTAAAGATTTTGAATTCGATATAAATAAGAATTGATGTGATGTTTTAAATGTAAATTTATTTTTAATATAATACAAAAAATGAAAAATAAATGTTTGACTTAATATTTTTGAGAGAAATTTTGTGGAAATAATGAAAATCCAACAAATCCCTCAAACAAACATACCCTAAATATTTTCGTTTCAACTATCATTTATTATGAGGAAGATATTGAACTTTCATGACATTTTGAAGCTCATTTAAAAGGAATTTTCAATAAGAAAAAAAAGATCAACTTTGTACCCACTTACTCTCGATTAGAATGATAATCTACTAGAACTTCTGTATGGTCATCCAAAGAAAATTGAAGGAGAAATCGTTAAGTCATGTGTATATCTAGTGATAAATTTAGTATATACTCCTTAATTGTTAACAAATCTTGTGTGTGTTTTATTTTTCATTAATTTTTACGTCGTTGTCATTAAATTCGGAGAAGTGTTGACCTCTTTATCATGTTCACATCTATTGAAAATGGGCATTCCTAATTATGAGAGAAACTCATCTTTCCGACTTTCAACAACTGACTTCAATATAGAGAGAAAAATTGGACATGGGAAGAATCTTAGAACAGCCAAAGAATCTGATATGAAAATCAACCGATCATAAATTATTTTAAGTGTCCCATGTTATTGTTATTTTAATGAGTTGTACAAATTGGGATCATTGATTTGATGAAGATTTCATTTCATTAATCTCCTATTCTTTCTCAGACATAATAGTTTCACTCATATGAACATATTCATTCATTAAATAGAATACACAAACTTGTAATGTAATAACTAAGAAGGAGGCCCTCTCAAGGCTCTGTTCCTTTCTAAAAAATTTCAATCTTTTTTGTTTTCTACTCCTCACACAAAACATATGCAATCTAAGTGCAAAATGCAGAATAGAATCATCAATGAGATATCATGGAGTTACTTGTTCAATCTGACTTGCTTTCTAAACAACTCCCAATACAGAAGAAGAAATCACTGAATATTTGTTCCAAACAAACAAAGGCAAATATATATATATATATATATAGCATGCCATGCTTGCTGTATTGATGCAATAGATAAAACAATCCACCTACCAACAAGTCAAGTCGATCACGTACACATAATTATTATGATTATGATTATGATAATGATTATGATTATGATAAGATTAGGTCAACTCGACAAAAAGGCTTGCCTGTGGATGTAATCCGGCTTCCTTCAGGGACAGAGAGAACTTGTCTTCGCTGTAAACAGTACGGGGAAAGTTGGAGACCAGCCTGTATCCATTAACTTCTAAGCATCCTAAACAATCGACGTAGTCATACAGAGATTGTATTCTTGCACTGCAATGGAATCTCCTCTCTTTCCGCTCTCCAGATGGAAATCGAACCAATACCTTCAACATTCAAATTTACAAGACAAATGATAGAAGTCAATAAGTAGCTCAACAAAGTTGTCTATAGCATCCATCTCTATATATAATAGGGATAAAAACTCGGCCACTGTTTATGCACTCTCAAAGGGAAAGAGAAAACAAATGAAGATTAATTGCACTCCAAACTGCTTGAACCCAACCCGAATTTCCGCCCCATAGAGACTAAAATTCTTTATTCATATGAAAGAAATTTCACTTCTGTGAAAACATTTTTCAGTATCTAAAAAGCAGTAGGTGATTAGATATCGTAATATTTCAGTATAGATAATGAAAATAAAGCAGATTTTGTTACTTACTTGAGTAACATCAGGCCCTTTCTCAGGTTCGGGGCCAAGGGATCGAGCTTTCTCCTCACGCATCTTAGCTAAAGCAGCTTCTCTCTCAGCTGCTTCTCGTGCGGCTCTTTCCTGGGCCTCCTCTTCCTCTTTCCTTTTCCTCTCAGCTTCGGCAGCTTCACGCTCCAGCCGTTCCTGTTCTTCTCTCCTCTGGCGCTCCCGAGCCTGAACAGTTGTAAAAGGATAAATAGAAACTCTTACTACGTAAAATTACCTGAATAGAGAAAAGTTTATTAATAATTATTGAAAGAACATCACAAAAGGGCATACTTGATCAGCCTCTAGTGCTGCTCGATAAGCAGCATCCTGTTCCTCTCGCAGCCGTATATTGTTTCTTCTTTCTTCAGCTTCAGCCCTTGCTGAAACGAGAACTGGAGCACTTTCTTCGAGCACTCTCTGCAGTGCTGTCATCATTTCTTGCGGAGATTTTGGGCCCTCAACCTGCAAGTGTACAATGCGGTACATATATAAGCATATGGTCGAGCACACTTAGAATGACACTCAAAAGGAACACCAACGTGATGAACAGATTCCTAGTAATCTTAAACAATGTTAGTGACAAACATATGATTAAAGTTGAAATGGTAGATCAAATTAATCATAGATCCCTTACCAATTGAACCTTTCCGTTCATTTACAAATCATGAAACCACTAGATGCAACAATACCATGCCTTGATTCATCTAAAAGGCAGAGAAAGATCTAGGAAGAACTTGAAACAAACTAAGGGACATTTTACAATTCAACTTATATGTCAATGTGTTTTGGATATGGCCAAACCACACAGTAGAATAGAAGCTGCGATTTACTTTCCAATTTAAACATACATTTGTAATGCCCAGAAAAACATAGAATCTCTTTTGACATAATCATCCAGAATTTGTAAGAACACAGATGAAAACTGAATTAATATATGCAAAGCATTGTGCTTTTTAGCAAAAATCTTTAAATTCCCATTCGTAAGACTCCAATACAAATTCCAATTCTATTTCAAACCCTGAAACCTATAACAGTCGGGGAAAAATTAGGAACCTATGTCATCAATCATTTCTAGCTTTCATCAAATATTTACTGCAGAAAAAGACGTAATAAAACCACCTCACATTAATGTTTTAAAGTTCAAGCAGAAAAACAAATAAAAAATCTTTATGCTATTATTCTGGACAAGAAGACATCATTTCATAAACACGGAAGTAAGTGTGCGTTAGCTTTAATATGTGAATCCTGTTGGTCTTTCTAGAAAATTAGAACACTAAAAATTTAAATACACCTTCATTCCTCATCTGATGTTATGATGAAATGTAAAAATCAATAATCAGAAATCCTTAGAATTGCATATAAATCAAATGAATTAAATATATACATATAATAGAACTCAAAACATATCAGCTGCCAACTTCAAATAGGAAAAGGTTGAAGGACATTTTATTTTACACATAAAACGATGTTTCAAGAAAATAGTAGAACACCAATGCCAAGCTGTAGGACCCGTACAAAGTGATGTGGAAAATGCACTTCCAAAATACTAAAAACACAAAAAGATAAAACCTTATTTCATATCGCAATAGCTGTTCATCCATTTTCATGAGGAAAAAATAATCCTAACCTAATAATAATAAACTGCATAAATGCTCAATGTTAAGGCATATGTCCCTGTCTTTTCAACATTGTGCCTTATCAAATGTCTTCGCCAGCTTCCATTAATATTCAGAAAAAAATCCAGAATACTCTAGTGTTCAATAAAAATCCTCTCATACCATCTTACCAAATGATCATTGAATGTTGACATGGTTAATTCTTCGAAAAGTATTTTCTATATATTCCTGACTTAAATCCATTACTCATCAATTTAATCAAACCTCCACATATAATGATACGATAAACCCATCCTGATATCTACCATTTCTAGAGGAATGGAAATTGTCAGTTGAGTAACAAGATATATGACCACAAATAACAAATTAATTTGATAACCATTATGTGTTTAAAGGAAGCAAAACAAAAGATATCCAATATCTTTTCTTCTCTTAGATAATAGGAATTATTTGAAGATAATGAAAGCAATCTGCACACTCAACATTTTTCGCTCAATGCAATGTATGTTTTTATCACACATCAGTGTTTCAAGTCAGTGAAAGAATGCACATGTACATCCTCATATCAGAATGGAACTCTGATGTAGTTACAAGAAAAAGATTTACCTCTATATAAAACATTATAGTAAAAAAAAAAAACATATATAACAAGCTCCTCGTGCCCAATTCTACCAAGCACTGAATATTTTGGTGAAGTAGGAAAGTTGGAAAAGACTAACAGATTATGCACAAAGAAAATGAATTTTAACTAACAAGGGCACAGAGACAGAAAGATTTCACTATCACCATCAAGAATAAAGACACGCTAATCACAAAGAAACACAAAGCATCACACCCCACCAGGTAATCTTTCTTAATTTAAAAAATCTATGGAAATCAACTTATGGAAAAACATCATACAAAGCTGCAAAAATCTGTACTGCATACATTCAAAAGTTGTAGGCACTCCAAACAACAGCCTGTATTCTTACTACATATCATCAAAGAAGTTTTCAGTTAAATAAGCACACTCAAATCCTTACTCTACAAGTCTACAACATGTATTAAAGGGAATTTTGCTATTCGAAGCCCTTTATGCACCACTAAGCAATATAACATAAATTTAGCATTATACAATTCATAATAATAAGAAAAAGAATTTCCTAGCCAAAAACATTAACATCCAACAACTATTTGCCATTCTTGAAACTTCAAATCCAAGACAATCCAAGCCACTTAAACACCCAAAACACAACTAAACCCTAAACCCTAAACCCTAAAAAGGAGAAAGAAAGGCACATAACATTTGAAATAAAAAAGATATTATCAAACATGCACAACCTGTTGTAGCAAGGCGATCCTCTGATTCGTTGCTGCCATAACAACAGCACAAAATGGAAACCTGGAAGCTTTCAAACTATTACTCATTTTGAACCCTTCACTAGACTTGACACTCCCTCCCCACGACACAAAATTCTCGTTCAAGAAGGCAACTAAAAGCTCATTGCACAATGTCCTCGCACAAAACTCCGGCGTGTCAGGGTGCTCCGGCGAGTGCAAGTAAACAAACAATAGCTTATACTCATGTCGAGACCTCTGCAAGGCATCCATGAAACCCTCGGTTGCGAAATTCGGCCTCAATCTCCCATACTCCCTCTCAAAACTCGAAACAAATCCGATCGCCTCCGTGGCCGACTGTGACGCCGCCGGCGACGCTGTCCCAGCCCTAGACGCGCCGTTCAAACCAATCATGCCAAGGGAATAAGACAAAACGCCTCCTGCCGCCCACATACCTAGTCCAATTGCCCCGGAAATCAACCCTAGGCTTCCGGAAATGACGGAGAAAGGAAGTGTCACTAACTTCCAAGCGAGACCGGGGGGTTGATCATTACCATTAGCGGGCAGCAAAAGGCCTTGACCTTCCTCCTGATTCGACCGCGTACTGGCGGATGCGGATACTGAGGAGGACGAAGGCCGGTGAGTGTCGGTGGAGGTGATGGACGAAATCGCCAATTCGAGGTCCCAATTGTGAGCGGAGAGAATTTCAGTGCACAAATCCGTGTCTTCGAGGCCCGTAATTGCTTGAAAATACGCCAATTTATCGGCCACATCCCCCATTTCTGTAAGCTGCAAAATGAATTCCGATCCAATCCAAGACGAGGAAAACCTCCCCTATTCTGTTTATTTCTGGGAAACCTCCCTCGTTCTTTGTTGCTCTCCGAAGGACCTCACAGGGACGTCTTCTTCCCCAAATTCCGCATATCAGAGAGGAAGCAGCCTGAAATTATTTTATTTCACCCGAATCCACCCTCCTGACGATGAGATCTGCAATCCCGTCCTCTATCAATCTATCTAGTTAAAGACCGGTTCTGGCACACCTTGGATTGGTTAAGCAGACTACTACTGGTAAAGACGGTGGGTTGGGGAAGACGAATTCATCAGATCACGATGATGGACGAGACAAAAGCGACGATGGCCTCGCATTTGGGATTTTAGGGTTTTAATTTACTATATGTTATAAGTTGTATCGTACTGTGAAAATCAAGGTAGGGTTTGTTGGATTTCGGTTTTGGATAAATGTGTTTTCTGGGTCGAAAATATAAAAAATAATGACTTTGTTTGTTTGCCGAACGCATTTATAACACACTATTGTTAATATATATATATATATATATATATCTCTTTTTACAAAATTTAAACATTCAATATAATTTTATTTTTATATTAAGAATATAATTTTTTATACTTTATATTAAAAATAATTATTAAAATCAAAATGTTAAATACACAAATTCAATATTTTGAATTAAATTGTTATTTCTAATTAATAAATAATATAATATTTTATATATATATGTATACTATATTTTTTAAAATAATATAACCTCTTATATTAAAAAATATTAAGGGGTTGAGTTTTATTGATTGTGTTAAATTAATTTTACTTTATTTTTTTTGTGAAATTTATTGTTTTACCAAATTAGGTGTGTTTTAATAAAAAAAAAATTAATATATTTTTCGATTAATATTAAAAAATATAATATATATAAATTCATATATATAATATATATGTAAATTCATATAAAATATAGTATATAATTTATATCCTAAAAAACACGGCGGAGCCGGTGGTGGACCAAACCTACTATTCGTTCCTTCCAACATGGGATAGGACGGAGCCACTCGGATTGACACTCATGCTTCAGGTTCTCGGTTATAGCCCGTCCATGTGTGCGAGTTTCTGGTCCTGTACGGCTGATTGACAATATATATTTTGGTGCATATGTCTTGGTGCATGTACGTGTTCCGAATTATTCTCTCAATGGTATATCATGGGCGTGTTACGCACAGGGAACGGCTGGTTTGGGCCTCAGCGTGGGCATGTCAATTTCCGGACACGTTACATATGATATCAAAATAGACCTTGACGGTGGTGGCGAACGAAGCGACAAAGTGGGGCATTGCTCGGAGAGCATGTCGGTGGCACGTCAAGGATGAGCATATCCTAAGGGAACTGTACATTCCAGAGCGGAGTGCTCTTTGAGTGGGGGAGTACGCTCGACGTTGCCGGGCATGTCAAGGAAGAACATGTCCTAAGGTAACTAGACATTCCAAGAGGGGAGTGCTCCCAAGGTGGGGGAGTACGCTCGACATTGCTGAAGGGTCAAGAGGACTGAGCTTTGTTCGTGAGGGAAAAACCACATTAAGGACGATCTTCAGACGAAAATCGCACAAGCCGCAACAAAGGGTATCCCAGATGGTGTGCGGAGATACCCGGCGGAATGGGTCGCATGTGGGTTGTCTATGACAGAAGACCTTGCTGGCTGTTGGTGAACACAAAGCGTGAGGGTATGCAAAAAAGGGTTGAGAGACTGACACCTGAGGCATACCGAAGGTGCAAGAAATAACGTCAGTGCACTTAAGTACATCACACGAAGGCGTTTGCGACTTGAAATGGGGTAGTATTGTCACGGGTTGACACTTCTGCCTCAGGTTCTCGGGTTAAGGCCATCCCATGTGTGCGAGCCCCTATCCTATACGGTTGATTGACGGCATATGTCTTGGTGTAAATACGTATTCTGCATTATTTTCTCATACTGTATGGTATATTCTGTGCGTATTGCGGACATGGGACGGTTGGTCTGGGACTCAGCGCGGCGTGGCCTAGCGCCAAACGTGTCAACTTCTGGACATGTTACACACCGCTTTGGTTAGCTCATCCATAAAAAAGAGACAAAGACTAAAAAGAATATGACGACCACATAAAAAAAAGACACTTTGATTAGAAATGTACGTTGTCGAACCATTGGTGATCGGAAAAAAAAGAAACATTGACATTGTATAAAACAATTTAAAATAAAATATGTTTTATTATACTACCGATATTTTTTTCTCATATCTAATCTATATGTGCATGGTTTTTCAAGTTCGCTAAAATTGTTGCATTATTTACTATTATCATGGCATGACACTTATTTTGTGAATGACGTTAGACTTCATTCTAAATTATGACATGATATATTTTGGTTCAAGTATACATGTCACATTCGAGATATAGACGCCTCAAGATTTAGAAAGATGAGTGAGTGAGTGAACTTGCATCTTAGGTATTATATGTAAATAGCTAACGGGAAAAATCACCTGTTTAGGATTGTATTTTTATAAAAATTCATAAATCGGCTTGTGTATAATAAGATGGTGTTATATTTTAACTTTAACAATGTAATGTAAGACCCGAAACATGATATTGATGATCTCTTGACGCAGTGTAGCAGTAATATTATAGTATTTGTCGTATGAGCTAATAAAAAGTGTGCATGAATAATTTTTAATATAATACCATTTGATGCAGTATAACAGTAGTAATTCTAGTATGAACTAACTAGAGGTGTAACATAAACAATTTTTCATATTATAGTATTTGGTATAAAAATTTAAATCTTAATATAATATTTTAAATAAAAGAATATCTTATTTGTCCAATTGAAAGATTTACAATTACTAATTAATGAGGTAAAAATCTTTTTCTCCTGGTCTTTTAATTTGATTTGATAGTATTAAGGTAGATAAATATAAATATGAGGTTATGTATAATTTTTAATATGATCATTCTTATTGAAATGAAAACTATATACCTTTTATTTGTAAAGGTGAAAATAATAAAATACTCTTTTCTTCTGCTTAGTAAATATATATTTTGCTATTTTTTAATATCCAAATATATAAAATCTATTTTTTAAATAAGAATGAGTCTCAGTTCATATTACAATTTAGTCCAATTTAAGCAAAGTCAAAATTTTATTTATTTATTAATTTATTTTGAAAATACCCGATCACGCCGAAATAATGCCACAGAACGCACATGTCACCTCCTGTTTAACACAGCTCAGCGTCGGATCACGCCGAAATAGTGCCACGGAACGCACATGTCACCTCCTGTTTAACACAGCTCAGCGTCGGGGCGAACACATCATCGCACGCCGGAGGATAGAAAGAGCGAATTTTATCCACTTATAATCCTATTTTTAGAATGGCAAAAATTAATATTTAAAAATAATACTCCCTCCGTCCCTAATGTATTAGTGAAAATAATTATCCTATAATATAAATAATTATAAATTAAGATTACAATAACTAATTAGTTTAATTAAAATTAAAAAAAATAAATTTAAAAGTTTAAAATGAAATTTAAGTGTATAATCATTTTCCAAAAAAGAAAAGTGACATGGCATGTGGGACGGATAGAAACGGCAACGTAGACATGGTCCGTGGAATGGAGGGAGTAATAGGCTTCACTTAGAAGACAAAAATTCAAGGTGGATTAGAGCACCATCTGCAGCAGGTTCATTTGGATTTAAACCATAAGTTCATTGGACCGTATATTTGCAAAATAATACTAATATATCAGTCTTACATCTAGAGAGAAGCAGCTTAGGAATGGGCTGGCTTACCTACACAACTCCATCCTTGAGGTAATCCAAGTAAGGGAAAAGTTTGTCCGCATGAGATCCATAGTGTCGTGAAAATATCGAAACCAGTCTATTTGTGTTTTCGGCATTAACTCCCCTCCCCAAGCACCTGTGGATGGATGCTAGTTTAATCAACTCGTTCCCAATCACAATGTGGTTTTCGCCGTAAAGTTTTTCTAGGATCTGTTGGTCAGACAGGCAGGCATTTATGTATTAGGACAATGCATATAAAAGATATATATACACGCATATGCACTTGGAAGCTTGTGTAATGTTAAGATATGTATTTACGTTACCTCAATGGATGCCTGGCAATGCTCCATTGCAGCTTGCATATCTCCAGTCGAACAAAATGCCTGAGCGATGCTATCTTCCACCTAACAGTGACAATTGAGTCAGTCGAGGATGAGTTCAGGGCGGGGTATTGTCCCTTAAAAGCTATAGAAATGTAGTGTTTAAATGAGAAAATCAGGAATGTATCAAAATATAAGACAATGTATAATGATAATGATGATGTTAATCATATCTGTAGCTGAAAATTTGACAATTTTTTGTAAACTACCTCAGCAATTCTTTTGTTGAAAGGGTGCAACCGACTTCTTAGAGTTTCAAGAGATTTCAAAGAATCCGCAATGAGATTAGTTGAGGTTTCACCATTAGCAATAGCATCCTGCAATCTGATCAGAAACAGAGATTATTATACGAAGTATTATGATTATCTTAGATAATAACTTCTGATTTCATCAAGTTTAGAAGTTTTAGTCCCAAATTGGAGCAATAATACCGTCCGATACAAATCTCAGCTTCAGCGATTGTGCTTTGGGAGGCTTGTAAATCACAAAAAGTCCCACAACTCAAACAATAGCCGGGCTTAAAGCAGCTGCTAAAATTAGTTTGATCAAAGATGCGTCGAGCCACTCTACCAATGTCACCATCCTTGAGTGCGTACCCCTTTTGAGATATAATAGCACACAAAAATAAGATGCACGGAAAAAATATGTGATGATAGTAATAACAGCAACCGTTTAAGCCCTTATTAAATGCTCATTATGCACTCATGTGAAGAACAAAGGAGAGTATATTATGTGCATGAAATCAATTACTGTTTTGTTTTGCGATAAATAATCACGGTGTTCGCGTGATATCTATTTGAATTAGAAAAGGAAAAAACATATTACCTGCATAGTCTTTGATCCTTTCAATTGCTTGTCTTTCTCATATTTGACAATGTGACTGTCGAGGACAACACCAAAACAATTTGTTCTAACACAACGATAACCAGAATGCACCAGATCTGATAAATTTACTCGTGCACAGCCGCTACACTGACATGTAAATAAGTACTGTTCTTCTAAAGACTTGCGTCGATGGCTGCAATTCCATTGCCCAACCTGTTACCAATATATACTTGCTTAGAGCAACAATCTATGTCGCTATACATATTGCACGAAACATAAACAGCATTAATGTACAAACGTATAGTTACTTCTTATTGTATTGGTCCATAGTGACCTTTTTCCATGTAAGGAATTCAATAGATTTCAACAGGTTGTCTGCACTGTGTGCTTGGGCATCTTGAAGTTACAATAGAATTATATATGTATATCACAAACATGATATTACAAGCATCCAAAGACGTATACCTGTGGGCCATAAGACAGTTCTAGTTCTGATCCTGCAATGACATTTTCTGTTGCTCGTATGAAGAGGCTACGTGAAATGAAATACGCATGAACATTTGGTTCGCAAGAGTGGTTGAATAAACTTCCACCAGGATAGACAGCTTGAGCCACTTGCACCTAAAAATGATCATCTAGGCAGATTTAGAACACTCAAATTATCAACTGAAGTTTAATGGAACAGCCAAAAACCTAGGAAATATGGAAGGAGTCTATGATGATGATATTTTGTCTTTCTAATAATTCTTGGAGGATAAATACTGCTAGCACTTTTTAATGTGGGTCCTAATTGAGTAAGTAATCAAAAATTGTTGGCAACATTGAAGTTGTATGGATATTTCATTGCAAGCATATGAAGATTTGTGAGTATTGAAAACCTGTTCCATAGGACTTGTTCCGTCAAGATCTAGCTGCTGCTTTCCATCAGCATATCTCATACTAACAATTGCCATGGAATTGATCCTAATTTGCGATAGGAGAATGATAATCTTCATTCAAAAAAACAAATGTAACATAAATATAATGCAAATAAATTTCGAGTGTATGCTTATTAACACTAAATAAAATAATACAAATTAAAACAGCTAAAATCACATAAACAGTGTAATGCAGCTTTTCAAAAGCATCATGCACTGAGATTACCTCTGCAGCTGTGGCTGAGTTTAGAGGAAATTTGGCACTGAAAAATTGTTGAAGACAGCATATCAAAATCATTGAATACACGTGGAACTCCAATTTGCATTTAGGTGGAAGCTTTCCATAATTCTCGCAAAGATCCTAGAGATCATCAAGGCCATCAGTTTGAAGACATCAAGGGAATAGTATCAAACATATAAAAGAAAAAAATTTACTTATAAATTTACCAAAATTCCATGAATTTTCACATCATTGCTGCCACTACTCTGTATGTGCTTGGCTACAATGCGGCCTACCAGAACCACATCAGATGGTAAAACTGCAGACCAGTGCATGCCTTGACACTCATGTTTGTGCTCAGCTCCAGATTGAAGGTCTGAAACTAAAGTGCCTTGTGAAATTACATTTCCAACATATTGTTCGAGACCTTTTGGCAAGTCTTGTAAAAATCCAGAATTTCTCTTGTATTTTGGATGATCATGCCCTCCAGCTTGCACTTGGCACTTTACTGAGCAGAACACTAGACTGGAACATGCCACGCAGGGTACTGTATCTGCCGGTAGTTCATTGAAGCAGAAAGCACAATGAGTTTCCCGACAATTCTTTAATATAATCTGCATCAAGGGCAAATAAAACGCTAAACTTGTGCACATCCAAGTCCAATCAATTTTTTACTTATCATCTGCATCATTCCAGCACAAACATTGTATTATTCACCAAGGTATGCAGTGAAGTAAGACAAGTTCAAAATATGAGTCTAGACAAAACTTTACAACATAATAAATAATTGGCATATGAAAAGGCAAGGAACCAATGAGCAGAGATAAAAAATTTATTAAGTTATTTGCAGGGTAAACTTGTATTTGTTCTTTTGTTCATACCGCCGCATAAGGATCTTCCCTATGAATTAAAGAAGCCACAGGAATATCAGTGAATGAAGTTAATCCTCTCCCTTTATTTCTTGTGGAGATACATTTGAGTTCCATTTGAAGTCTCTCATCTGTCACATAAGACCTACATTATAAGAATCAAGGAAGGAAAGAACACACGTTACGAGAAAGTAAAAGATAACTGAACCAATGGGTTAAAACAATATGGAAAAGATAAGTAGTAAATGGATTAAAAGTTTCATAGGAAACAAAATGAGTTAAAACAGAGAAAACAATGAGGAAGAAAGACAAAGTAACAATTTGATTGTTAATAATAAATTTCAAATAAGTGAGGAAACAAACTACTATCAGCCCATGATCAACCCTCCACCAGTAAATGGGAAGTTCACTCTGCTAACTCTAACTATAGTAGAAACTATGAGTAAGTGTTTTAAATTTTTGAAAGATTTTGGATTTAAATTATTTTGAAGTGAAAAACTGAATTTTTGAAAGTTGAACTGTGTTTATATAGAAATTATGGAAATTTTGAAAGTAATGATTATTTGATTGATGGGTAAAATGGTTTGAATTTATTGTTGATGTGATAGAAAAAAAAATGATTTAGAAATAAATAATAGAGTTATAATGAGGTATAGAATTTGTTCACTCAATGAAAAATTTTCGACCAGCTTCCCAATTAATATTATAAAAGTATACAATATAAACAAATATTTACATTTTAATATATATATATTATCCATTTAAAATAATAATAATTCAATACAAAATATTTCTTTTTTATATTACCAATGCATTCGTATCTAATACAAAACAAACAAACACCATTTTATTTATTTATTTATTTTACTGGGTAGGAAGAATGTCAGAAAGTTTTTACAGTGGGAAAATCATGCATCTGCAGCAGTAGCAATCTGATAGACAGTCCTTTGCAGAAGTTGCCAATTATTCATAAGAACATTCCGAGTCATGATTTGTATATATTTTGGCGACAGTAAAAATATATGGACAGGAATTCAATTGATAAACAGTGCCAAACGAGTCCAAATGCTTAGTCTAAACAAACCTAAATCATGTGATCTCTGGTCCTCCTAATTATTTTCTTAGGATATAAACTTAACGTAGAGGTTTTACATAAAAATTATAGAATGGTTCACCACAGATTGAAGTGACGAAAATTTCAGAATATTTAGAAACATATAAATTTGACGACAATTGAGAAATTTCAAACTAGATCACTGTAGTGGCTTCATGAATTGCCAACACACATGTTCAGAACGCAGCTCAAATAACTTAATGTAAATAAAACAGAAATTTAAATGAATGCTGTGCAAAGTAAACCTGAGGTGTCATCATTTGATTTTCCAGAATCATTTCTTCTCAGCCTGGACTGCTTTAACAACACTTGTAATTCGCTCTCTATCTTTTTTCTCCCACTCAAGGTTTCCTCAATCTTCAGCACAACATTCAAATCATTGATAGCATCATCATAGTTTCCCAGTGAAGAATTTGCTTTGGATCTCCTATACCATGCCTGCTTTAAGGTATATATTCTCATTTTGACTAAGAAACACCAATACAGGGAAAATCTGGAAGCAGAAACAGTATCAAAGCTGAACATCAAGAGGTCTTTCCCTTAGATTATATTCAGTTTGGCATAACTTACCGAACTGCCAACCCATTACCATGATGCATAAAAGATAATGGAATTCATTAATTAATTATTTTGTAAAATTGAAGCACTGTTCGGCTTGGAAAACCTTCTGGTTAAATTATACATATTCAATCAAAATGATCCTAAGATAATGGATAGGAAGTCAGTGCGCAGCTCATATATTTTCTGCGAGGCATTCACAAAAAATTGTAAATCGACATAAATTAGGTCCAATCCTATCAGGATCCAAAATTAACATCACTGGCATGAGGTAGGCAGTGGAACAAACATTTTACCTTAGCATAGGGTGGGTAAATTGTGAGAGCCCGGCTACAGTCACGCAGACATTCGAGAAACAATCCCATTTCCTGAGATAAGTCAGGAATAGACAATAAAATTGCAGAGATGCACAGGGAAAAACAATTCCAAAATCAACAATTTTTTTTCAGTGAAGACAAAACACAATAACCCAGCCTTTAAAAAGATCTGAGCGCCTATGTATGAGATAAGCTTTTCAACATTGCCACTCAATGACATCAGAATCACAGTGAACCAAAACTCACATGCCATGAAGAAGCTCGGTTAAAGTAGAGGGTTGCAACCAAATTTTTTCCCTTGTCTTCAACATCCATTGGAGCAACACGCAGCGCCTGTTTTATTCATGTAAAAAGAAGAAAAGAATGATAAACACCAATCCATCATCCAAGTAACAGAAAGGGTTAACAAATATTCATGCTCAAATCCAAAACAAGTTTCATAAAATCACGACCTCATACAGCAAAACAAGTTCCAGAAGTTTAAAGAACTCATCTGCACATGAATTTCAGAACTTCAAAGATATTTCAAACATTTATGTCTTCATCATATCTGTATGCTCATAATCAGATAATTTTGTAAGTGTACATACATATATATATCTACACATACACGTACAATTAATCTTATAAGAAGAGCATAAACAGTGACATCAAGCAAAGGCATTGCTACTCAGACAAAGTGAAGAGGAAAGAAATGTGAATTTGGGATTAACGGTTTCTCTTTCATCAACCTGGGAATAAAAACTCGAAGCACTAGAATAATCCCCTTTGAAAAAGCATTCATTGCCTTTGGCCTTAGCTTCCATCGCAGCTTCCTTATTCTTGCCACACAGAGCCAGTTCGGGGTCGGTCAAATCGCTGACCATCTACAAAATTCAGCAACAAAAAATTCAAAAATAAAAATAAAAATAAAGAATATCCAAGGAAGTTCCATGCTATATAGCATAGGCGAACCTGAAGAAAAAGGGGGAAGCTTTGGAAGAAATGGAGTAGGTGAGAGCATGTCAATGGGAGGTCCTCCTTGCTACTTCCTTCAATATCCCGTTTCAGTGCTTCAGGGATCGCAGATTTCAGCTTCTCCATATATTAGGGTTTTGGGTGGGGAGAAGAGTTGGGGCGCCAAGACGACGAAATGTGAAAATGAAATAAACTTTAGTCACGTAAGGGATGGCGTACGGGTGTGAAGTTGTGACCATGGTCCGCTCCGTGTGTATTTGCCTTGTTGGGATAGTAGGTTTGGCGGAATTAGTTCTCACGTTATAGAAAAAAAATCAATTTATCGGGACTTTAATATATTTATTTTTTGTAATTTTAAAAATATCAGTATTATATTAGAATAAAGTAGAAATAAAGGTAAAAATATTGAATTAATTTTATTAGTATAGTATGATATAAATGTAATGATATTTGTATAATATATTATAAATTGGAGACTGAGGGTGTATAATATATTTTTTCATTTGATAAAAAAACACAAAGAACGAATGATTATAACAACTTTGTTAACTGTCCAATTGAAAGGAGTTTTCATGAATCGTCGGTCTTTTAGTCCAATGGTGAGGTTTGCATCGGACATTTATAATTTGACCACGTATTTGCACGCATTCTTGACGGATTCTTATATAGCACTTGATTATATTAAATTTTGTTTTTTGATATCGTAATTTTTTTTATTTAAAAAAAGAAAAATAATAAATTATGTGGGACAAACAAAAAAATAAAAGAATGAACAAATTAAGTAAACTGTGAAAATATATTTTTATTAAAAACTGTTCAAACTAAATAACATTAGACTTATATTTTCTATTGTTTGAATGATAGGAATGAACAATTACATAAGGTATTTATTGATGTTATATATCCAATGGACTGACTATGATTAATTAAATTTTACAAATTGTTGGACATGGATCAAAAAGCACCCAAACGAGACTCGAAGACAAAAACGGAGCCGGAGCTCCCTGGCTACGGAGGTGCCCAGCAACAATAGAACTCCATGCCGCGGAGCCAAAGACTATTGCATCCACATAGCCGAAAGCAACAATCTCAATTGGACTATGATGTCTTCAAAAAGCAAAGGATTCCTGCATCCACTGGGCCGAAAGCAGCAGCTTCCACGGATTAAGAGGCAACAACCTCCATTAATCTCGGGGCAGCAACTTCTTGGACTATGGTGCATCCATCCCGGAACAATACTTCCATAAAGTCGAAGATTTTTGCCTCCACCGAGCCAAAAACAACAACCTCCATTGGCTTTAAATTAACAGCTCCATACCGAAAGTCAATAAAAGATCCACATGCTTCCATATTTCATTTAGAAGACTCTTTTAAAGGGAGACTGTTATAAAAAAGAATTGAAGAGTCAAATAACTCAAAGTTATTGGGATGAAACCCCTTAAACCAGCCAACTAAGGTATAATGGAGGCAGTTTGAAGTGAGTTTGGTTCAAGTGCAATAGAGGCGGTTTGGAGTAAGTAGCGGACCGGTTCAAAGCGGTTTGGAGTAAGTTGCGGACCGGTTCAAGTGCAATTGAGACGGTTTAGAGTGAATTCAACGGTTGAGAATTGAGTGGAGAGAGTTATCATGCGGTTGGAATGAGTCAACGGTTAGAATTGAGTGAAGAGAGTTGCCAGACGGATTGAAAGGAGTTTGAAAGAATAACTGCACCACTCTCTTAGAATGGTGGTTGCTTATGTTATGATACACAGAACACGCTTATCTTATGATACACAGAACATAGACACGCACAAAAATACACATTTCTTCTACAGGTCTTTTATCATTTTATTAGTTTATCTGTATATTTTAGGAGATTGTCCAATTATATTCTAATTTATGTTGTCTTTTATTAATTTTTTTTCTTAATTAATATTTCTAGTATATTTTTATCCGATTTTCAATAGATTTATCCGAATTTTAGTAAATTTTAGTTAATTCATTGCAGGCTCCACCAAATGAGCCACCTCTAATCCCACGACAGATAGAAGATTATTTTGTTATTTATTTTATTAAAAAAAACTATTTAAGATATTTTATTATATTTATAATTAAACATTAATCTTGAACGATAAAAATATTTTATGCCTATTTTAATTAAACACAATAAATTCATACCGTAAATAAAATAATTTTGTGTATGGCTACTAAAATATAATAGAGTTTACCCTCCAATTATTTTAGTATTCAAAACATAAAAATCCATGTATATTAGTCTTGTAAAAGTGGTCCAACCATTAGCTAGTTCCGCTTTCACCCGTCAACTCTTGCCTTATGTAGTAATTAAAAAAATATTTTTGTTTATTTATAATTAACATTTAAATCAATTTTATAAAAGATGTGTAGTTTTAAATATAGATAAAAATATTTATTTTTTTTAAGAGAGATTTTTAAGAGAGATGTAGAAATAAAAGGGTTTTGAGTACGTCTATTATAATATTGTATGTTATGTAGTTAATGTGTTTGTTTGGAGGATTTGATTAGATTTTCACTATTCATCCCAGGTTTTCTCTCCAAAAATATCAAATCAAACACCTATTTTTTATTTTTTATATTATACTAAAAATCAATTTTACATTCAAAACATCACGTCAACACATATTTATATCACATCATACAGCTATTCAAATTTAAAAATTTTACTATTCAAATTCCAACTTAAAATCCAAACCCCCACACAAACACAAACATAAGTTAATTTATATTTGTTAAATATATTATTTTTGTTCAATATATTTGAATAGTCCTTTTGCAAAAATAAAAATGGCGACGGTTGGACAGAATGCAACCGCCGCTTTCCTTCCAACAAAACAAAATTCAGAAAATGGTTACAAGACATTTTTTCGGCGCGAAGCTGTAGTGCAGCGGCAGAGATCGTACCCAACCGATTCCTGCAGCTTGATTGAAGTTCTCATCAAGTTGAGCTGTGGAATTGGGAGATTGACGCTATATTCGATTGCTTTATCCTAGGATTTTATGAGCGGTTAATGGAAAGCAGCACCATGGATGGGGATTGCGATTGGAGGCTTCAATCGGATTGGTACTCTCCGAATAGGCTCCACAGCAGTCCCGTGGAATTTGATTTTCCGGTAATGTTGTGGCGGTGGTATTTTTCAAAATTTCTTATGGAAATTCACAGATTATGGTTTGTTTCTATTTAGTTCTGAGGATTTATGGTCTTGTTGTTCTTGTTATGAAGGGAGATCGGTTCATTCCGAATAGGAGCCTGATGGATCTCGATCAAGCTCACGGGGAATTGACAAACAGGACTGATAACGGACTGCGCAAGACCAAGGTCGGTCGGATTTCGATTCCTTTTGGTTAATTTCCTTTCCGATTTCTCAATCATGTTTGCACTTCACAATTGCTGTCTTCTTGAATTGAGTTCTTAATGATTATTGAAGTTCAGAATTACGCTTCATCTGAGTACCTTTGGGGTTCCTTTTTATGTATGTAATCTCCATTGTTTGGAAGGGTACAATTTAGACAGATTTCTAAACATTGATTGTTATGAGAAAGTATGAATCCAATGAACTGTGAGTTTGAAGGATCTGAATGAAGACAGTGACGTTGTTCCTCTGCAATGCAGGTTGAATACCGTCGACAATTGGAAAATTTGAGGCTGGATGCCGAAGGGCGGCCATTCCAAATGCTGGTTTTCAGAGGTAGTCCTAAATCGAGTAGGAAAACAGGGCGTCTAATAGATGAGATGCGGCGCAGTGATGAGGAAATCCCGGCTTGTCGACCATTGATGCGTCAATTCCCTAAGGTATATTTACAATTATTTCCCAAATAATGTTCAGCTCTATGTTTTTCTCATCGAACGACGTATGCATTGCAGAGGGCATGCCATATTTTGGATGCACCCAACATGAAGGATGATTATTATCTCAATATAATGGATTGGGGCAAAACCAACATTCTTGCTGTGGCTTTGGGAGCAAAGGTTTACTTGTGGAATGCCGATACTTGTAAGATTGAGTTGTTGTCGGACGTTGGGGAGGGCAAGTATCCTGCCAGTGTGTCGTGGTCTGAAGATTCGAAAATGATAGCAGTAGGATACAGTTGTTCCAGAATACAGATATTCGACGCCGAATCTCTCAAACCTGTGAGTGCTCTGAGCCCAACACATTCGGCGAAAACTTAGCCTGTTAAGTTTTATTTGTTAAGTTCATGTGCATCGTTCGACAGGTGAGATGTCTTAATGGTCACGAGAGAAGAGTTGGGTCCCTTGCTTGGAACGGGAACATATTGTCGTCTGGAAGCTGTGATAGAGCTATCGTTAATCACGATCGTAAGTTTTAAATCATCTCCTCCATAAAAGCTTAGCATGTTTGTATAACAATAGCATGTCATTTTAGATTGCTTCGATTATGGGGCTGATTGGAGACCTCAATCAACATATGAAAATATTATATGTTGCAAGTGAAAATACTATAGATAACGAATGAAAATATAATAGACAACAAATGTTGTATAAAGTATTAGTATTAGTATGTACTGGTAGTTCTATTTATCAACACATGAAAATACTATAGATAACATATTAAAATATAACAAACTATAAAATATTAGTATGAATTGTTCGTTCTATTTCATATATGTTACGTAGATTTATATCTAATGTAACACTGTCAGCACGGTGCTAACATACCCTCCGCCCATTTTAGATTCATTTTACTTCGGATCTTCATCCTCGGGATAAATTACTAATTTGTTCGGTTCGATTATGGCTGATATTCGTGTTGTATGTTGCGACAGTAAGAGCAAGAAGAATGCTGTCCTGTATCAAAGAGCACAAAGGAGAAGTCTGCGGATTAAAGTGGTCGATCACAGGCAACAAGCTGGCAAGCGGAGGAAACGACAATGTAGTCTACTTATGGGACGCGTGTAAAATGAGCTCGATGCACTATACCTACCAGCTCGCCGATCATTGTGCAGCAGTTAAGGCCCTCGCGTGGTGCCCTCACGACTACAACGTGCTGGCCACCGGGGGAGGCTTGAATGACGGATCCATCAGGACATGGAACACGCAGAATGGAGCTTGCATCAACAACATCGATACCAGGGCGCAGGCAAGTTAAAAAAACACCTAAGATGCTCGACCATATCCCGGTTTATCTGAACTAATGTCATAACTTGAATTACATGTTCTGTGTTGCCAGGTTTGCGGGCTGCTCTGGAACAGACATCATAAAGAGATACTAAGTGGCCATGGCTACGGCGCGGAGCACAAGAATCAATTGTGCCTGTGGAAGTACCCTTCTATGTCCGAGATAGGCGAATCGGTCACTCATAGTTCAAGAATCCTCCATCTAACACAGGTTTGGTTTGATGTTTTATATCAACAACTCAAGCTCTGTAGTCCGTAGCGCAAAATTATCTTGACGATCAAATGCTGTTGGTTGGGTTGTGAGCAGAGCCCTGATGGCCTAACTGCAGTCTCGGCCGGAGAAGATGAGACGATACGTTTCTGGGAAGTGTTTGGTCCAGCATCCCAAGCTGATTCCAAGACTTCATATTTGGAAGGACTCTTGTCTCTCAAAACAACACCACTTAGATGAAATGATAAGAACAGAATCTTGGCCTATATATCAGGTACACAATTTTTTCGAAATTTCATAGCTAATATTCAGCAGATTTCTTCTACACGAATCTCTGGTCTTTGTTGCAAATGTGAGTTCTGTATATTGGTATAGATTATGGCTTAGGGCAGAATCTCATATTTAAACCTTTTTAAGGCTGTCTAGTTTTCCATGGAGCTTTGTGCATATAAAATCAATAGGAAAACACCATAGAAAAGGCTTAAAAGCTTCTTTTTTTTTTTTTTTTTTTTTTTTTCCATACAAACACAAGAACAAGAAATGAGGATGAAAGTTGAAGTTGTTCATACTATTCATTGAGGAAACAAACCTTCATGAACTGATAAAGGTCCCGGATTTAGCTCTGCATTTGTAGCGGGTTGAATATTGGCGAAGTCGATAAGAGCTTTAATCGATGTAGAGTTGCTGAGGGGAGGAGAAGCAACAATGGGAACAAGCTAGAAAAATGGTGATCTGATCATACTCGAATAGTACAGTAAAAGCTCCTCAGATATCGAACTTTTAATGAAATTTCAAGAGTTTCTGCAAATTGAGTTTTTGCTCACAATATTGAGAATCGATTAAGGCTGTATTGTATATAGATTGATGAGGCTTTTGCAACCAAAGTTGAAGATGATAAACAACGTATCGTTAAGGTTCTAAGCTTGATAATCATTCAGTTCATGTTATATTATAGTAACATATTTCCTAGGCCATATAGTTCATTTTGTTGTGACGGATTAGGATTAATGATCAAATAACAAACATAAAACGTAAAGAAAATATACATTTACGTAGTTCACCAACAACGTGTTGGCTACGGACATAAACGGAGAAGGCCAAGGCCAGGTTTATTGACTTATAATCTCTAATTCTATTTAAATAAACCAAAAGAATACATCAGACGGGTTCAACCCAATACCATCTCAAAAGTTCAATACTACCGTTGGCTCCCTCAGACCCAGGCAAAGGTGACTTTGCCCCCTTGACCCCATCTCGCTAACTGGGCAACGATACCCAGCGAAGCTCAGCAAAATAGCAAACTAAATTAAATACATATCAACACATTTCAAGAACAGGAAATAAGAACTAATGGCCTATAACTTTTATAGATTTACACTTGAACAAAGCAACAAGTTGAGAAAACTAGTGTTAAAGAAAATCTAGGGTGTATAGGGAGAGAACCCATTGCTTGCATTTTTTTTTTTAATTATTATTTTTTATTATTTTAATATTTTCTTGTTTGCATTGGGTTTTCAAATAAAGCAGCTTTGCTTTTGGACCCAAAAATATTTTTTTAAGAAGCATGTAGGATGTGCTTCTCAAACCAGAAGAAGTTTTAAAACTTGAATTCTGAAATTATTTCTAATAATAATAATAAATAAATAAATAAAATAGCATAACATAATACTACTGTGCCAATCCTTTGGCAACTGGATGCAACATGTTCTCAATAAACCTATATTTTAAGACAAATAAACCAGACGGAATAGACACAATTTGAATGCCAAGAAACTAATCTGTATACCTAACATCTTTGACGGTGAACTCCTAGTCAAGATAGACCTTAACGTAAAGAATAGTTGGAAGATCGCTCCTTTTAATAAATAATTATATATTAAAATGAAGATAAATAATTAATTTAATTAATATTTTAAAAATTTATAAATTAAAAAATTCGAAATAAAATTAAATGTATTTTTTTATTAAAAAATAATATAAGATGTAGGATGAACAAAAATATTATTGAAGATCGTCTCACATTTCATGTTATTTGATAGGCTATTTAATTTTATATTTAATTATGTCTCATGCTATTTTTATTTTTGTGTAAAAAATGATAAAATTTATGTAGTTTTGTTAATTTGTTCTAGTATTCAATTTTTTTCAATAAAAATTAATAGTGTTTATATAGTTATATGTGTGTTTGTTTGAGGGTTTGGATTTTGAGTTGGGATTTGAATAGTAAAAATTTTGAATTTTAATAGTTGTATGATGTAATATAAATAGGGGTTGATGTGATGTTTTGAATGCAAAATTGATTTTTAGTATAATATAAAAAATAAAAAATAGATGTTTGATTTGATATTTTTTTGGGGGAAAAAATGGGATGAATAGTAAAAATCCACCAAAATCCTTCAAACAAACACACCCTTAGCATATTATTATTGTTTGACTTCTTCTTCTTTCTTTCTTTCTATTTTTTTTTTATTTTTTATTTTTTATTTTATTTTTTTTATACTTTACATGGTTGTCACGAGAGTGACAAAAATTACATAGAATTAATATTTTGCAAGAAACTTATATTTTGCACCCCCAAACTCAGGCGCTAATTTCGTCACTGAAATTAATATATTACACTTGCTTTCATATTACCTACTAAAAAAATAAATATATTACAACATATTTATTATTTTTATATTACCTACAAAAAACATTAATACATATTACACACTCATTATTTTTATATTATTTATGCAATTTTTTTATAAATCATGTAAAAAAAAATATATCCTTTAAAACTATGTCACAAACCAAAAGCAAATTAAACATTTATTAAACAAGCATTTGCACATCTAAGAGTGTGTTCTTTTTGAAAGGAAAAAAAGAAACACACACGATATTCCCAAAAATATTAATATATAATGCACATTTATTATTTTTATATTTTCTATAAAATTATTTATATCTCATATAAAAAAATTTTCCTTCAAAATTATCTCATAAAACAAAAAGACCCTAAAGAATTGTACGAAAGAATCTGGAAAAAAACTCAGTAATAATAATGAGAATAAGAATAATAAAATAATAATAATAATTCTTCCTTTACACAAATCTAATCTCTTTCCCCTGATTTTTTCAAAGAAATAAACTAAGGAGGGTATATTCAATTGAGATTTTAATGGATTTTTTTGAATTTTAAAAAATCTATGAATTTATGTGGATTTAGATCTACGTTGAGTCTGATGGATTTTAGTAATTAATTTAGATGAATTTATATGAATTTTGTAGGATTGTAAAATAATTTTTTTATGAATATATATTAATTATATAAATTTGTATCAAACAACAAATTTTATAAATATAATAAATAATTATTAATAAGATAATATTCAATATTAATAAATAAAATATAAATATTAATAAATAATATATACGGATTTACTTATTATGTAGAAAGATTATATTAAAATAAATAAATAAATAATTTACGATTTTTTTTTAAAAAAAATATAAATTAACGGTTCTACAAAAAATATATATTTAAATATCTATTTCACCGTTATCGTTATGATAATATAATGTATTCGATAATTGAAAAGAAAAACTGACAGTAATATATGATAATAATATTTTTTAAAATTATATTTATAATATAAAAATATATACTGTATTTAAAAAAATTTATAATAATTTGCTAATATATTTTAGTTTTAAATTACTATTATTTTTATTAAAAATTATAATAATAGTAATAAATATTATCATATTATTGATCACATATACAACAACAACAACAACAACAATAATAATAATAATAATTTTAAGAATCCATCAAAATCTGTGATGGTCGATTTTTTTCTATACAAAATTTTCACAAGAATCTATTAAAATCCTTTAAAATCCATAATTTATGGATTGTTGAATATCTCAACATTTTTAAAGACTTTTAAAAATCTAGGTCGAATACCTCAAGATTTTAAAAGATTTTTAAAAATTTTGATTGAATACCTCTGCATTTTAAAATACTTTTAAAAGTCTTGATTGAATACACCAAATTTTGAAAGTCCAACAAAATTTTACAAAATCTATATTGAATAAACCCCTAAATTTGTAAGATAGAGGAGAGATTAATGATAATAATAATAATAATAATAATAATAATAATAAGCCACTATACAGAAGCAACAAAATATGGCCTTATTACAATACACCAAAACATTTAACCGAAATAAATAAAAATTTATAGTTTTATTAATTATCCGAGAAACATGCCTGTTAAATATATATATATATATATATTTGTCACAACATTGGGATATATATAACTTATTAGTCAAGTTCGAGAAATATAAAATGCAATGACAAAATTAAATAGCCTGTCAAATAATGAAGGAAAAAATCATGCAAAAATAAGTCCTCTTACATACTTCTTGCAAACAGCCAGCCGTGGCTCACAGCGAAAACGGCTTCGAATACACGTCAAATGGCTCATTAGCACTAAGCTGCGGTTCCTGCAACCAGATTCAACGATTTATTGTCTCCAAAAGGTTACTTGTAATAACGAAAATTGCGAAAAGTTAAAAACATCGGGCTTCGGATAACTTACAATATCCTAAATAGCTTTCAATTCTATGTAAAATTATTGAGAAATGCAAATACCATGTTTTATAATCTTGTTAATACTCAGAGTAAAATGGTTGTTGTGCGACGAGGGCAAATCAGTACAGTGCTGATTAACAATACCTACTTTTACTTAACACAACACATATTGTATTAAATAGAAACATGTGACTATGAGCGTATGCTTGTAGGTATGTTGTATAAATATATTTATGAGATTATATCACGTGGTATGTTATACTTCCCTCAGCCTCTTCACAAACTATCCATTTTTCTATTTTGGTCTGTCCCATAACAAAATATCAATTTCTTTTTTTAGTAACTGTATCTAACATTACAAATACCCTTATGACTTACAATATATTACACAAATGACATTACCTTTATATCACACAATGCTAATAAGGTTATTTTAGTCATTTCTACTTTATTCTTACTACATAATATAGGGAACGGATAGGGTGCTGAATTGGAAAAATCAACACCAGTAATATATAGAAACAACACAAAGTCTTATTATAATGACAGGTGATGTTGCTTCATAATTATAGTGTGTTGTATAACAGTATGTGGTGTACTGAAATCAATTAGTATTTGTCCTGTACAAGACTATAGCATGTGTTGTCAGTTCATGTATTGTATTTATGTTGTTGGTTCATAATACAAGTGTGCTGTATAACAATATATAGTGTGCTTAAATCAAGTATTGATTGTGCTGTATTTGTATTATATGAATGCAGACTGTGTGCTGCCAGTAGTAACACCGTGTGCTGCGGTGTATTGTCCGCACAGTGCCACAGTGCTGAATAGCCGCCGCCATCAATATAATACTAATATACCTTAAACTCTGTGGAAAAAAAAAAAAACGGATATCTACTTAAGGGACGGAGGGAGTATGTTCTTGTGTCATGTTTCTATCAGTCCTTATATTATGTACTGTCAGCGCTACGTTGAATTTTATAATTTAGCACAGTAGCAACTGCCATGTTCAGATATAGAGTGCAGTGCAGGTGAAAATTGTTGCAAGTTTGCTAACTTGTGCGGTATTAGTAAGAAATAACCGAGAAGAAGTAAGGAAAATTGAAAGAATGTTGTTGTGTGTTGAACTGGATAGAATACGGTACCTGTCTGAGTCCAATGCTGGCGCTTCCTCCGGTTAAAAGCATTGTGATGAGAGAAGTGACGACACCGCCTCCCAAGTCGCTGCCACCGCCAGTCTGGCGAATGGTATTTCTCATGGCATTTAGAATACTCCCATATGTATTTCCTTGTCCCTTTTCGATTGCTTGGATAAAAGCATAGGTCATGGCGCCGGTCGAAGTAACTTTAGATAGAGCCTGTGTATGCAATCCGCATCATAACAATTCCATCGGATGAGGTTAGAGAGAGTTGAAATGTTGAATTAAATGATATCGATAAGAGTAAGAAGTTTACAGCTGTATCAGCGGAGGTTTGATCATCGTCACAACCGCTGAAGGATATGGCCTCTCCCCCGCTCGTGCCTTTCCATGTGCCTGTTCGAGGGCGATGATCCTCCCAGGCGTACCTCCCACTTCTGCAAACAAGGAATTTTTTCGAGGAGCTGGAATTACAGAAAAGTAGTAATCGGGAGTATGCCTAAAATTGAAGAGCCGTGTATGTACCTGTCCATCCTGCAAAGATACGGCAAATCTAGCATCGTCCCGCTGTGACAAGCATCTATGATTGCGTGAAGCTTGACCCCGGACGGAAGGGGTCTAATCAGTGTTGCATTGATTTCATTGTCGACAATCATTCCCTGTGTCTCGAAATCCACGGGGCAGAGTGTTTCATCAAATCCATCTACTTCATCTCCCGTGTAGTTCCTCTGCTGTGAACCGTGGCCAGAGTAATGAAACAGCAACGAATCTCCGGGCTGACATCCTTGTACTAGCCAAAACATAGCCATTCTTATGTTGTGCTTTGTTGGAATTCTGTAGGGATCAGTTTCCTCTTCTGCAAAATACTTCCACAAGAGGGTTGAGATTAGACTCGAGCAGTATATGATAAGGTTTGATAAATCGATTCGATCCCTCTGCAAGAACTAGCTCAATCAGACAATAGAGAGATGAATTTTTGATGATATGCTCAAGAAAATCTGATGAACAGCTTGTGTATTTAATGACAGAAAAACTATTGCACTTGTATTGAACAAGGCAAGAGAATTGTCGAAATATAGTGTCAATTTGTTGAACGGAAAAACAAGATCTATCGAACCAAAATCACATTTGAAATATGCTTATCATGCTGACTATTGTCATTCAACAAAGAATCTGGATCAAAAACAAACATTCATGACAACATAACATCCTTCTTCCAATCTTTTGAAGAAATCTATATATAACCAGTTAAGCTAATACTTCTTCCAGATGCACAACAATGAGGATCAAAATATCGAATCAGTTCAAATAGTGAGTCAACTATTTTGTGAAATCACTTTTCAAGACAACATTCATCCAATCTTGTGCATAAATATGTGGTGCTTGAAGACAGCAAATCCATAATTTGGTGAACTTAAAAGGCAAAGATGCCATTGATTTCAGCTCTCACAGTTGGATTTTGGCATTAAAAAACAGAGGCTGATTCCCTACAATATTTTAATTCTAACAAGGTTTCAGACAACTCACGCAGCATATAAGACCAGAGCACAGAGAATTTCTGGAATGAATTTTTTTATCAAGAGTCAGAAATCAAAGTTCATATTTAACAGTAAGCATCTGGAAGTTCTCGAAATTCGAACAACTCAACTTGCCAAGTAGAGCTCAAGCAAGTCAATCCTCAGCCAAGTCAAACCTCCAATCGCTTACCAAACAGGGAAAAAACATCTCAAATTTGAATAATTCAGATCAAAATCCATCAAACGGATTAGGAGAAGATTACCAGTAAGCATGAGGATCGAGGACTCGGGGAACTTAAATCGGTTGATTAGCAAATACTTCATACACTTGGCATCATTAATACATCCTTTAAGCTCATTCCTCGAGTTCCTGTACGATATCCCCACAATAACTGCTTTCTTCCGGCCGTGAACCGCCGGCGGGGGTCCTGGCGGAGCGTGGTTGTATGGAGACGGAGCCGGCGGTCCAGGCTGCGTCTGGGGCGCCGGAGGAGGATAATAACCGTTGTATCCGTTGAAAGAAGAGGTGGAGGTCATATAAGGCGGAGGCGGAGCTGCGCGGGGATCGGCGACGCGAGTGATGGCCTGGCAAATGGAGCAGCGGATGGAGGTGGCTCCGTGTGGCAGCTGGAGCGGCGTCCGGCAGTTGGAACAGTTGATTAGCATCAACATTGTGATCGGCGAAATCGAAGGTCAATTTTTGGTGGTGGAATTCTGTATTGTTGGAGTGGGTGGAAAAGGGCGTGTCTTACAAATGAAATGAAATGAAAATGGGAGCAAGGAAACGAAGAAGAAGATCAAAAAGGCCGGGAGGGACCAATATAATAATAATAAGATATTAATTATATTTGTTTAATGTAATTTTAGGTGTGTTTCTTTGTCTTTTCCATTTTGTTTTTCTACTGGCTATTATGTTCGGATTTAGTTTGCAAAATATTAAATTCGATCAAGGGTTTACTAAAGCGTATTATTCAAATAACGATTGAGGCTTTTTACATTATCGAAAAAAATATTGTTAATTATATCTTATTTCGAAAATATTATAAGATATTTGAAATAGAAAAAAAATATATATAGTAGGATGTTTGGGACAAAAAAAAATAAAAAAATACTATCCCCGTTCATCTACAATTTTGATATTTGTTTTTTTTACGTTCGATATTTAAATATTAATTACTATATCAAAATATAATACAAATAAGAAAAAAAATCTTATAATACAAATATAATAATATTTGTAGAAAAATAAAAAGCAAAATAGCATAAAACCGCCTGTGGTCAGCTGAATTTGCTAAAAAAATCCTATGATTTTAAAACTCCAAAAAATTTATTTGTGATTTGTAAAATGTTGCATAAAACCCCCCTATGTTAAGACTACTTAACTGAGAGTGTATGTACGCGACTCAAATGCGATTTTTTTGACCCACTGTTCTTTTATTCCTCATTCTCTCTTCTCTCATTTCCCTTCTCTTATTTGTCTATTCAAGCTCAAAGATATAAATATCTGGTTCCAAACCGCCATTGAACCTGGTGCGCCTAATGAAGAAGAATTGGAGAAGAATGAGGAAGAAAAAAATTGAAAAGAATGTGGTGAGTCTAAAAAGAATCGGGGAAGAACAAGAAGGAAAAAAATGGAGAAGAAAAAGTAGAAAAAGAACCTGTGCTCTGAACAAGAATTAGAGAAGAAGAAAAATAAAGAAAACAAATTGGAAAAAAAATAACAAAAGAAAAAATCTTGTTCGCCTGAAGAAAAATTGGGCAAGAAGAAAAAGGAAGAAAAATATTGGGAAAAAAAAAATAACGTGTTTGCCTGAAGAAGAATTGGAGAAGAAGAAGAAGAAAGAAAAAAATTGGGGAAAAAAAGAAAAAATAAATAAAGTGTTCGTCTGAAGAAGAATTGGGGAAGAAGAAGAAGGAATAAAAAAATTGGAAAAGAAAGACGTGTTGGCCTGAAAAAGAACGGGGAAGAAGAAGGAAGAAAAAATTGGAAAAAAATATTGAAGAAAAATTGGGGGAGAAAAAGGAAGAAAAAAAATTTGGGATAAAAGAAAAAGAAAAAACCGTTGGCTCTGAAGAAGAATTGGGGAAGAAGAAGAAAAACAAAAAAAAAAAAAAAAATTTGGAGAAAAACAGACACTCAGTGGCGGCTTCGACTCCGACAGCAATGGTATCTAGCGCTACGATTCTTTCACCGATCTTCTGAAAAAAAATTTAGAGAAAGAAAAAAATAGAAAAGAAGAAGAAGACAGTGGGAGTGAATGCCTAGGAGAAGAAGGAAGAAGAAGATGAGAGTGGATGTGTCGGAGAAGAAGAAAGAAAGAACATGAGAGAAAAATAAATTAGAAAAAATATAAATAAGGTATAACGGTCGAATATGATAAAATCTAACGTTTATGATTTAGAGGGGAGGGGCGAGTGTACAATATTTTGGAAACCACGAGTAGGATTTTTTGAAATTTTAAAATCACGACGGGTTTTCAGCGAATTCAGAAAACCTCATGCGGTTTTTTACTATTGCCAAAATAAAAAACAATAACTTTTAGAAAATTGTTTGTGTAAAACATTTCAAATATATATTTCTTCAATCAGCCAAAATTATATCGATTTTTTTTTTTTCATTTTCTACAAATTTTTAATAATCTATTTATTGTAAAAAAAATTATTCATTTATAGTCTTATTATGGGAAAAAATCAATAATAGTCACAATATAACAACAATGTATCAATTTTATTTTCAATATAAAAATTTATCAATTGTAGTATCATTATAAATAATTTCAATCGATTTTAATTTCACCGTTAAAAAATCAACTAAAATTGCTGACATTGACGTAATAGAATCGACGTGGCAAATGACCCAAACAAAACACGACCATGTACAATAAAACGCGATCATGATATCACAATTAGCAACAACCAATCAGATAACACGGCCCTATTAAATTGTATATGATTGTGTGTTCTCCTACAAAACCTTGAACTGAAATAAATAATTTCAGTGATAATGGGTTTAGAAGATCGAGACTTTGTAAATTGGATGACTTCTAAGGCTTGCCTGTTAAATTTGTAGTGTACTAGTTTAGTATTGGTGCAGAAGTGGCTTATAATTCTGTACATTCTAAGACATCAACTCTCCGGTACCTATCACTACGGTAGGGGTGTCAATGCATATTTTCGGGTTGTGTTCGTGTCGGGTTGAGCCATGGAGGTAACAAAAATATTGTCAACCAAAATTCGAAATTTGACCTAAAACCCTAGACCTGAACACGACACAAATTCTTTCGGGTCGTGTTCAAATTGACCTGAATTAATTTCAAGTCACCCGAAACCCAAACAATCTCAACACGAAACATACCCGAAAAAAATTTAATTTAAAATAATATAATATTATAAATTAAATTAATAATAATAAATAATTTTAGGTTAACCCGAAACCCGAAACCCGAAACCTGACTTGATTTTTATATTTCGGATTATCAGGTCAACCCGAGATACGATCGGAACACGATACAAATTTTTTTGTTTCAGGTTCGGGTCGACCCGATTTTTGTAAACCCAAAATATCCAAACCCAAATTTGAAAAATTTCAGGCCGGCTTTAATTTTGACACCCCTACACTATGGTCTATATATATATATATATTATATTTTGGCTCATTTATTTTCCTGTCATGGTGAGAGCACCGTGTTGGAACATATGGGTATTGCGAGAATAAACGTGAAACCGAGTCGATGATGGATTCTCTTTCCAAAAATTAGATACACCTCGGTAGTGTCTTCGGTGGCTGGTGTTCTAACCCAAAAATAAAACGGTTTCCATCTTCAATGAGAGTGACGCCTCTAATCGTTGGAGCTCCGACGAACAAAAAACGAGAGATGAACTAAGCTGCGGAGGTTGCCGGAAAGCTGGAAGAGATGAGAGAAGGATGAGAGAGTTGTTGATGTTTGTGTTTAGAATGAAAGGGGATGCCTTTTATATAGGCGTCTCCACTCGGCCAAATAAGGCAGGGGATCAATTACGATCATAATTACGACCTTAATTATCGATGTAATTTATTCTAAATTTAAACCTTCCGTTTGAAACAGTCGTAATTGACTCTAATTACAAACTTTCTGTTTGTGACGATCGTAATTTATTCTAATTTCAAACATTCCGTAATTTATTCTAATTTCAAACCTTCTGTTTGAGATTATAATAAATCTATCCAACGTATAATATTTTATCCAAATAATACTGCGACTTAGGCCATATACTCGGGTTTAATTTGGGGTTGCACAAATTGGTTTGTCTCGAGACAGGCAAAATAACTAAAATATTAACCAAACCCCATATACAATAAATAAATAATATTTATTTATTTATTTCAGATTAATCTAATTAATTTGGTACACCCGTCTGTTGCATTTTCACTTACAAAATAATCGATTGCCAAATAACCAATTATCCAACACACCATAGTAGTCTTGAATATTGATTCATACTATCTTTGGAGTATGCTTGAGCGTCAACCTATTAATTTCAGTTTTATGCTTGCTCGATTTAGGATACATCAGGTCAAGGATGACCATATGGGGAAAATGCTCTTAGTCTATATGTTACTTGATTGGCAAAGAGTTTTGAAATTTTTTATAAAGAGATTGAGGATCCTGTTTGTGTCATGATGTCATATGGTTTTTAGATGTTGCAGATTATGGATATTGTTAGGGAGATAACGAGGGCAACAGTAGATAGATATATTGGTTGATAGAGCTGATGAGCCGATAGATGAGGGTGACCACCATTCCGGTGATCATTGTGCGCCAGAGGGTGATCAGGCGCCCCTCGGATGGTTCAGGATATCATTCCGATTGATAGATCAATCATTGATGATTTACGCATAGATATGCAATGCTGTATAAACGGTATGCAAATGAATATGTATCATCAGATGGACGGTATGCGGTTGGAGATGAGATCTTCATTTTCGTATATTTTTTCAATATCTTTCCAATCCCGTTCCACCAAACGATGGCGCTTCACATGCACTTATGCAAATAGTTCAAGCTGGAATAAGGATTGATAGTTTTTTTTTTTGAAAGTATGTAATGATTTTGGGTTTTAAGTATGTACTATTTCTTAATTTAATTTAAAGTGTGTTAGATTAACTTTTCAAACTTCTCAAATTGTTACTCCCTCTTCCCACTTATGGTGTCCATTTTTTCATTTTCGTATGTCCACTTGTTCTATCACATAGTTTTTTTGAATTTTTTTTACATCTTAATCTCATTTAAAAAATTTTAATTTATAATTTTTTTAATTTAAATTAGAATGATTAATTATCTTAATTTTAATCTAAAATTAAATTTTATTATATAATAATTATTTTCACTAATATATTTTTAATTATTTACTAATTATACCCCTGCTAGTTATATCTCACTTTACTTTTTTACATGCTATTATTATATTAAAATATTACTCCCTCCGTCCCAAAAGTATATTTTATTGTAATGGACACGAGATTTAAAGAATATTAATATTATATTAGTAGTCGGTAAAAAGTATGGATAAATGACTTTTTACCCTTGTGAGTATATTAGTGTAAAAAATAGTGGCAATTGTATAATAATAATGAAAAAGTAGGGATAATTTTATAGTAATACGATTATTTATGAAAATAAAATTATTATTTTGGAATGGACAAAAATGATAAATAAAATTATTATATTAGGTCATAGGAAGTATTATTTTTTAATTTCTGTAAAGAAGACACCACATGATTTTTCAGGGTGGAAGGAATATATCTATGATGTCATATCAAAGCAAATTGCGTTTGGTAATCAATTGAT